ATCCAGATCCTCTGCAGGACAGACTCAGAACCTCCTGAGGACTTTTCACCACTGAGGTGGAAGGAATGGACTCCATGGACTGACTGTTTAAAGCTGAGAGAGATTCAGAAAGTCAATGAAACAGAATCAACATTATGAAAACCAAATTAAATAATTCAAGGTTGATTAGAATATTGGATTTAAAACAACTCACAAGGCAGACAGATTACTGTCAGCAGAACAAACAGTTTGATCATCATCTTGAAACTGGGAGGAGTGACTGAATGGTTTCCCTCTTAAAGTCAATCTGACAGGAGGAGGTCTGAAGTCTAACATCCACATTTGTATCATATTATACAGGCAAATGTGCCAAATATATAAGAAGAAAATCACAATTATGTTTCTTTGAGTTAGAAAAACATTGTACTTTCTTCTACATATCAATGTTCATTTCAGCACATGGATTCACTGCAGTTGTTTTGTAGAAGAACTATTAAAATGATTCAATATTGAACTTTCAACAAACTCAATGTAGCATTCATTTAAATAAAAAATAAAGCAATATTGTCTAAATTACTTTCAGTGAATATTTCATTTTATGCTCCTGACTACATGCTGAGGCTTTTCAATGATACTATCCTGACCTGTGTTGTATTTTTGCCAAACGTGAATACAATATAAACGTGCTGATGAAGTTGTGAATTTAAAACAAAACATGCCAAATGGTAATAAAATATTTATTATTTTAGCTGCAATCTCCTAAAGTTAAATCCCAATTTTTCCTAAAGCTTTGTCCCAGTCCTTTTTCCTGCGGTCTGAGGAGAGCTTCTTGAGGACTGATGGTCAGATGTTCACCTTACTGCACATCAGAAAGTCTTCTCTGTGTTCACAATTTATACATGAGGACGAGGAAATCAATCAGGAGATTCTATTAATCTACAGGAAATTTAATTAAAAGTCAGGAAATTAAAAAAAAAGTCAGGAAATTAGTTTTTCATCTTCAATCATCAATGGGAAATGTAATGTTCATGCTTCAAGCATTATAGGAGTTTTTGTGTTATTTGTATTTGTAATTTTGCTTGTTTAGATCAAGTCTCTCTTGTAAATGAGATATTAGGACACAACAAGACAACTGGTATAAACAAAGGGCAAATAAAATAAAATTTACTTAAATTTCACCATATTTGTTTTTCTGTTGATACTGTCAGTCTAATGCTATTTAACTTAAACTTTCAATAACACTATAATAGTAAATTAGTTGTGAAATAATTGAAAATAGAGAAGTTTGACTTTAGTTAAAGCATAATGGAAAATATTCTCATTGGCAAACAAAATAAAAGTATTTCTCAAATGTTGACTCTGCAATAAATTTGACAAAATTTATAAAGCAGATGATAAAACATGAAACGAAGAGACAAACCATTTTGTAAAATTTGAATTAATAATAAATTAAATTATTTTAACTTGCTTTGCAATTGTAGATATCTTAACATGTCTAAAATGTAAATTCAGATATCAAAACATGAGACTGTTCCTGGTGTTGATTTCAGAAAGAGGAACTAGTTTTTGTATCACTCTCCTGTCTGTCTGTCTCCTGTCTTGGACCCGTCCGCATTTTTCTAATCATACACTCTCCTGTATGATTGTGTGTCTTGCACAGTAATACACTGCTGTGTCCTCAGTCCTCAGATTGTTCATCTCCAGATAGACTTTGCTGTTGGAGTCATCTCTTGAGATGGTAAATCTGCCTTGGACAGACTGGGAGTAAAAGAAATGGGAACTGCCTGTGTGCACAAAAGCAATCCATTCCAGTCCTTTCCCAGGAGCCTGTCTGACCCAGTTCATGGGATAGCTGCTGAATGTGAATCCAGAGCCTGTACATGTCAGTCTGTGGGAATCTCCTGGTCTTGTAACCATTGGTTCAGACTCTGTCAGAGTCTGTCCAGTAAAACCTGTTGAAATAATAATAATAAAAAATCATCAAGTGGTTTAATCTCATGGCACAAATAAAAATATTATATATTTAGGATGTATATAAATTCACCTGTCATGAAGACAGTTAAGAGCAGCGGTGCTGTCCAATAGCCCATCATGTTAAACTATGTGTGCATGTCTCCAGGCATTTCCTGGTGATAAATACAGGTGTTAGGTGTGTTTTGCATTGACTCCTCCTCAGAAACTCTTCTATCTCTTCAGCATGTTCAAATGCAACTGATATAACTTTTGATTGTTATATTTCTGCACTAAATATACCAAAAGAAATATTTCCAGGCAATTACTGAATAAAAAAACAGACACCCCCACCTATTTCTGGATAAAGCAAAAATATACTATATAAACTGACTTATTTTCAGCCGTCTTGGGAATTATTGGTGGTGTTACAGCGCCCTCTCTGGTGAATCATAGGGATTTATGTCCTGAACTTCTGAATCCGGGTTATAGAGAAAGCCCAAAACTTTCTCTGCATGAAAAGAGTCTCAACCATCTATCTATCAACTCTCTTATATAGGAAAAACTGGATATGTTTTGTTTTTTTGCCTCATTATGTTCTTTTGTTTAGCTACAAACTAATATCCAGCAACTATGAAATGTGTTTCTGAGATATTGCCATTTTACAATTACCTTTGTCACTTTAATGATTTAATTCTGACAGGGTTAGGGTTAAGGTTAGGGTTAGGGTTTTAGGGTAGGTTTACCCTAAATTTCATAAATTGAAAGATACTTTGTGAGTACTGCTGATTTAAACCTAAAACTATTATTTCACTTTTCACCTTGAAAATCCAGTTTATGACTAGAAGCAATTACGTTTGTGTGGAATACACACACACACACACATTCAGAGACACACCATGAGTCACGCTTTCACTCACACCTGGTCTACCAGGGAGTATGCGAAACATATTGTTCAGAGAAGTGCCCTAATAATTACGTGATAGGTTTTCACTTTATCCTTTTGTAATGTTATGGGAAAACCTAGTGCTGCAATCGTCTTGACACATCTTTGTTTTTCATTAAACTGAGTCTAACTTTTAATGTGTTGTCTTTTTCCTCCAAGAAACTGCCCCCATGTTTGAGTATTGAACCCGTCCGCATTTTTGTAATAAATTCCCCAGAGAACATTATGCTGACTCACATCTTCCTTAATTAAGACAAATGTGCAAAGCTTTTGTCATGACTTTACTTACTGGTGACTCAGGTGGAAGATCATTTTTAAATCTGCCCTTCATTAAGAGTGCTCCAGTAAAGTGTTTCTCCATTTCTGCATTAAAGTATTCTTATGTAATACAAAAAACAAAAGCTGTCCGACACTCCAGTATCATAGTAATTGTATTCTCAATAAAAATTTCAACCAAATCTCTTCAGTTCTGTGCTGTTTTTTTAGTATCAATAAAACATACAGCATAATTCATTTCATAAATTGAAAGATACTTTGTGAGTACTGCTGATTTAAAAAGTCTTTTTTTTCTGACTGTAAAAAGCTTGTGCGAAAGGCAGAACCAGAGCCAAATGAGGTTAACCAAATCGTACACGATTGATGGGAAACTGAGCTGCTGTTTGGTTCCAGTCAGATTTACATCTCCTGCTTAAACTTCCTGTCGAAATGTGGTTTCAACTGATGAAACTGTTGCACCGAAAAACAAAACGTGAACTACAATAAAAAGAATCTGCGCTTCATCAAACTCATGCTGAAAGATGTGATGATGTCTAAAAATACTTTATGGAGAGAATTGACATCAAAAATCAGAAAAAAATCTAATAGCTTTAATTTTAGTTCAATTTATTATGATTTATATGTCTTTAAAATTTTCTAAATATGCTCAATGAACACTCAAATAAAGATACAAAATTTTATTTCAGTATATTTCAAACAAACCAGTCCCACATTTTAACCAAGAATGTGTTACTGCTTAATTCAGAGCATTAGGCAGATGTTTAAAAAAAAAATACAAAAGATCCTTGAAACATTTAATGAAATAAAATACCTTGATGATTTAATACAGACTGGTCAGATGTACTTCCTGGCCTTTAAGCGTAAAACACAAAGCACATTGAAAAAGCTCTGAGGAAATGTTTCTATGCAACATTTACCACATGACAGATTAACTAAGTCTGCAGAAAGATTTTAGAAATTCTCATCTCATTATGCCGTATATATGTAATACAAATGACTGAAGTCAAATCTCTAGATAGATTCAAAAGTGCTTGCAGTTCAAATATTAAACATTTTAAAAATGTTTAATCAATTCAGTTTATGTTTGGTGTCTTGATTTATGTATTTATTTGATCACATTTCTTGTGTTTATGTGGACCACACACACATTGTCTTTATTTTGTGATGGTATAAAAGCTCTCATATTTAAAAAGTAAGCTAAGTGTTTAATATATATTGTAGTTCCTATTATTTTGTGGATTGCAGAAAGATCGAAGCGCATTTTATTTGAGACAAGATCGACCTGAATACAAATATATATTTAATTGATAAAACGTTTTTGGCAGAGGTTTTTTTGTTGGTTTGTCTGATGATTTACATTTACTTGGTGCATTTATAATTTAACAATATGTAATATTTATTGCATATTTCATAATTGGTGTCTGTATTAAGTGTTTATGGTGCAAAGCACTTTGAACTGCCTTGTTGCTGAAATGTGCTAACCAAATAAACTTGGATTAGAATAAACTTGATTAAAGACATTCAGTGATGAATATGTCACTCTTCACATTTACACAATTAGCAGAGGAATATGATGGCAAAATTTCAAACTGCAAATCTTATTAACTTTGTGTTGTACATTGTTTTTTTTCTCTCTCTCAGAAGATCAGGCCTCTGATGGTGAGGACGGTGCTGAAGGCCAGAGCTTTGGTGAACACCACTCGGACTCCGTTCATCAGCAGCAGGTAGAAGTTCAGCTTGGCTTTTTCTGGACGACAGAGAAACAGAGTTCAGACTGAACTGAACACAAACATCTGACAGCAGCGATCAGTGATGGAACCAAACTGAGACACGAAGAGATCAGACTCACCTGGATAAATGCTGCCACATTCATCATCTGATTAGAGAAAGAAATAATATCAGTCACATAAAAATGAAAACTCTAACAGAGAGATAATTTAATCACATAAACATTATTCAGCATAATTTCTATTTCTGCAGGAAACAGTTTTGGTCAAAACTGAGACAAAACTTTGTTCAGTACCAGCTTCATTGTTGCCGAAGGTCCCGTTCATCTCACAGGAATAGATGGTTCTGTTGCTGAAAGCAACAAAGTTGTAGGTGTTGTCCTTTGACAGAACAGCATCAGTAGAGTTCACATTGACCGGATCTCCTTTTCCATTCAGAACCACCTCTTCCCCCTTTGGACGGAAATCAGTGACCAGACAGACGTTTGGACCGAGCTCGTCTGCTGTCTTCAGTCCTTTGTCGTCGGGAGACGACAGAGGACTGAGGACGAAGAGGGACGGAGTCTCAGCGGAACCATCTGTAAAAACAAAGAAAATGCAAATCACCATTTTAATGAATCAAATGTCAAAATATAAACTGAAGTTTGTCAAGCAAGAAGAACATAATCTTTTTTTTCTTTGTAATGTTCATATAATTGTGGCTTTGTTTAAAATTATAACTTTAGAATAGTTTTCAAAAACTCTCTTTTGTGTTCATTTCATGATTGAATAGCCTTATAGGCGATCAGACACATATTATATTTGTAAATAAATATTCCTCTTACTTCATAAATTTAAAGACATTTATGGTTAGAAATATTTTAGCATTTCAAAAATTTTACTTTTATTATTTAATTTAATACCAAATCTTCATAACACATAAATTAAATACATGTTATACATTTTTACTACAAATGATTTTTATTTGTAGGATAGGAAGTGATATTATGCCAGTACATATGTTGTTATAGTTTTAATGAAAATGTCCTCAGTGCCAGTTAATTTATGTATAAGTATAAAAGAATAAACTTCTAATTGGCCTTTTTTTGTGGAAACTAACTTCTCCAAACATACATAAATCTTAAACTATGACATTGATTAATATAATCAGTTCAGATCATGAATATTATCAGTTAAAAGCATATTTAACAGTATGTACATTTTATTACAGTGCTGATGCAAAACTCCCCTGTGTGAGTTTACGCATGTTGATAGTTTATTTTTAAAAAATAGGTCATTTTGTCTGGGTAGTATTTTGCTAGAACTTGACATTCTTTAGGTTTATTTATTCCAGTTATTATTTCAGTAAATGATGTATATTAAAACATCTGTTGTGGATAAATTAAAATACATTCAAGCAGCCACTGTGTGTAATATAAACACAAGCAATTCTTCAAAAATAAATTAAGTTTCTTGGCCTTTTGATGTTTCTGATGTTTTATTTATTCATTCATTTTTATTTTGTTGACTGATTTTAGAAGCTCAGATTATCCCAATTTCTATTTTTCTTTTCTCCTAAGTGAATCTTTTCTCTTATTTTGCCCTTATTTTATTTTTGACATACGTTTTTGGTTGTATTGCTGTGCTATTTTATTATACCTTATACTCTTAATCATAAATAATGACAGTTGTTCAATTCCCATACTGTTTTGAGCTCATATAGCTCAATTATCCTTTATGCTGCAGTTTTTAAACACAAACTTCTCTTCCAATAAGTTTTTATCAAACATGACATTATTTGAGTCGAAATTAAATTAGATGTATGACATTAATTTCCATAATGTTGCCCATTTCAATGCAGTTTAAAATATGCAATTAAGCAAGAAAAAGTTTTGAGCTTCTCTGTGTTTTTGAAGCAGCTGCAGAGACTTTGTTTTTGCTTTACACCAATGGATTTAAATTCTCCAAGAACATGAGATTCTAATGTTACAGAGGACAGAGCAGGGTGTTTGCAGGAAGAAAACTTTTCTGAAGTCAGCTCCTTCTACACAAACTACATTTTTGATACAAATTATTTACTTGAGTTGGTTTAATTCTGTTCAAAGAGCTACAGTGAAGCAGAAGAAACTGAGGTTTCATCTATAGAAACATTTTTCACTCAAGTATTCTATTTTACGACTACAGATATCTGATGACTAAAGGATCTCTAACTTTCTGTTTTTGCAACAACTACAAAATATAAAAACTCTGTTTCCCTTCAGTAATTAAAATGGCTTCGAAGCAACTGATACAGTACAATATTAACATAGGAAATAAATTTGATGCAATAAAATTTCAATTTTAATCAAGATTTATGAATGTTTATTTTCATGTATTCCATTTCACCACAACTGTTATGAGAGATCTTCAGTCAATGGTACAAAATAATTTTAATAGTGCTAAAGTACTTTGTCTTTTGTCATGTCTTCAAAACAATGTTGTGTTGTATTTTCACAATTACTTCTAATTATTTTTGCAGTAGTTCTTATTACTTTTTGTTTTCAATTATTTTATTATGCAGTTGTTATGTAACTGCAATGCTTTCATACTTTAATGTGAGTGACTATGTGTAAGACATTTTGGGTGTTTGGAAGAACCAATTATTTATAATACTTTATTTGTCTACCCTTTCTCATTCCTGCCATCTCAAATTACATGTAATAATATCAATCTAAAGCCTAAATTATTTTACTAAGCTTTTGTTATAAAGAACAATTTTGTTGATCAGAGGAACAATTAAAACAGAATTTAAAAAATTTGAACAAAATGTATGGTATATTATTTTAAAGAAATAAAAAGAAACAAACACATAAATTAGGAAGTTTATGAAATTATTTCCTCTACAATGCAAAATCTATTAAAGCGGTTTATGCAGCATGTTTTTAACATAATAAAACCACCGAAAACAAAAAAAACAAAAAACAAAAACACTTTGCATTATCAAGATTACTTTAAAACACAGCAATAAAAAAAGGTTTTAGATAATATTTTAAAAAGCCTCACCTGGACGAACAGTGACTGTCGTTCCATCTCCCCAGTAGTCAAAAGCTCCATCACAGTGCTACATCTTCACTGAGTCCTCTAACAAAAACCTGCAGCACCAAAATAACAGCAACTAAAACCAGATCCATTTGTTTACCACATTTTACTAGAATAGATTAACATGTACTGAGGAGCCTGATCTCCATAAGTGATAACTTTGAAATAAACTTGGTGTGAACTCTCAATAAGAATTTAAAACTGAAATGGACTCTTTATTACATCCACTGTTTTATTAATTTAAATGGCTAATTGTTAAACTTCTAAGCTTCCAAAGGACAAACAGTGTATTTACTTCATGTTCTACAAATGTTGGTGGTGTTCTGACTGTGTTTTCTCTGCATACAGGATGATTTATATTCTGAGGTTTTTGTATTGGTGTGTATCTTTGTGCCACCCCAAATATATCACAGTAAAAAACCCTCAAGCAAAAACCTGCACCACCCTCAGGTGGGAGGATAAAAACAGAAGTCATAGAAATGTTACAGCTACAAAAGTTGCAGTCTTTATTCATATTTTTGGTCCATTTAGAAATAATTTATGCATTTCTATTAGTTTTTAAGCTCTATGTTTAAAACATTCCTATTGAAAAAAAAAGGGCAACCAACAATGTGCTCTGATAATGTTTAGTTTTTCACCAATGAAAAAAGGGGTTGGTGATGTCTGTTCATTTTTTAATGCATTTTCTTAAAAAAATAAAAGAAACGAATCTATAAATGTGATATTGTGCCATTATTATGTCATAGTAAAGTGATACCAAATTTGATTTCTCGATAATAATCTGCATGTTGCTTGATAACACTTTTTTTTAAGCTTATTAGTCATCATTTACTGATGTCTCCATGTATAAAAACAATGCAGAATATGCAACATAAAAAAGGTCAAACAAAACAGACATAAGATGATTCCTGTTTTTGTGGTTTTGCTTATCTGTTACAAATGTTTAATTAGAATGAGGTTGATTTGAGGCTCATATAAGTTCAACCTGGGTATTTGTATACTGGAGGCAGAAAGTGGTAATAGATTTGAGCTGCAGTTTGAGAAGATGTACTGATTGTGGCAAGATCAAATGTGACTTGGTATGAGCAGGGACATCTAGTGCACACTCAAACATGGACGGTCTACTCTGAATTGAATTGAACTGAATTCTGAGGCCAGTGCTGTTGGAAATTTACAAATGTATCTTATTTAAAGTCACAATTCACTAAGCTCAATAAATATGGAAATCAGTTTTAAACACAACACTCGATTTTAGTGAATTCTTTGTGAGTGTTAGTCAAATTGTTTAGTTTAGTTACTCAACAAGTCTTTTCAGAAATGCCAACATCACTTAATTCATATGCAGAGAAGACTTTCTGCATCCTGATAGCTGGTTGGTTTTTGTTCAAGTTTGGTTGTGGTTTGTGTCACTGTGTCTTGTCTCACACAGTAATAAACAGCTGCGTCTTCAGGCTGCAGATTCTGTCCTGTTATTGTTACTGTTCCAGCAGAAGTGTCTCTGCTGTAGCTGAACTTGTTCTTCAGGGCATCATTCTTGTAAAAGGTCCCACTACCCCACATATGAAAAATCCATTCCATTGGTTTCCCATCACAATGTCTGATCCAACCTGTTGCATAGCTGTCAGTCAGAGAATAACCGGAGGGCCGACAGACGATGGTCAAAGACTGGCCTGGCTGGACAGACTTGGAGTCCGGTTGAATCAGATCGATACTCAAGACACCTGAGAAAAAAATGAAAGATAATTGATGTCATAATTCATCTGAATTTTAGTGAATCTAGTGCAATTATTAGTCTGAATTGACCCAAAGGTCCTCACATGATCCAGCTGTCAGCAGCAGCATCACAGCTAAAGAGAACATGGTTGATTCAGACGCTGAACTGATGGAAGTTCCTTGATCTACTGACTGACACAGACTCCTCTCTTCTTTTTAAATGACCATACTTTGCATATTGTTGAATATATTTTCTTAGAACTCAGTTGATCATTTTGTCTCTTCATCATAGAGCACAGAATACCTGTAGAACAAAAATTTGCTTCTACATCAACAATGAGTTGAACCAAAGTGATAATTTGATGATTAAAGTATCAAATATTTAACTTTAAAGTGAGCACCGCAGAGTGCCCTCTACTGTTTAAACAAAGCATTGTCATGGAGTTTTATGGATCTGCTTGAACAGGATTCTTCAGATTGTCTATTATATCAATTTGTTGGCTGTTGTTATTCCTGAAATTTACAACTCTCAGTAGTTTTCTGACCCCAGTTGTTGAGTGACTTCCCATAAAATGCTATAAAGTGAGTCTATCTTTTCATAACTGATCCAATTTGTGAAACAGTTTTGTATCACATTTCTTTTTATCGTTTACTCAACATCTTTGTGATCTCTGGAAACTCTTTTAATTTCCGGATCTCCATCCAGACCTGCAAATAAGAATAAGAAGTTATATGTTGTTGTCTCCTAATCTGTCAACTTGCTGCTTCAACCCTGTAGAAAACAGTTTAGATTCAATACTTCATAGCTTCATAAGCCAATTTGTTGTCCAATTTCTGTCCACTTCTTGCCAATTTTTTCAGATTTGACTTTAAAACAAGTCCAGATTTTTTCTTTTTGTGGGGAATAGAAGAGGTGAATTGTATGTGTTATTTTTTTAAATTCATGTTCAACAATGTTTTTTTTTCTATACAATATTTTATTTGAAGTGCTTTTATTGTTTTTTTCAGGTACCAAATTAACCTCTTCATATGATTGAATAATTCAATCCAGACTGATTCAATCAACTCAGGTCAATAAATAAGTCGGGTGTTTGTAACAGACAAATTGGCAAAACATAAATAAATAAAAATACATTTAGGGACTCAGTTAAATTCAGTCTTGTTTTGTATTTTTACTTCTATTTGTGTACACTCTGTGGATGTAAAGTGAGAATTCCCATTACATATTCAATAAAATACAATTTAATCTGAAAAATTAGTAATATTATTAGAATTCGCTATTATTAGTTGCTCTGCAACAACCCAGATGTCACCACATTAAAGGTCTATGTGTGTTTTTGTGCAGCTGTTCCTCTGCTTTCAGTCACTGTGTCTCTTCGAGTGCAGAAGTAAACAGCAGAATCTTCTGCTGTCAGGCTACTGATCTCCAGGTACTGGGTGCTGCTGGGGACGTTTTCCGTCATAATGAATCGGCTTTGAAAGGAGCTTCCATATATTGCTGCATTTTTACCAGCATCCATCCTCCCTATCCACTCCAGAGCTCTCCCTGGTTTCTGTCTGATCCAGTGAATGTAGTATCTGGTCATGTCAAAACCAGACATGACACAAGACATCTTCATTGTCTCTCCAGGTCTCTTCCCCTCAGACTGGGATTGGTCCAGTTTAATCTCACTAAAAACTCCTGCAACAGAAAAGCTCTTGGTCAGTAAATCTTCAACTCTCACATACATTTTCAAAAACCCATATAATTCTCACCATTAATCCAAATTACTGAAAGTAAACTCCAGATGACAATGTTCTCCATTATGTAATTAGAACATAAAGAAAAGGCCAGTTTACCCCAAATAAACCTCTGAAGGTTTACAGACAAAAACTGAGTCAAAGAACTGACTGTGCAGCTTTAAGAGAGAATGGGTTGGTGTGGCTCCTCCCTTTTCATTTTTGGAGCAAGAGAGCATGTAGTAGTCTGGAGTACAGATAGAAACGTGTTGAGTTTGAAAATATTTCATCGGCAGTCATAGTTATCTCTCCCAAATGTGAACATGAACAGAAGTAACTTAGAAGAAAATGCAATCATTTCATGCAGGTGCATCTCAATAAATTAGAATGTCATCAAAAAGTTTATTTTCATAATTAACTTAAAGAAATGAAATTTAGAGAGATTTAATACATAAAATGAGATGCATTTCATTTACGGGTTTTATTGGTGTCATCTCTAATAATCAAAATCAGCAGATATGCATTTTTCAGTACAGATTGGCTTTTTTTTAAATTATTGGTTTACATAATAACAGTCTTCAGTTAGAGGCTTTTTCAGATTTGCTCCATAACTGACTGCTACCAGCATCATCATCCAAAACAACTCTATAAAAATGAACTCTATTAAACTCATATCGTTTAATCGATATGAGTTTAAATTAAATCAACATTTAATTTCCAAATTTGAATTGGATTGTTGAACTGAATTTAATAAAGTCACACCAGAACCAGAGGAAATGTTCAAAGTGTCTTACCATGAGTATTTCTCAGGGCTCAAATATCCTTTCCATATTTTTATTAATTTGACATTTCATTTACAAAACAAGGTCAAAGAGTCTGGACCTAATTTTATTATTCTCCATTAATAGATACTCGCTTGCCAGAAATGTGCTACATGTTACATCTGAGAAAATGTTTCTCTTTTGTTCAAGATTTTTACACACAGTATTTTTTTTTTTTTTTTGGAACTTACTGACCAAAAACTACTTCAAAGTTTATATACAAAATAAAAACATGAAGAGAATAAAGAGAACTCCTTTCCTCCCTGTAAAAAGCGCTGTCTGTATTAAGTGTGGTCTGATGGCTCCTCCTCTGGTAGCTTTGAAGAATTACAAAAAAAAAAAAAAAAACATTTAATGAGATATTTCTGCTGAAACCCACCTAAACCTGTTAAGATCTGGTGTAAAATAAATAAATTATGTTCATACTAATAAAATCCTGTTAACTTAGCTTCACATAATTATGACATAGAGCAGCAGGCGCCATATTTGCACGTAGTCAAGCATAAAATGTAACAAAATACATTTAACATGATCAACAGAAAACAGAAAACACTGCTACAAAACACTGTTTATAAGTGAAATTACATGGGCACAATGCCTGAGGAGTTTTTGTACAGCTCTGTTGGTTTGTGTCACTGTGTCTCTCTGGCACAGTAATACACAGCAGAGTCTTCAGGCTGCATATTCTGTCCATTCAGAGTTGCTGTGTTGCTGGAAGAAACAAAGGTGATACTGAACTGGTTTTGCAGTGAATCTTTGTATGATGTACTCCATCTAGAGCCTTCTCCAGAACCACCAATCCACTCCAGTGCTTTCCCTGCAGGATGTCTGAAAAAAGCTGTCCAGTAGCTGCTGACAGAATAAGAGACCTGGCAGCTGAGGGTCAAAGGTTGGCCTGGTTGCACAGTCAGATAGGCTGGCTGAGTCAGCTGCTCACATGTCACACCTATAAACAAGAAATATAATACTGGAGTGTGAGAACAGTGAGCAGACAGTCTATTATAATCAAGTTGTCAACGCCTCAATGAGACTCACAAGATGCAGCAGCCAGCAGAAGCAGCAGAGCTACAGAGAACATGCTGGTGTTGAAGGTGATTTGATGGGAGTTTCTCTTCTCTTGCCTCAAAAACCATTTAAGGTCGACAACCTGGAAGTTTAATTTGCATAGAGGCAAAAGACAGATGATTTGTCCAATCAGATACTGACTTACTTTGTGGTTTTGTACAGGAAGAGATAAACTGATGCTTGGAGCCTAATTTATGTCTTCGGACTGTGGGAGAAAACTGGAGCCTCCACACAGGCACATGAATAACATGCAAACTCCATGCAGATTGACCCGGGTTAGGCCTGATACACAGGACATTCTTGATGCAAGAAACCAGTGCTTACAACAGCATAATTGACACACTGCTCACATGGCAATTATATTTAGTGATTGCAGCAAAAACTCCTTCTGAACCTTCATTTGCCAATTTTGAAGTTACCAAATTACTCTCATAAGTTAAATGAAGTATTTTTTATTTTTTTTGCTGTCAGGGTTTTGACATATACGAATGTTTCCTGTGAATATAGAAGCAGTAATTATGAGTCCTTGTAGATAGTAGTGAAAATAAGTAATGCAGCTAAAGAAAAGAAACATTTTATTTTGATTTAAAAAATGTTGGGACATTTGCATAAAATTGTGCAATAACTGATTAATAACTAAACTGGAGTCTCATTTGCATCCTTATTTTGTAAAACTAAATAGAAGAGCAGTCCATGATGTGAACAGGATCATATGCTATACTTGTGATATTAAAAGATAATCTTAAAGTGTAACAAAAAGCCTGTGAAATGAGTTAATGTAATTTCAGATGTAATAATCTCTCACCTTTTCTAGTTTTAACATTGCTTTGTTCTAGTCTGTTTTCCTTTTATGAAAGTGTCTTAATATAACTTAAAGTTAATGTTCATGAAATTTTTGAAATAACTGATACACTGCAGATACACCTGCTCTTTGCTGTTGTCTCTGGAGATAGTGAACCGGTTTCTCAATGACTGAAGATAGTAGGTTCTGTCACCACTATCACTGATACCAGAAACCCACTCCAGTCCTTTTCCAGCTGGCTGTCTGACCCAAGCAAACCAAGGAGTACCACTAAACCCAGAATATGTGCAGGTCAGTCTGTGGGACTCAGCAGGACTTTTGACCACTGGTTCAGACTCAGTCAGTGTTTGACACTCAGTACCTGTAGAAAAAAGACAATTAGTTAGCTGCTCAACATTAATTTATTCATTACTTGAGAAGCTCCCGTAAGTTCTTACCAGGCCACATAATTGCCAGGATGACAAAAGCAGTCACAACCTCAATTCTGATCATTGTTGCACCCATTTGTCTCTGCTAAGTCGACACTGTGTTTGTCCCCGATTTTATCAGGTTTAAAACAGATACAGACAAATGAAAGGAGTTTGATTTTTGCATCAGCTCCTCCCCTTCAAAGGAGGTGAAAACTTCAGTCTTTTTATTGGAGTAGCTTTTTATCAGTTGCTTAAATGCAGAGACTACAACTTCAGGAGGAATTATGTAGTGTGTATTACATTATCTTTGCACCAATAACTTATCGGCACACACTTAGATCCATTCATTTAATTCTGAAACCAAGTAGTATTACAATTAAAAGGTAAATGTATTGAAGTTGAAAAGAAGAATGATATTCTACATCTGTTGAACGTCATATCAGATCCTTACAAACAGGAAATCCCAAATCAACACATGGTTTTGTTGCCATCCTTTTCTGCAAATTGTCCGATGTAGTGCATTTTACCTGAACTGAAATCAAGAAGTAACTGGGGCTTTTTCCTTTGCTATCATGGGAGATTGTGCTCAAGCTGTTAGAACCAATTAGTAATAAATACAAAATGAGATTAAGACAAACTCACAATGGAAGAAATGTATGACTATTTTGAAAGACAACAAGATCAGCAGGACATACGTTTGACTATCATCTTTAAAATGAATGTGTGATCAAAATATATCCGTCTAATATAGAAGATAATCATACACTAGGAGTTCTAAAGTATGACCTCTGCATTGGAATTTAATTTATGAGATGATTTCTTTCTTTAGATTATGACCAAATTTGCATGAATTAAAGGTAAAAAAAAAAAAAAAAAAACTGATTTGCAGAAAACAACTTATTGTGAAACTTTATATGTCAGCTCTCCTGAAAAGGAAATGTAAAATTTGTCACTTCTAGAAACAAGAAAGTGGATGTCTTGTGTTGTCAGGATGTTTCTTTTGTTAGAGTCCCTCCACTGGTCAAAAGTGATTCTACACGTGTCGGATTTGAGGGGGTTTTGTACAGGTCGGCAGATGGTTTTTGTCACCGTGTCTTGTCTGGCACAGTAATACACAGCAGAGTCTCCAGGCTCCATATTCTGTCCATTCAGCGTCACTGTTTTACTGGAAGGCTCTAAACCGATGCTGAATTTATTCTTTAGTGACTCTGTGTAGTAAGTATTATATCCTACACCTGCTCCTCCAATCCACTCCAGTCCTTTCCCAGCAGGCTGCCTGACCCAGACTGTCCAGAAGCTGCTGAGAGAATAAGAGACCTGACAGCTGACCGCCAGACGTTGACCTGGCTGCACTGTTACAGAAGCTGGTTGTGTCAGCTGCTGACATTCCACACCTGCAAAGAAAAATACTATATTAAACAAACATGATGTTCAGAATCTGCTGTGTGTTTCTGTCTCAATGATACTCACAATGGCCAGCAGCCAACAGGAGAAGCAGAGTTACAGACAACATGTTGATGATCTGGTGGGAGTTTCTTTTCATTTCAGGTTTTTATAGCAGACAGCTTGGAGGTTTACTTTGCATAGAAAGAGGCACAAGAACGTTTAACTGTCCAATCAGAGATAAAGAGAGAGTTTTAGCTGACAAGATTTATTCTCTTTTTATTTTCCAGACTAGATTGACCAAAATAGTTCTGTTAGTAGAGAAAGTACCTTTTCTCATACAGTTACAATAAAAAAAAGGAAAAAAAAATGTGTTAAGTTCAGATTTAATAGCTTTTGGTTGCTTGGAAAAAACCAAAGAGCAACCAAAGCCCTACATGTCATTCACTAAGCATTCATGTGCTTGATCCCAGTGTCTCTGAAAAGAAAGGTGAACCATAACTCTCTAGCACTGGTAAAAACACAGACTGTAATTTGCTAAGAAAGACAGCAAATAGTTAAACAATTTAAAATAATAATAATTGATAACTCAACACTTTGGATTGAAAATTAATTAAAATGTCTTCTACAAACAAAACATATTAACTTAAAACTTGTCATTTATGGGTTAGTTTTAAATTAATATAAACTCATGCTAACACTTGCACTTAAGTTAAATAGATACACATTATTCTCACATTATGTTATTTCCAGTAGCAACAAAATCTCCATCAATTAAGTGAATTGTATCAATTTGACTTTAAAACCCATAATCTTCACATCCAAGTTTTACCTCGCATTAGTGGCTTGTCAAGTTTGTCCACAAGGTGGCATCATTTCTAAATATGTTTTTGGAAGAACTAATACAGTTTTTTATTTAAAACTGGTTTTACCTGAGATCTGCATGAGATGAGGAGGATCTATCTTTATTTTCTGTCAGTTCATACTTCAGATTATTCCTTTTCATTTTGAATCTGAAATTAAGTTACTGCATAATCTGCTGCTCATTTTAATTTTTACCTAAACTTCCTCACAATGTTCTCCTGTCACGTTTTCAAATTTGATCATGTTTTCCATGATTTCAAGGAAAGAAAGCATTCCTTTGAAACATTGTAGCTCAACTCTGAGACAGAATAAAGAACAAAACTCCTAAATTAAATAAAAAAAATGAATGGAAGATTTCAGAATATTTAAAATCTGACATGAAAGTTAAAAATATCTGATTAAATGCCAAACATTACAAAGGAACCCGGCTGCCACTGAAGTCAACATGTGGAAAGATTCAGCATGTTGTGTGAAGAGAAGAAACAAGCGGAGCTGAGGTTAACCTCAGTCTTTTCGTCTTCATGTGAAACTGAGCTGCTGTTTGGTTTCTTTCAGATTTTCATCTGTATTTCTGCTTCCTGGTGATATGTGGTTTTAAACGATGAAACTTTTGCACTCAGAAGGAGATGAGAAATGAGGTGCAATTCTGACGTTTCTCGTCATCATTTAGGTTATTCAATTATAGATTATTGGAAATGACCTGAACAAGTGGCAGAGAGTGGAGGTGGTTTATCACATAATCAATAAGAAAATTCAAATATCAGTGAAAAAGGAAGATAAAGTAGCTGTGAATGATGAAGGAAAACATTAATACAATAAAAAAAGAATTAATAACATAAGTAAATAATTGAAGATGTTTGATAAATCTGGAACATGTCAAAAAGGCTGCGGTAAAGTTTATTAATAGATCTTGCAACTAAATGAAACATGAACATGAACAGAGGAATATTTTTACAAACAATTAAAATTGTTTTTTCATTATCATGTCAAATAATGACTAACCCAAAAATATATGGGACATTTGACTAAATCGAAGAAAAAATACTTAGTAAACAGATCACAAATTCCATCTTTCCTGGAATGATAATCAAACCTGTTTTTTGTTTGTTTGTTTGTTTGTTTTATTTATTTTTTTAGCAAAGTTGTAAATGTTTTTTCTGAATTTGGGGTTTACAGAAAATATATATTTATTGCTTTATTTCTTTTAGATATTGTTCTTTATTTTAATTTGTATGTATTTATCATGAAATCTACATGTAAAAATACATTTTCACATACATACTAAGATATTTAAATTTTGGAATTGGCTTCCTGTTTGAGGAAGCCAATTCTTTAAACATGAAAGAAAAAACTCAAAATCTACCTCCTGTTTAATACGAAAACACAGACATACAGAAAACCAAAAAAGTCTAGCTTTGCATAAAATTAACAGAAACACTAGAAAAAAAGAAGAAATAAAACCGTAAGTCAAAGAAAATGTTAATAAATTTTATTTTCCACTGTAATAAACAAAAAACCATCTCTAATATGGTAAAATACCGGGAACTGCTGCGGTTGCCAGACTTTTAAATATGGTATAATCCATATTTGGGACTGCGGCTGCTGGTATTATACCATAAATTAGATAGGTTTATTTAGTAAATTTTCTTATTTCAGAGCTATTTAATCACAACTAAATGACTAAATGGAATTTTTCTTTTTTTAAATTGATTTCAATTAGATATTCATGAAGTGAAGGCTCAGTTTCAGAAGATCAGGCCTCTGATGGTGAGGACGGTGCTGAAGGCCAGAGCTTTGGTGAACACCACTCTCACTCCGTTCATCAGCAGCAGGTAGAAGTTCAGCTTGGCTTTTTCTGGACGGCAGAGAAACAGAGTTCAGACTGAAATGAACACAAACATCTGACAGCAGCGATCAGTGATGGAACCAAACTGAGACACGAAGAGATCAGACTCACCTGGATAAATGCTGCCACATTCGTCATCTGATTAGAGACAAAAAGAACATCTGTCACACAAACATCATGGAAACTCTGACAGTCATAAAAAGTCAGTAAACATTCTTCGAAGAACTTTTTGTAACAAATTGAATATGGAAGCTGTAATGTTGATGAGAGTTTAAGTCATAAAAAAAATTACCGAAAGTTTCAATGTCTCTAAAAACAAATAATAAGATCATTTATACTTTATGAATTTGTTACCAGCTTCATTGTTGCCGACCGTCCCGTTCATGTGGCAGGAGTAGATGGCTTCGTTGCTGAATGCAGCAAAGTAGTAGGTGTTATTCTTCGACAGAACGGCATTCGTCGTGTTCACAGTGAACGGACCCGTTTTCAAATTAAGAACCACATTTTCCCACTTTGGTCGGAAATCTGTGACCAGACAGACGTTTGGACTGGACTGGTTTGCTGGCTTCACAGTGTAGCCGGGAGTCTGCAGGGGACTGAGGACGTACAGGGACGGAGAAACGGGGGGAGCATTTGGATCTGCAGATGAGCAAAGAAAAACAGATCATATCAGGACATAAACATGACAGGAACAACATTTTATCAGCACAATATTAACTACTTCATGTCAACGCATAAACGACAGTGTAAACAACTAACCTTTTACCCCTCACCACTTCTACACAAGTCAATAGGTCCATAAAGACACTGGTGTCTCCATGTTAAAATGTTACAAAAGTAACGAGAAGTCGATTCAAAAGAAATAAGTCATAAAAAAAGTAGTTTTTAAAATTTTATTATTGCAATCAATTAGCTTTTTAAAATGTTTTGTGATGTTTTGTGTGTTTTCTTCCAAATCATTTAAGGAATGTAATGTGAAGTTAAAAATCAAATGCATTTGCAACAGCAACTTTGCCAAAAAGGGAAAAAGGGAAATCTTGTTCAGAATATTGACAATTCACCCAAACACCAGTTTTTTTTTTTTGTTTTGTTTTGTTTTGTTTTTTTTTTATCACAACTCTTAAAGGGAAAGTAATGATGGTGTGTCAAAAACATAATCAAAAAAATGTTCGCGTAAAACTCATAAAACACATAAAATTAGGGAATATATGTACCTCTAAAATGTAACTCTAGTATTCCAGGACCTTTACGATAACCGATATATCAGATATATCAGGCTCCCGATTTATGAAAAAGTATGTTCTGCATATATTCACAATAAATGATAATCAATCATTTAGACATTTTTACATGGAGTCAATGATTCAATTATTTGAGTAATTTAGTCACCTCACATTTAGTCCATATAGTCCTTTTGTTTTTCACTTTTTTGTTTAAGTCGAGGTTTTGTCTCCATCACATTTTAATCCATTCTTAATTTAGAGAACTGTAATTGTTAGAGATTCTTGTAGCCATATCTTTCTTTGGTCATTGTGAGTTGCCTGATCATAAACTATTCTTAGTTTTTCTTGTGCTTCTAAATTGACACTATGCCGCTGTTTTGCAAATCAAAATCATCTCTTTAGACATTTGCTTTAAGTCAAAATGTCAATTAGTTGAGAAGTTAAAACAAAAAAAATTACATCACAAGCAATTTTTTTGCATAATTGTAAATAATTACAGAATTATTTGCAATTATGCAAATAATTATGTCCCCTTTTCCTCTACAGCTTGAACCAGCCTTGTTCAGATTCTAGATCAATCTTCATTCTCATATTTTTGGGAAAATTTAAATTTTACAGTCTGGTCCATCAATTAATTTTTCAACAGATTACATTTGTTCATGTGGATAACAGAACCCAAATAAAAACACAAAAAACTTCTGGACGTCTTTAAACTCATAGTAATAAAAACTTTGAGATAATTTAACACCGAATCAAAAACAAAAACAACTTTACTGTAAACAATATTAAATTATTTTTTTTTGACAATTTGTCATATTAGTGCAGTCTTTTATAATCTGGTTTGAAATATAATATTAATAAGATTTGTCTGCAAAACTAAAATAGTAAATCTACAAATGCAATTTATTCAGATAACAGCAAAACAATTTAACAAGACTGTCAGCAAATAGGAGCATCAAAAGTTAAACTAAGCTAAGATTTTTACATAAATATTGTCATCATAAACAACAATGATAAAAAGAACTGTGAACAATATTTTAAAGGATCTTACCTGGTAGAACCGTGACTGTTGTTCCATTACCCCAGTAATCTAAATCTCACAGTGCTTCATCTTCACTGACTGCTTGAACAAAAACTTGAAGCATCACAAAAAAAATGGAAAGAAAATCACATAAAGGAGTTTCAACATTGGCCCAATCTTATGATATGGATATTATTGTGTAATGATTCTGAAAGAAACTTTGTATCAATTCTCTGATGCAATTAAAACAGACTCAAAAATACGACTTACAGTCTATGAATTAAACTCTAATTAATGTGTATTTGAAAACTATCAGTCCTTTTATCAAAATGGCAACACTGAGTTCTTACCTCATATTACAAAGGCAAAAATGTAGTAATCTATCTTTATTTATAGTCATCATTATGAATTATAGACAGGTTTTTGCACTGAGGTTTTTGTATTGGTGTGTATCTCTGTGGCCCCATAGTTCACTGTGAGAAACTCTGAAACAAAAACTCACAGCAGCAGAAGCAGACGGAAGGAGGAAACTGAAAGACAAGAGACAGTTACTACAGTTGTGGTTTTTAGGAAAATGTTCACACATATTTAAGCTCCAAAGCCTGGTAGGAATAAAACGGTTTCTTCAAACGTACTGATTTAGGGAAAAAAGTTTAAGGGGCATAAATTATTTTTAATTTTCTTTCATTTTTTTATACTTGTACAAAGCAAACATTTTTGTTCTATAGTTTGCCTTATCAGTGTCGATCAATGTAAGGCTAAATTCAAAATAACTCTGTATCACTAAAGTTTTTAAATAAACATGCCTTTAAAATAGCTACACCAAGAGTATATAAAAGATAGATTTAAAGCATTTGATTTTTTTTCCTCCTGAAATGTATATGTTTTATATTCACATGTTTAGTTAATTTCTTGAACCAACAGGTTGAACCTCATTTGTGCAACATGTTGAACCACATGGCTCAGTGGTAGAGCAGACTCAGCATGATTGAGTTTTGACCTTGGGTCTTTTACTGCATGTTTTCCCCTTCATAGTGTGACCCTACTTCATGTCCAGATATGAATGAATAAATATTAAGGGTTTCTTGTCACCAATGACAATAAACCCTTTAAAAAAAGCAGAAAATGTAGTCCTCAAAATGTTCATCTGCAGATATGTTTTTGTTGATTTTAAGCCTGCACAGGTATGGATCCTCTCCAGGCCTCTTCCTGTAGTCATACTACATCCATGATTATTTATTGAACACACAACCCTTAGGTTTGAGTGTATGCAAGGAATGTGTTTGTTTCTTCTGTATGTATCTGTTTCATTCTGTGGAAACCATGTGATTTGTCCAGGGTTCAATCATTGATCCATGAACCCGTGAAAATAAATTGCTGGCAAATAATTTATGGTCTGGTGGTCCCTCGTCTGGAGGTTTACAGTATTTCAAGCGTTCAGATACTGAATGAGTTTTTGTACAGGCCTGTTTATGTTTTGTATCACTGTGGAGTCTCGCACAGTAATACACAGCAGTGTCTTCAGGCTGCAAATTCTGTCCTTTCAGAGTCACTGTGTTACTGGAGGATTCTGTGGAAATGCTAAACTTGTTTCTGAGAGAATCTTTGTAATCTGTTGAAGATCCTTTTGCATCTCCAATCCATTCCAGTCCTTTCCCTGCAGACTGTCTGATCCAAGCTGTCCAGTAGCTGGTAACAGAATAAGAGACCTGACAGCTGATGGTCAGAGGTTGACCCGGCTGCACAGTCACAGAGACTGGCTGTGTCAGCTGCTCACACTTCACTTCTGCTAAAAGAAGAAAAAAGAGGAAATCTTGTTTTTTTAGACTTATGGTTGACAGAAATCTCAAAGATTGAAGAAACTCACCTGCAGCTGCTAGGAACAAGAACAGAGCAGCACGAAACATGTTGACTGATTTAACAAACATCCTCTAAACTCAACTCTGAACTGTGGCCTTTTTATAGGAGGTTGAAGGGAGGGCAGGTTTGCATGTATAGTATTCACTCCCTATGACAATCTAGATGATGACACACATACACATTTGTTATCTTTTGAAGTTCTTTATTGTTGACTAAAAATGTTATCAAAAATTATCAGAACTTCAGTGAGTGAGAGGTAAATAAGGTTTTCTACATGCACATTTCTTAGCCTTAATTTGCCAAATTTTATGAAACAAAAACTTCTGACATCACAAACTAACCATGAAGAATAACCCTTCTCTCCATATTGCAAATATTTAATATTAATTTGTTAAATGAACCTTTAAAATCTGACATTTTCTGCATAAGTACTAAAAATTGGTTGCAAAAAGAGCTGCTATATTTTCTCAGCTTGAACATTTGTCCACAATTCCAAAATCTATGCTTGTTTGAGAGTCAAATCTGAACAAAGACACTATTCTTCATTGCATGACAAAACTGTTTGATTTCCTATATTTTTAATTAGTCATAAAATAGAAACATAGAGATAGAGATGCATTTTTTTTTATTAAAGTCTTTTTAATTACAGTATTTTTTCCTGAACATCAGAAGTTTCAGCTTTCTGATGCAGCTGTTCAGTCACAGTGATGTTTTTGTTGAGGTCTGCTGCTGATCTGTGTCACTGTGGATCTCTGGCACAATAATACACAGCAGAGTCCTCCGGCTGCATATTTTCTCCATTCAGAGTCACTATGTCATTTGACTCATCTAGATTGATGCTGAACTTGCTGGTTAATGAATCTTTAATAGTTGTGTCACGACTAATCCACTCCAGTCCTTTTCCTTCAGGCTGTCTGATCCAAGCTGTGAAATATGTGCTAACAGAATAAGAGACCTGACAGCTGATGGTCAGAGGTTGACCCGGCTGCACAGTCACAGAGGCTGGCTGTCTCAGAGTCTCAGACCAAACACCTGGGAAAACAAAAATTTTTGAGATTCAAACCAGGATCTGGTGATTCTCACAAATCTAGAAATTCTTACCTGATCCAGCTGCTAACAGCAGCAGCATCAGCGTGACAGAGAACATGGTTGGTGCATCTGAAACACTGAAATCTGATCCCCTTTTACAGCTGAACTCTTTACATCTACATGACAAGTGAAACCACAAAATTTGCATAGAGTGCCTACAGAGAAATAATTTGTATTTATTTTGATTTAAAACAATTTTGGTAAATAAGAAAGAGAAATATGAAACATATTTTTACGTTTAAAGGTGCAAATATCTAATATGAATCAACTTTAAATTTATAATTATAATAACTTTGTTAGTCATTTTATAAATACTGTATTACTTTTAGAATGTTTCTTTTTTATGCTGTTTTGTCCTGCAGAATTAAAGGAAACAACATAAAACCTCAGCATTTCAATTTATTAATACAGTTTTCTGTAATCGTTATTTTTTAAAGGCAATATAAAAACAATGAGTCAGGGTCAGTTTAAATGTGACACATTAGCTGCTGATCTAGAACATAATACAAGTGGGATTTTTTTATATTGTTTAAACTTCAACAAATTTTCACATATGCATGTCCATGTTGTTCTGTGCTTTTTTTATTCACCACAGTTTTGCCCTCTCCAATACTTTGATCTCTGATCATAAATTGACTTTAAAAAAATCTAGTCATAAATGATGATGTACACAGTAAAACTGACAAAAACAAGAAATTATGCTGCATCTTTGCATTAATAAACATCAAATTTGCAGCAAGTATTTTCACATTTTTTGTCCTTTTCTATCTCAACTCTTGTCTTCCCATTTATAGTGGAAACAATTATATGAGGAAAGGTGAGGAAAAAATGTTTATAGATTACAGCTTTGAGATAGGGGTCACTAGTGCATTAGGGTGGCAGAGAACATGGTCGGTGCAATGAATGAGTGAAATGTAGAAAATGAAAAGGTCATAAAACTGTTAGGATCTGAACTGTTCGATAAGAAAGACCAGACACTTCATGGAAGAATCATATTGCTCTAGGACTTTTTGTACAGCTGCTCCACTGTCTTCTGTCACTGTGCTCTTCGGGCACAGAAGTAAACAGCAGTGTCATCTGCAGTGAGACTGGTGATCTGCAGGAACTGAGTGCTGCTGGAAACATCCTGAGTGAAGCTGAAACGGCTCTGAAAGGAGCTGGCATAGGTAGGAACAACTGTCTCTGTGTTTATCCACCCAATCCATTCTAAACCTTTCCCAGGTTTCTGTCTTATCCAGTTCATGCTATACTGTGTCATTGTGTAACCAGATGTGACACATGAAATCTTCACAGTGTCTCCTGGTCTTTTCACCTCAGAGGATTGAGGCTGCTCCAATTTGATCTCACTCCAAACAGCTGTAGGAATCAAAAACATTACTTTTGCACCCTATTTAACAACTATCACTTTTTTTTATTGAAACATGAAAGCTTACCTTGAATGGTAAAAACAAAAACTAAGCTCCATGAAATTAACATGTCTTTGGTAAAAATGTGAATTTTCCAAGTTATATTTGTAAAGTGGTCTGAGTGTTTCTCCCTCAGATAAATGCTGGTTATTGATAGGGTGCTTGGTGTATTTATAAAGCAGAAACAGTTTGCATTGACGTCCCCCTACAGGTTTAAGTGAGGAACATCTGAAAAACATAACACCAAAATTCAAATTCATAGCATGTTGTGCCAACCTATGGGGAGTGTGAAGTTTTTGTGAATACATTAACAGTTTGGTTTACAACAGTGTCATAAGAAAACACAACTAATTATGCTCCCTGTATTATAGCAGAAGTACTTTAATGGTGTAGGTTCTTGATATTGCTCTTCGTTCTTCCATTATAATCTAGCTGCTGAAACTCTGTGTTATATATTTTTATTTCAAAGTTTTGCCTATGTATTTCTACAAAACTCCCTAATGTTTTGAAATCAAAGACTTATATTTGAAATTTACTTTGACAAATACGGTTCTATGATCTATTCCTTAAAGATGAAATATTCATGGTGGCCTGTGATAGTCTAGTGGGATTTCCCTGGGACCCGTTCACTCAATCAGTACCATAAAGAGGCAATGGCTAATCATAACATTCCTAGATTTCAGATTTTTTATTTTTATTTTTGTTCTTTCTTTCTTTCTTTCTTTGTTTTGCAGTAGTAAAAAGGTAGGAGTCATCTGCATGTAATTTTCTCTCGCTTGTCATTGAACTTTTATCTAGATTGGTGTCACTGTCGTTCTAACAGGGCTCCCTCTGCTGGATAAATTGTAATTGCAAGAATCCAGGCCCTGATAGGTTTTTGTACAGCTATGTTGCTTTCTTTTATAACTGTGGGTCTCTGGCACAGTAATACACAGCAGAGTCTCCAGGCTGCATATTCTGTCCATTCAGCGTCACAGTGTTACTGGAAGTATCTAAGGCAATACTGAACTTGTTTTCCAGTGAATTTTTGTAGTATGAATCTCCTGTATATTTGCTCCCAATCCATTCCAGTCCTTTCCCTGCAGGCTGTCTGATCCAAGCTGTGTAGTAGCTGCTAACTGAATAAGAGACCTGACAGCTGACGGTCAGAGTCTGACCTGGCTGCACAGTCAAAGAGGCTGGTTGTGTCAGCTGTTCACATTTCACACCTGTTAATGATAACATAAAATTAAATAAACTGTGATTTCAATCAATTTAATATTAATTAAACCGATTGAGTGTGGTGTAATTACAATGTGAGTCTCTCAATAAAACTTACGTGATCCAGCACACAGCACAAGAAGTAAAGCTAAAGAGAACATGTTGGTATAAAAAATGAAATGAATGAAATGAAATCCAATAAAATCTTCTGTCTTCTGTGACAGGATGAGAGGAAGTACTTAAACTAGAACGTTGAATTTGCATAATGACAGGTTAACCAATCACAAATGACTCTTGCAATACTTCATAATGTTGCTGATCTACTTGATTTGATGTTTTGAACAGGATGCAGCTCTATGAGTGATGCTGTTTTGTGTTTAGTTGTGGAGATTTTAGTTGGAATTTCACAAGCAAAGAGTGAGTGTTCCCATAAACTGGACTATTACAAATCATACAAATCAATTCAATACAAGAGTTTTTCTGCTGAGCTGCTATTTCACAGGTTTTGAAACAGTAAATCTAAAACAACAGTAGTTTATATAGTGTACTGAGAATTTTATGATGGATTGGAAAACAAAATAAAACAAGTAAAATTAAAGCATTTAGATAATAATTATCAAGGACTGTGACAAAAAATTTGCAGTGGAGTCATTAGTGGTTCTACGGTGCCTCCCCTGGTAGTTATGTGTTCAGGTCCTGAGAGGTTTTTGTAAAGCACACCTGCTTATTTGTGTCACTGTGGGTCTCTGGCACAGTAATACACAGCAGAGTCTTCAGGCTGCATATTCTGTCCATTCAGAGTCGCTGTTTTAATGGAATCTTGTACTGTAATACTAAACTTGCTCTTTAAAGAATCTTTGCGAGCTCCTGTGCATCCAGAGCACATATAACCAATCCACTCCAGTCCTTTTCCTGCAGGCTGTCTGATCCAGTGTGTCTGATAGCTGCTTAGAGAATAAGAGACCTGACAGCTGATGGTCAGAGGTTGACCTGGCTGCAGAGTCACTGATTCTGGTTGTGTCAGCTGTTCACACCTCACATCTGTAGATGACAACATAAAACTAATCAAAGTACAACACTAGTAATAATACAGCATCAGCATAATGTGAGTATTTCTGAGAGACTCACAGGATCCAGCAGCCAGCAGCAGCAGCAGAGCTACAGAGAACATGTTGGTGCTGAAGATGATCCAATGAGAACTTCTCTGTGACTGACAAGATGAGAACATGTCATTTAAAGGATCCCATTTAATTTGCCTAATGTCCAACCAGCCAATCATCTAGTCCTATTAAATGCTAGCAGCACAGCAGGAAACTAGCAGGTTTTTTCTACCAGAAAACCCCTTAGATCATTTTTCTGAATGGGTGTATAAAAACGACTTGTTTTGGTTGTTATATTTATAACCATGAGGTGTTTTTCTCATTTTTCTCCTTTTTTTGCAATATTCCTGTCTTTCTCCTGTTCCTCCTTTCACAACCGAAGACAGTAGGAGTAACTTATTAATTTATCATAAATGATAAATTTATGATAAAGAAATTTGTCATTTATAATAAATAATGTTGAATGATAGAACAACCAGTCACAATTTGATTTTAAAATATTTTACTCTCATTATCAAAACATTTTATTTAATTCATTGTTGAATTAAATAAAATGTTTTATTCAACAATGGGGAATGTGTACTGTCCCACCAGCCAAAATATAATTTATCAAAACAAGTTGTAAGAAAACTGATAAAAATCTTCTATATAGAAAGAAAGGTTTATCATGAATTCAGCCTCAAATTAAATGTAATGTGTCAATTACACATCTGATCCATGACTGAAGTTTATAATAAAACATTCTGTTGAACCAGCTGTTGATAAAGCCAAAAATTGTACAAAGTTTTTGCACAGCCTCTCTGCTCATTAATCACTGTGTTTCTTGCACAGTAATACGCAGCAGTGTTCTCTGGTTCTATAGTACACACAAGCTGGCGATTTCTATATGACCTTAGAAAATGTCGGCACAAGAGTTGCCTCCAAAATCCCCGAGTGTTTCTTTTTTCTGCTCGTTCCAGTGTGTGTGATCGTTGCTCACAGCCATTGCATACCTGAGACATGACGGTCAGAACCTGAACTCTGCTCACACTTCACCCCTGTTGATGACATCACATCAGTTCAACATGTAATATCAATGACAGTGTAATGTAACCATAATATGATTGTTAAATGAAACTCACAGCAATCTGCATCAGAGCTACAGATATGTATAAAAATATGTATGAAAGATAATCTGATGAAAGTGTAATTGACAGATCAAGTCCTTAATTTGTAATGTAGAATTTAAAAAAATGGCAGCACAAACAGTCACAATTTGCTTTACTGTCATTATCAAAACATTACCTTCCTGAAATAATGGCCAAGCCATTCATTGCCAAAAGTGATTTTATTTTTGGTCTAAATCAACTTTTGGCGAAAAAAAAATTGGTGCTTTTTTGTTTTTTGTGTTTTTTTGCTTTGGTTTTTGCTTTAACTGTTTCAATATTTAGGAAAATCAAACCACAAAACCAGCTATTGTTTATACAGTGCCCGCAGTTTTTTATGATGAAATTAAGAAATGAATAAAATAAAAAAATATATATTATTTATTTATTTAATGATAATTTACCTTTTTTTTTTCAACAGCATTTTGGCCTCTAAAATTATTTAGAGAAAAGTAGAATTTTAAGTTTTCCAACTGGAATAAGACCTTTGTCAAATAATCTTTCTCTGAGTCATTAGTGTTGCTGCAGATCCTCTCCTGCTCGTTTTATGACGTGTGTGCAGGCTGAGGGATTTTTGTACAGCTCTGCAGCTTGTCCGTCTCACTGCGGGTGTATGGTTTCTGTCTGGCACAGTAATACACAGCAGAGTCTTCAGGCTGCATATTCTGTCCATTCAGAGTCACTGTTTTGCTGGACGCTTGTACTGCAATACTGAACTTGCTCTTTAAAGAATCTTTACGAGCTCCTGTGCATCCAGAGCACATATAACCAATCCACTCCAGTCCTTTTCCTGCAGGCTGTCTGATCCAGTGTGTCCAGGTGCTCACATCATAAGAGACCTGACAGCTGATGGTGAGAGGTTGACCTGGCTGCAGAGTCACAGACGATGGCTGAGTCAGCTGTTCACATTTCACCCCTGTTAATTAGAAAGTTTAATACATGAAAGAGTATCATTAATAATAGTGTAAAGAGATGATGGTACCGTCCTGGTGAGACTCACAGGATTCAGCAGCCAGCAGCACCAGCAGAGCAACAAAGAACATGTTGGTGTTGAACTTGAATCAATGAAAATAGCTGTTGCTTTGTGACTGATAGAATGACACTGACTATTTATAACACCATGACTCATTTGAAAAATGACAGACCATCCAATCACAAACAGGTCTAGAGCAATATATCGCTTGGCAGGCTGAATGTTTGTTTATGTTAAACAGGGTGTGGTTATTCAAGGTAACAGAGAAGGTTGATGCACCTGTCATATTCCTTGAGATTTTAAGGAAGAAATAACTTCTTTAATTAAAATTTATATGATGAGATTTATTGTCTCCATATTCTTATATTTCAGACATTGTTATCCTCTCTATAATTGGGAAATTAATTTTTAAAAAAGTTATTAAACTTTGCATAAATATAAACCCAATATACATCCTCTGTTTCACATATGCAGACAGAAATCTGGAAAAAACAGGAAATCATCAAAAACCACATTTTTTGCTGATGACACCCATGTCTTTTTCTCTGTGAAGAGTTTTTGTACAGCCTCTCTGCTCACATTAATCACAGTGTGTTCTTTGCACAGTAATACACAGCAGATTCTTCTGGTTTCATGGTAGACAGACTCAGATACACAATGTTTTTACTGGTGTCTCTGGTGATTTCTATACGTCCTTGGACATTGCTGGCATAGTTGTTACTTCCACCACCCCAAATAACACCCATCCATTCAAGTGCTTTTCCTGCTGGTTGTCGGATCCAGTGTGTGCCGTAGCTGGTGACAGAATAAGAGACCTGACAGCTGATGCTCAGAGTCTGACCTGGCTGCACAGTCAAAGAGGCTGGTTGTGTCAGCTGTTCACAATTCACACCTGTTGATGACAACATAAATTAATTAAAGTGTACAATCAATATGTGCATGTCAGCATACTGTTAGTGTCTCTGAGAGACTCACAGGATCCAGCAGCCAGCAGCAGCAGCAGCAGCACAGATATAGAGAACATGTTGGTGTTGAAGATGATCCAGTCAGAGCTTCTCTGTGACTGACTGTTTAAAAATCAAGATGTGTAATTTGCCTAATGACCTATCAGCCAATCATGAATGATTATCTTACGCCTAACATCACAGCAGGAAGTGTTTTTTCAAGCAGGATGTAGATTGAGATTATTTCTACATTCATAAAACTAACCTATTTTTGACTTTATAATATTGCTATATTTTCCTCCATTCCTCCTTACACTTTATGATAAAGACAATAAATGTTCCATAACACATAATAGAAATATTTTTCATGAACTAAATATACTCGTATAAACTAATGTTAGAATGCTGTGACTTGTTGTTTCAGAAAATGATGTTTATGACCATGATATTAATCAAGAAGAAAGATGAGGCAACCTTTTTGCAACCTCTTACAGTCAATGTTGTGTTTTTAAGCACAACATTGCTCTGTTATATAGACATGTTTAATTTGTAATGAAATTTTATAAATGTTAGTTACAATCTTTTATTAAAATTTTAATTGATTTAATCTGAATAAAGACGTATTTGTTGTGTATTTAAGACATTTGGTTGAAATAATCATGACACTCAATGGCCTAAGAGCGCCTCCTGTGGGTGATATGTAAGCAACATGTGTTCAGGCTCAAAGGATTTTTTTGTACAGCTGTGCTGAACGTTTCCATCACTGTGACTGTCTCGCACAGTAATAAACAGCAGCATCTTCAGGCTGCATATTCTGTCCATTCAGAGTCACTGTGTTACTGGAGGAGTGTGCAGAAAGGCTGAATTTGTTCCTGAGAGAATCTTTGTAGCTTGATGTTAATCCATCAGCTGCTCTTCCAATCCACTCCAGTCCTTTTCCTGCAGGCTGTCTGATCCAGTGGGTCCAGTAGCTTCTAACAGAATAAGAGACCTGACAGCTGATGCTGAGGGTCTGACCGGGCTGCAGAGTCACAGAAGCCGGCTGTGTCAGCTGTTCACACTCCACTCCTGATAAGAACATGTGTTGTCAGAAATTATGAATAAATGTTAAAGATAATAAATTACTGACTGAAATAAATTGGAAGAAATTCACCTGCAGCTGCAAGGAGCAGGAAAAGAGCAGCACAAAACATGTTGACTGGTGGCACAGACATTTTATGAAATCAACTCCACACTGTGGCATTTATATAGGAAATAGGAGGAGACCGAGTGGCATGTGATCATATAATATGACAGTTTCGGTTTAGCAGCTCTGTTCTTCTCACATTTGTTTTCTTCAGATGTTGTTAATATTTTCTTTATGTGTATTTGTATACAATGCACTTAAATATTTAGATTGTATAATATGTAAGGTTTTAATATGACCTATTTTTAGTTTAAAAATCTATTGTGCTTACATTATGAGTAGCATAAAGCTGAAACCAAGCTATCATTTGCAGTTATATTCAGTGAGTTATAACGTACTTCCCAACGAGTCTCATATGTCAGATTAAAAGCACCTTTTAAAAATATCAACCTCTAAAAAGGCATTAAACATGCTTTTCATGATTACAACATATTTGTTTTTAATTTGTTTTTCATTTTAAGTGTCATGTTTTTAACTTGGTGATGAAGTTACTGAAACAAATTGACTTTTCAGTAATGTTCTAATTTATTGATTAAGTATGTACAATAACATCAGTAATTTAGTGCCTTTAGTACGCTGCTATAAGAATCAAAGGAACAATGCTAAGGTTTTGAAAATGAATTGAGAAGAAGAATAAAAGCATTTTCCTATTAAAATAACCAGTGTCACAAATTTAGGAGCATTTTAATTCTTTCTATTCAGTTTCATATCTGATAACAATTGAAGATGTGAAATATGGACTGTTTATGCAGAACTTCCTGCTGATGAAGCTAAAAACAGAAAATCTCAAACCAAAACAACATCAATAGTTTTAACACAATGCTTAGTATTTGTATCCAGACTTATGTCACTTCTGTTCAGTGATGAGTTTTTGTACAGGCTCTCTGCTCATATTAATCACTGTGTGACTCTAGCACAGTAATACACAGCAGATTCTTCTGGCTTCATGGCAGACAGTCGCAAATACACAATGTTTTTACTGGTGTCTCTGGTGATTTCTATACGTCCTTGGAGATTGCTAGCATAATAATTGTTTCCATTATACCAAATAGCACCCATCCATTCAGGTCCTTTTCCTGCTGGTTGTCGGATCCAGCCTGTGCCTTGGCTGGTGACAGAATAAGAGACCTGACAGCTGATGCTCAGAGTCTGGCCTGGCTGCACAGTCAAAGAGGCTGGTTGTGTCAGCTGTTCACACTTCACACCTGTTAATGACAACATAAATTAATTAAAGTGCATCACCAATATGTGTGTCTCAGCATAATGTGAGTGTCTCAGGAAGACTCACAGGATGCAGCAGCCAGCAGCAACAGAAATACAGAGAACATGTTGGTGTTGATGAAAGTGATCCAATGAAAGCTTCTGTTCCTCTGACTGACAGCACTGACTTTTTATAGCAGTTTTACTTTGCATGATGACCGACTACCCAATCAGCTTTAAGAGAAAGGGAAGAATTATCTCAGCTACACTGCCTGCAAACTATACAAATGAATCTATTTTTTCAACTTGTTGTTGCTAATTAAAATTTTCTAGAACATTAAAATTTGATTTATTGTTCAAATCCCAATGGAATCCTCTATCATATCAATTTTTCAGTGGTAGTATCTTCACTGTGATGTTTGACTGCAAACAGATCTTAAAGAAAAAAAAATCATGTATATAAGATAAGGGTTGAAAGATGCCCTGGCATTTGTCATTCAACAGGTATTAAAAAAACAATATTTTTTAAATAAAAAAAATATAATTTGAAAGATAAATAAAACTGCTTTTCAATGTGTAATGAGAAATGCAACACAATATGTCATTTGACGATAATGAGTTGTTTAATAATACATTTATTACAATATCTAAACATCATTTTTCCTTTGTAATTGTGTGGTGATGAGTTGTATTTTCACACAGACATTCTGGAAAAATACAAACCAATAAGAAATTTAAATATGTCTGGATCAAATGCCGTTCCATTAAACCAATAATCCTCAAATCCAGGCCTTGAAGGACGATGCACTGCAGCTTTTAAATGTGTCTCTGTTTCAACACACCTGATTCAAATAATGGAATCATTTGCAGGACTGTATTCAACTTGACTACACTGACGAGGTAATTCAGTCATTTAATCCAGGAGAATTGGAACAAGGACACATCTGAAAGTTGCAGGACACTGGCTATAAAAGCTTGAATCTTAGGACTCCTACCCTGCTCTGATGCTTGATTATTAGTATGTGGTTTAATGCCCAATACACCATATGTTTGTGCAATGATTAGTGCAAATATATCTTTGATTAAAAAAAAAAGAAAAGAAAATAAACTCAACTTTTCTGAGTTTTCTAAGGCCATCAGTGGCCTAAAGCGCTTCCTCTGTTTTAGAATTGATAACATGTATGTTTTGTATATCTCTGCTGTTTGTGCCAGTATGTGACAAATGACAGTGACAGGCCAAAGTCATCACAACCGGTTGAAAAACACAAAAAAATAGGATGAAGTAGTAAGATATGTGAAGCCCTTTTCACAATAATAGAGTGGAGAGATGTTACTCATGACGTTGCTCTACCATTTCATACTTACGGTACATAAAATATGAATAACATACTGAACAAAATTACAACATACATACAACATACAACACAGAAAAAAGTTAGACTAAACAAATCCTAGGAGGAAATTTAAGTCCTAAATATTTATTTTATTATTGTTTTCAAGTGTTATTCTGTAGTATACTGAAAACATTTGGATATTTGTTAAAACCCATACAATGAAAGGCGTTTACATTTTATTTGTTTTGAAATAAGTGGTCTAACAGCGCCTCATCTGGTTGATGGGAAACTATCATGGTGTTTTTGTACAGCTCTCCAGATGGTCTGTGTCACTGTGTCAATGTCTCTCTTGCACAGTAATACACAGCAGTATCTCCAGGTTGCACATTTTGTCCTTTCAGAGTCACTGTGTTACTAGAGGAATCTGTAGAAATGCTACATTTATTTCTGAGGGAATCTTTGTAGAATGTTGAAGATCCTTTGGCTTCTCCAATCCACTCCAGCTCTTTTCCTGCAGGCTGTCTAATCCAGTGGGTCCAGTAGACAGTAACAGAATAAGAGACCTGACAGCTGATGGTCAGAGTCTGACCTGGCTGCAGAGTCATAGAAGCTGGCTGTGTCAGCTGGTCACACTTCACACCTGGTTAAAAAAAATGTAAATCAGAAATTATAATAAATGTAATTAAAAAAAAATCAATTTCTCTTCAAAGTACATCTTAAAAACTCACCTGAAGTTATTAGGAGGATGACCAGAGTAGCACAAATCATGTTGGCAGATGAAACAGACATCCTGTTAACTCTCTGCTGCAGCATTTTATAGCAGGTTTAGGCAAAATGAGGGTCTTGAGTGGAAATGTGGGGGGAGGAGTTAAACGCTGAAAAAAATCTATGCATCAGGAATAACAAATGTCTGCATTTTGCTAGAATTAATCATATATATGACTGATGGGAGGTGCTCAGGGTTTTGATAAGCTAACATTAAATGCAGTATGTTATAATATAATCTGCTGAAATATATATATTTTATTATTTTAAGCTGATTACTACATCGACTGGAATCTGACATACAGGATTTCAGTTTTTTTTTTAAATATGATTACAAGTTTTATTAATATAAACCTGCAGTTTGCAGGTTTTATGATCTTAGTATTTTCTTTTTCTGCAATAAAAACATTTGTAAGCAAATATAATTTTGTATCACGATTCAATTTTAATATGACTATGAACTCAATATGTGAGAAGCCAAGAGACTCATGATCCATCCCCAGTCCATCACAAGTCAACACATGGAGTAACCACTTATGTACACAATCATAACTAACGACAATTTAATTGTTTCAATTAGGCGACAACTTTGTAGGAAAACAAATTTTCTTACTAAGCTACAAAAATCAAAAATACGATGCGAAGACAATGAAAATGCATTGAGAAAAAGAAAAAGAACATTCTTCTATAAAAGAACTGTTTCATAAAGTTGGGCCCATATTAAAAATATTTTGAGTACACATTTGGCACATGACTGAAGATGAGAAATAAAAACATTGTTTCTGTTGAGCCACCTGCCAGTGAAGCTAAGAAACAGGAAATCTCAAACCACAGCATCACTTATAGTTTTACCATGATCCTGAATATAGTATTTATATTCAGGCTAGTGTTACTTCTGCACTAAAGGAGTTTTTGTACAGTCTCTCTGCTCATATCAACCACAGTGTGCGTCTGGCACAGTAATACACAGCAGACTCCTCTGGTTTCATGGAAGAAAGTCTCAGCTCTACTATTTTCTTATTTGTGTCTCTGGTGATATCTATACGACCTTGGAGACTTTGGGCATATGTCTTGCTTCCATCAGTCCAAATTATACCCATCCATTCAAGTGCTTTTCCTGCAGGTTGTCTGATCCAAGCAGTGTGATAGCTGCCCAACGAATAAGAAACCTGACAGCTGATGGTCAGAGTCTGACCTGGCTGCACAGTCAAAGAGGCTGGTTGTGTCAGCTGTTCACACTTCACACCTGTAGATGACAACAATAAATTACTTAAAGTTTATCACCAAAATATCACCAAAATATCTGTCAACATAATGTGAGCATCTCAGTGAGACTCACAGGATCCTGCAGCCAGCAGCAGCAACAGCAGAGATAAAGAGAACATGTTGGTGTTGAAGGTGATCTGATGGGAGTTTCTTTTGTGTTGAATTTAACTTCAGTGGGATGAAAACACAGGACGTTAACTTTGCATAGAGGCAAATGCTGAAAGGCTTTTGCAGTACAGATAATCGTTTTTGTGTTTGCTTTTGGGTGGAATTAAATAAACTCCTCTGTCTTGCATAATTTAGGTATATTTCACATCCAACTTACCTGAATTGTTGGATTTTCTTTGTATCTTTATACATCTTTAATGTATACAGATATGTAAAAGCTCATAAATATAAAAAAGTCTTCATGAAATAATTTTAGTGTTTTTTACATGTAAACAAATTATTTTTGTTTAAATACATTCGCAATAAAATCTGTTAAACAGAGATTTAATAAAACTTTTGGATTATTTTTTTCTGCAACAAAAAGTCTACCCAACTAGTTGACAATCATCTTTTTCCTACCCTTCTAATAGCTTGAGATATCTTGACATATACAATAAATAGGATTCAATCAATCCATGGTTTTCCTTTTTAACTTCCACTTCTTTAAAAGCCTAATATGTAATTCACCTTAGCAAAAACAAATGTTCAACGGGTTCAATGAACAATTAAAGCCCTAACATTACATAATAAAATGTGACAAAAAGAAAAACAGTCCAAAGGCAGCCGAACATTTATTTTGAGATGTCTTTATTACAGTGGCATTACTTTACAGATTGTGGGTAATGGCTGCACCAGTGATAGATCTAGAAACAAAAATCATGAATGAAAAATCAGTTCAACCATCACACAGATGCAGAGGAGACATGAATGAGGACATGAGGTATGAGGCTGAAGAATCAAACTTGAAGAAGGGAAGCAGACTTTGGAAAGCCTTGTAAGAGTGACAAAATACAAAAAATAATACTCAGATTTGTTTTTGTTTTTTTTTCAAAAGTTTTCTCTCTGATCCATTGTTGTTAAACATTATCTGGAAACCAATGAAAAAAAAAAAATAGGGTTTTTTTTGTAGTTGTTTTTTCTGTTAAACCAGATATGAAAAAAGCTTTAAAACAGGAAATCACAAACTGCTAGTCGCTTCTGTGTTCATAGTGTGCTCCAGGAGTGAAGAGTTTTTGTACAGCCTCTGCAGGTACATTAACCACTGTGCGTCTCTGGCACAGTAATACACGGCAGAGTCCTCTGGCTTCAGGTTAGACAGTTTTAGATGCACTATGCTGTTGCTGTTTTCTCTGGTGATTTCTATACGTCCATCAACACTGTTTGAGTAAGCTGTTCTTGCTCCATCGTCAGAAATACCACCCATCCACTCCAGTGTTTTTCCTGCTGGTTGTCTGATCCAGAAAATTGCATACTGACTGAAATCAAATCCAGATCCTCTGCAGGACAGACTCAGAATTTCCTGAGGCCTTTTCACCACCGAGGTGGAAGGAATGGACTCCATGGACTGGCTGTTAGAACCTGACAAAAGACCAGGAATAAAAACACATAAATTACATGAAAACTAAATGTAGCAGACCTAGTAACAGCATGATGCAACCTACACGGCAGACAGATCACTGCCAGTAGAACAGACAGTATGAACATCATCTTGATTCTAAAGGTGTGACTGAAGCTCGTCCCATTAATGAAGAAGGCAGAGACACAGTGGGAGGTCCGAAACCTGATATTTGCATTAGTATTTCACTTAAAGAAGAAAATGTTTGTTAATTTTGTTTTTTGTAGACGCCATGCTGCCTTTCAAAAGGCGTTTTATAATTGAAATCATAGATTTATTGACTGGTTTGTTAAAAAGAATATATTGAAGGTAGTGAATTTTTGACAAAATATTTGTGAGATCAGTGTAACATAATTAGGTGAATTCTACATTTTTTTTTCTTTTTCATTCTTAGGGCAATTAAAATAATCCATAGTTCCAGCAATAACTTTTTTAAAGATTATTTAGGCTTCTATTAAGTAACATGCTGCTGTTTGTTTGTGTGTACATTTGTTGTCGCTGTAATAAAATCACAAATAACAAAATCATATTCAGCCAAAATCTTAAAGTGAAATTCAGTTGTACTGGTGAAGAGAATTGGCCTGAACTTTATTTGTGGTTTTAGAGCGCCTCCACTGGCGGCTCCATGTTATAGGGCTTCAGGCTCTGAAGGGTTTTTGTTCAGCTCTGCAGAAGTGTTGCGTCAGTGTGGGGTCTCTAGCACAGTAATACACTGCAGAGTCCTGAGGCTGTAGATTCTGTCCGTTCAGAGTGACTGTTTTACTGGAAGAATCCACTGTAAAACTGAACTTGTTTCTTAAAGAATCTTTGTAGACTGGAGTGCATGTTCTGCATGTGAAACCGATCCACTCCAGTCCTTTCCCAGCAGGCTGTCTGATCCAGTGTGTCCAGGCGTCCAGACTATAAGACACCTGACAGCTGATGGTCAGACGGTGACCTGGCTGCACAGTCGCAGAGGCTGGTTGAGTCAGCTGCTCACACTTCACACCTGAGGAGAAAACATTTAATATTGAGCTGTGAACCATCGATGTGACGTGATCATTCTGTAAATATTTGTCTCACTGAGACTCACTGGATCCGGCAGCCAAAACCAGCAGCAGAGCTACAGACAACATGGTGATGTTGCAGGTGATCTGATGAACGTTTCTGTTTGTTTTTGACTGAAATCGTGAGATCGACCCTATAGAGTAAAATGTTTCATTTGCATAATGACAGATGAGCCAATCATATGTGGTTCATTGGCCTGTCCTGTGTATAATCTTGCAAAACAAGAGATTACTTTAAACTCTTTAGAAAAAATAACTGCACATTTGTTTGTAATTTCATTAAATGATTTATGTAGCTGTATCTTTGAAAAACATTTAAAAAAATAATAATTCAGCTCACTGCAAGATGTGTTTTTCTGAATTGTTTTGGAACATCTGTGCATTTTAATTAGCTTTTTTTTTACTGTATCATAATATTTTTTTTATATATCATCCAAAAAGGAACATTCTCTTGTAGTTGTGTTATATTTGCTGAAATATCACTAAAATATTTTTATGTCACCAGAGCAATGAAAACTGTGAAGATTTGTGTGCTTTATTTCACTGAATGGAAAAAGGAGTTTATTTGTAATTGAGGCAAAAGCTAACAAACACAAGGAAGTGTTAAGCTTAAGTTTTGAAACAAAAATTTCAGTGAACCCCTACAAGCTTCCACTATGAAAACAAACATTTTCCTTTTAGACACACTACATATCCTTATCAGACAGCATAACAATCAGGTCAAGGCCCAGGAAAAGGGAGCTGGAACTTTGAAAGCTATGTCAGTCTGAGAGCTGAAACTAAAAACAGTAAAAACTTTTGTCTTTAGAAGAGCTGCTAGAGGTCAGTGAATGTAACACGTACATGCATGTGTGAGAGGGATTTGAATAAACCAGAACTGTAATATAAAACCAGAGTGTATTTCAATAGCAGCAGTCAAATGCTTCCTGCAACTTGAATAGGTAAGGTTTTATTTCTCACCAAATAAAAAACAGTATCCAAGAACAACCTTGATATAAATCAGTCAAGTAATAATATGTAAATTGTATTCAGCATTTCATTATGTTATTTAATTCTGCAGAAGGATTTCATTCTGCCCCCTGTTTTTTCTGTGCTTCTTCTAAATATATATATATTTTTTATTATTCACTAAATGACAAATGTGTGAGCCCACATGACACAAAGCAAAAAGAAACAAGAAGTCATAAAATTGTTCAGAAACTTTTCATTAAATATTTTCTGATCAACTGCATCAAAGCCTTTTTAATTGCATCATTTCCATTCAAGATGTCAAGAAGCATTTAAAGAATACTGAAAGCAGCGCTCAAGAATATATTTAAATTTTGCTCTGAAACGCTGCCACAAACCTGGGACGAAAGAAAACACACATAATGGAAGATGTGGCTCTTTTTAATGAGAACAATATACAATATTTGCTTCTGTATAAGCCTGCTGTGACTGATATCAATATATGTGAAAAGATTATGTTCACTGTTTGGTCAGAAAACACAAGCAGGGCTCAAACTAACCACAGTATTTTCTGTGCATGTGAGACTGAGCCGATGTTTAGTTTCTGTTAGCTTCCTGTTGACGGTTTAACTGATGAAACGTCTCTGCTAAAATCTTTGATGTGAGGCTGATCTCTCACTGGGATTTCTGCATCATTGAGTTCATTGTTGACACATTTATTACTGGAAATCACCTGAACAGAGGGGCTAAATATGGGGGCTGAAAAAGGCCTTTGAACAGAGTTAAATGAGGAAGGTGACGATGTTTAAAGAATTAAAGAAAGATAAATACAAGCACAATACCTAATTATTTTGATAGGAAAATAATTATTTCTGAGTAGTACTGAGACATATTTATTAAAACTTTCCTGGTTTAAAAAATATTAATGACAATTAAAAAAATAATTATCTATCTTTGTCCACACATTTTATGTTTGGTGGAGACCTGTGTTTACTGAATTGTTTTTTTCTCCAAAGAGTTTATAGCAGTGCTAGTGGCTCACATTTTTTGACAGTAGACTGACAGGAAAAAGGGCAAGACATGCGGCAAAGGTTACCGGGCCCAGGAGTTGAACCTGCGACGTCCGCGTCAAGGACTGAGGCCTCCAAATGTGGGGCGTGCTGCAACCTGCGCCACCACAGCACACCCCTGAATTGTTTTCTTAAGTCACTTCAGTCTTACTGTGAAATAGTGAGATGTGAAAAGTATTGCATAAACGGAAAGGATCAGCCTCTATTTGACAAAGATACAGTTTTCAATTTTACAACAGTTTTCACTGGTTACCTCTCTAAAAAACACACATTCTTTCAATTTATTTGTCTGAATCAACAAAGCATACATGTGTCGAATAATGTGGCATATTGTTATCAGTAAAATTGTATTTTTTTGTATTTTCAACTCTAAATTAGTTATTTCTGAACTAATTTAGAGTTGAATGTTTTAACTAGTATTCATCATGAAAAACTAAAACAAATGCAAATAAATTACATTCATCAATATATCTTGTCAATATTCATTTGCCTTAAACCCAATTGTCTGAGCAAGGCTTCACTATGTTGTTGTTTGCTGACGAGTATTTTGTGCAGCTGTTCCTCTGCTTTCAGTCACTGTGTCTCTCGAGCACAGAAATAAACAGCAGAATCTTCTGCTGTCAGACTCCTGATCTCCAGGTACTGGGTGCTGATAGGGACATTTTCAGTCATGGTAAAACGACTTTGGAAGGAACTGCCATAGGTGGCGGCGTTCTTCCCAGTGTCCATCCTCCCAACCCATTCCAGAGCTCTCCCTGGTCTCTGTCTTATCCAGTGTAGATAATAGCTTGTCATGCTGTAACCAGAAATAACACAAGACATCTTCACTGTCTCTCCAGGTCTCTTCATCTCAGAGGCTGACTGCTCCAGTTTGATCTGACTCCAGGCTCCTGGAAGAAAAAAAATAGCATAATTAGCTGCCAGAGCTTTAAATAGTCAGATAAATGTCAAAATAATGTACTGAAAATCTCACTGTGAATAAAAACAACAAAAAGAAAACTCCAGATTGCTGTTTTTTCCATCCTAGAACCAATTGGTGTTATTAGAAATAAACTAAAATTGTTTGTTATGCTTAGCCATATTCTGGATGATGACCTGCTGATGTTTTGCTTTTAAGAGAAGAAGAGTTTGCATAGGACCTCCCCTGATACTGCAGGTAAAAACCAGGAAGTAACTCCAGATTTAGATAACAGGGGAAATTGAAGCAAAGCAGAGTTTAATATTTATAATTTATAGAAATTAAACACAATACAGGTTTCCTCAGTTGCTGTGGACGGTCTAAGATGCATTTTGACATTTGCAAAACAGTGAGTGCATTTCTCAAAACAATTCATATAAACAGCAAGGCAGCGTGGATTTGGATACAGAATTGTCTGTAATTTCTTGCACAAGTGACACAATTATTTGAAGATTGATCAAGAAGTTTTTAAAATGTCAATTATTTTCCGAGCCAAGGTTTATTTACAGAGAAAATCTGTACAGAATTTCATTTCTGTATTAACCATATTTTTTTGTTTATACATCTCATGTAGTATTCTGGTCTTAAATGTCTTGTTAGATAATCATAATTAACAGAAATAAATGCTTGAAAATATTAGTATAAAATCTTTTTACATAATGTGTTCCAGTACACTGTGTTTTATTATTATTTTATTTTATTTTTATTTTATTTTATTTTTTTGCTATTTTTTCTTAGCAATTCTTTGTTTATTGTTGGTTCATTCATAAAGGAGTCAACCAGGTCTCTCAAGTTTAATATCTGCCTGGTATTCAGCTATCTACTCATCAAAGTATTAGAATGGTCCCTAGCAGAACAACATTTTGCATTTATTTGGCATCTACTCCACATTATTATTATATTATTATTATCATTATTATTAGTGGTGGCATTTCTTTCCAGGGAGCATATAATAGTTGTACTTGAGGTTTTTGCACAGCTGCTTAACCAACTTCAATTACTGTGAGTCTCTGGCACAGTAATAAACAGCAGAATCTTCTGTCTTCAGGCTGTTCATCTGCAGAAACAGCTGCTCTCTGCCATTGTCTCTGGAGACAGTAAACCTGCCCTGGACTGACTGTGAGTAGTACTGGCTGCCCCAAGCTTCAGTAGCAACCCACTCCAGTCCTTTTCCAGGAGCCTGTCTGATCCAGCTCATCCAGTAGCTACTGAATGAGAGTCCAGAGGTTGTACAGGTCAGTTTGTGGGATTCTCCAGGTCTTTTAAGCACTGACTCAGACTGTGTCAGAGTCTGACCATCAATACCTGTAAGTACAATAAAAAATTACTTCCTTTAGGAGTGAAAGGACACTCTAGTGCGTGTATAATTGAATAATAATCAGTGATAATCTCCACCTGTCCAGCAGATAACCAGAAGCAGCAGCCCTGTCCTGTAACCTTTCATGTTGAAGTCAAGTCTGTTCAATCAGGATCAACGGCGTCATAAATAGAGGTAGAAGAGATCTGGGTTTGCATAAACTCCTCCCCATTATGAAATGAAAAAGAACTGACTCAAGTAATAAAACAAGGACTATTAGTTTTATAGGGAATGACTTTTCATTATTCTTCAGCATAATTAGTTCTGACTGATGATCAATGCAAATTGTAATGTTATAAAACAGCAGATAATTGTATTGAAGCAACTGATGAATGTTCTGGAGGATTTGCAATTTGTTGGAAGTAATGAGAAACGAGTCAGTGTTGTGGAGGTTCATCTATCTGTTATGATTTATTGTATTTGAGACATTAATCAACAATCTGATGTGTAACAACAGCAAAATATAATGTTTCAATTGTTGACTGTGTGTTCTATCACTTCGTCTTTTTTATGATGTAAAGCACTTTGAAATGCTTTGTTTCTAAAGGTGCCGTACAAATAAAATTTTATTTGATTATCATTTGATATTTCTGTTTAATTTCTGAACAGAAAAATGCATCGAAGCATGTGAAAAGCACTCTGTAAAAGGTGTGTTGTAGCTCCTCCAGTGGTGTCTTAGTCATTCACTGGTAGGTTTTTGCACTGTGTTTCTACTTTCTGTGTCACTGTGGATCTCTAGCGCAATAATAAACCGCAGAATCCTCAGCAGATAAACTGTTCATCTGCAGATACACCTCACTTCTGCTGTCTTCTCTGGAGATGGTGAATCGGCCTCTCACTGACTGAGAGTAGCCGGTGCTACGACCACTACTGCTAATGGTTGAGATCCACTCCAGTCCTTTTCCTGAACTCTGTCTGATCCAAGCAATCCAGGGATTTCCACTAAACCCTGAATGTGTGCAGGTCAGTCTGTGGGATTCTCCAGGTGTTTTGACCACTGATTCAGATTCTGTCAGTGTTTGACCATCAGTTCCTGTCAGCAGAAAGTTGGTTAGCTTCTGAGATCAAATAATGACAGATGAATCACTTTAAAATTAACTTGAACCGGTCTTTATTCTCACCTATCCAGTTCAATGACAGGATAACAAAAGCAATCACAACCTCAGGTCTGATCCTTATTGAAACCATTTTGTCTCCGTTCAGCCCTCAAGGTTTGCAACTGATTCTATGCAGAAACTTCAACTCAGATATAAGAAGACGGAAACAATAAGGGTTTGAATTAGCTCCTCCCACTGAAGGAAAATAACATATGTCATATTTGAGCAGTTGTAACTTCTCCAGGGTTCACCCCAATTATTGACTTAAGGACTTAGGGCATATAGAAAATGGATCAAATATCCAAATGAGACCAAAACAAAATGAGAAAAATAATTTCACTTCAAGAGAAAAAACGGCCTGACAGGTGACTGTCAGCACAATCTATAAGAGTTATTTCCAAACAGAAGATGAGACTTTAACATTTCACAATAGATCTACAACAGGTCTGAAAATTACATTCTCAAGTAATATCTAAGGTATTTATGTTTCTTATAACCATTTTCAAGTTAATCAAAAAACACTTTTCTCTTTGTTAAATTGATTTTTGCTAAAATCTTAATCTATAACAGTATAGCAAATAAAATATCCAATGGATATAATTTTATTTACACATTGATGTACATTTTAAGAACATTGTTTAACAACAAGGTTGGTGTCATTCATTGCAGATAATATTTACAATATAGCTCAATTTATCTTACAAAGTTTGTTTCCATTTCAATTGCCTTGAACTCAGTTATGGTCTAAGAGCGCCTCCTCTGGTTGATAAAGTCATAAAGAGGGGACAAAATGTATTTGCAGAAATGTGAGGTTCTATCTACTTTCATGTTGTATTTTTTTAACTTAATGTGACATCATTCCTTCTAATAGATCAGAAACACTAAAATATCATCAAAATTCAAATGTTTATGACATTTAGTTACTTATTTAAAGTGCTGAAGAAAAGTAATATTCAATATAAAAGCAGAGATCCAAACTAATGTCTAATTTAATCATGATTCATTTGCTGTTGTTTTATCTACGAAAGGTTCCCAACTGAGGAAAATAAAGTTTCAATGTAATGAATATTTTCTGAAAATGTATCATTTCAGAACTGCTGTTATTCATTATTATTATTTTATTTATTTAGTTTTACTGTCAAACAAACCTGCAGCTAAACATTGGTAATTGTCGCCAAGATAAAGAAAGAGAAAATCTACAAATGAATGAAAGAAGTATTCCAGTCAATTTAAGATTGGTAATATAGATTGTAGTAGAACAATGAATTGTATTTGTGTAAAGACGGGTGTAACCATAAAAACCTGCAATGAAATCAACAGATGTGAAAAAATTCTGCAGGTTCTGAGAAGAGCAGAAAGGAGCGGCGCTGAGGTTAACCAGAGTTTTCTGTCCATGTGAAACTGAGCTGCTGCTTGGTTTCTGTCAGATTTTCAGCTTCCTGTTGATTCGTGGCTTCAACTGATGAAACTGCTGTGCTGAAAACTGAGATGAACTAAACGATGCAGTCTCTGATTCACCAAGTTTATTATTAAAACATGTAATTTGTGCTGAAAATAACCTGAGTGGAGGTGTGATGGGCGATGAACTCAGTGAAGTTTAAAACTTTACACAGTCCAAGTAAAGTTCACTGGCTTGAGAAACTTCAATAATTTTGAAAGATTAAAGAAAAACATCTGAATACACAAAAACAAACAGAAATTTCTATCTGATAAAATAATAAATCTAGAATATTTTATTTGCAGATCTCAATTTCTGAGAAAAAAGACATTTAATGAATAAATGTTTCATTTAAGTCCATAACTTAAATGAACAAAACTGACTATTTTTTAATTTTTATTTGGTCATTACATTATCGACCAATGAAGCAGAAACAAATAAAAACGTTGCAGTAAGTATATTTGGTGAGCTTAACTTAATGGATGCTTTCTGTTTTTCTAAATATGTTGTAGATTTTTGCATTTATTTACATAAATATGATTGTTCATCACTAATATTCAAATCCATTTGAATTGTATTTACATTTTTTAATTCAAAATATGTCCTGAAACATTTTTTTATTTAGAATATAATTTGAAATGCATCTTTTAATATAACACCATCCTATACATAGTAAAGCATAAAAAAATGATAGAAAACGTTATAGAGAATGTAAGAAAAATAAGAAGATCAAAAGAAAGTTTCTTTTTTTCAGTTAGGAGGCCATTTCTCATTTTCTCCTGTTGTCAAATTTGGGACAACTTTATGAATTATGACATTTCTCTGGGTTTGTTTTTGTAATTACATTTCAGGTTTTCTCTGCAATAGGTTCAGATCTTTATTTCTTAGAAATAAAACTATTTACATTTAATATTCAAGATTTTACAGGCTGCTGCCTTTTCTTTAACTATTGACACAACCCATAAACGATTTTGCTCAGATAAATGGGGCAAAGGTGTTATAATGAGGTAAAAGAAAAAAAAAAGAAGCAGTTATTGAACAGGTGTATGGTGGCCTAGAAGGCTCAGTTTCAGAAGATCAGGCCTCTGATGGTGAGGACGGTGCTGAAGGCCAGAGCTTTGGTGAACACCACTCGGACTCCGTTCATCAGCAGCAGGTAGAAGTTCAGCTTGGCTTTTTCTGGACGACAGAGAAACAGAGTTCAGACTGAAATGAACACAAACATCTGACAGCAGCGATCAGTGATGGAACAAAACTGAGACACAAAGAGATCAGACTCACCTGGATAAATGCTGCCACATTTGTCATCTGATTAGAGACAAAAAGAACATCTCTCACACAAACATCATAAAAATTCTGACAGATTATCTATCTGAGCCTGGTTCCCTCATATTTAGTGTCAGAGTGGCATGATTTACTAAAATAAATGTTTTTCAACAGCTGGCAGTTTTAAACCACTTTATGTTTTCAGTACCAGCTTCATTGTTGCCGAAGGTCCCGTTCATCTCACATGAATAGATGGTTTTGTTGCTGTAAGCAACAAAGTTGTAGGTGTTGTCCTTTGACAGAACAGCATCAGTAGAGTTCACATTGACCGGATCTCCTTTTCCATTCAGAACCACCTCTTCCCCCTTTGGACGGAAATCAGTGACCAGACAGACGTTTGGACCGAGCTCGTCTGCTGTCTTCAGGGGGAAGTCGGGAGACGACAGAGGACTGAGGACGAAGAGGGACAGAGAAATATCAGGACCAGCTAAAGAAAAAAGAGAGAGAAAAAAGTCATATTCTGTTCTCATTTCTTTAAACTTTGAAAAATATATTACTTATCTCTCAAAAAATATTTTACACACAATTGAATGAGAATACTTACAGAAATTTTAAAGATAATCATTTACTAAGTTTTTTCTTAATCGCAGAATGAATGTATATCTATAATGGCAAATTCAGAAGTAGGTGTACATATATTTTTCTTTTGGGGTTTGTTTTTCATTTTGTTGAAGTAAACATGTGCAAGTAATTTGTTAGTGTCATGTTTGCAGAAAAGAAGTTAAAAAAATCATTTTTTTTTTGCTAGTTTCACCAACATCCATTTTTTTACATCATAATGAATCAAGTTTTGAATTTAAAAAAGGGTTTTTCTTGTATTGTTACAAATTTTGGCCTCCTAAATTTTGCTGTGATGGTTAAAATAATTTAAAAAAATTTATCTTGTCACAATAACAGAGAAAAAGGTCAGGGCATCTTTATACCATTGTTTTGTTTTTTAACATGATTTGATTCCACTTTTGTTATCTACAGAAAAAATCATTTGAAATGGTAAGAATCCTGACGGTTTCAGTACATTATGGTAAATAAAGTGAGTTTCAGCCAGTTTATTCATAAGTTTCCAAGTCTTTTAAAGTCAAACCTTTACAAAATTGTGATACTGCAACAAACACAGAGTTTATAGAACCAGCTTTAATTTAAAGTTTTGAATTCTTAAACTAGATGTGCTATTTTTTTTCCCCAAATGATTAAATTATTTTATGTGTTCTTTGTTTGTTTGTTTTTTATTTTTGTACTTATTCAGAAAAAGATTTTTTTAAAATCCCTTCAGGGTCTGCTTTTCTTCTCTTTTTTAAAAAAAATTACAGTCATGACAGATTCAGCTCTTGGCATTCTGTCTCGCACTGCCTAAAATACTTTCCTTAGATACTGGATCAATATATTTGCAGTGGATAGAAATGTTGCTTACCTTTTCGCAGCTTACAGCAGTGATTGCAAGGTTTCTAGATTATTCTGGGCTTCATTTTTAATAATCTCGAACTGTTTCAATTAAAAGTGAAATTGAATAAATTTAGCAGGCAGCCAACAGTCCTTTCACTCTCAGTCACAGATCTGCTCTAAAGCCGACAGAAGAGACGCAGGGGAGGTTTTCTCCAGTTGCTTCTCCAGCAACTTTATTTCACTACTCACTATTTCAAACAAAATAAATATGATAATCCAAATGAATTTATAAAGTTTTTACCTGAAGAGATATCATAAAAACAACCCTTATTGCTCTCAGTAAATGCTTAATGAAAGTCTTTTGATAGTTTTTTTCATGTTTTCTTTTGTTTGTTGTTTGTTGTTGTTGTTGTTGTTAATGATGAAAATTCAATGAATAAAAACTAATTTGAGTTTGTTTTGTTTATCAGACAATCATTAAAAAAAAATCATGTTTGGTCTGCACACAGTTTTTCAAATTGGGAGACCTGAACATGTTCATTTTTTTACTGTTTTCACAACGAAAGTCAACAAAAGACCAACTAAACCAGTTAAGTCCAGTTCAACCTTTTAGTTTCAACAGATTTATAGTATAACTATAGATATATCTCATCATATTTAATAAATAACTTGGTGGTTTTTGCTTACCGTTAATTCAAATTTCGGTTAAAGTTTCTTAAGGAAAGATTTAAAATGACACTGAAATTGCTATCGATTTATTTTATGAAGTAAAGATGTTTTTCTTTCCTGTGTGTTACAGTGACCCTGTTCCTCCGTTTATATTTTCATGCAATTTTATGTCTTGATCAATTTAAAATAATTTAAAATTTATCTGTCATGAAATGCAAATAAAACAGCAATAACCTGTTTTGCAGCAGATCTTTATTAATATGAAAATCTGTCAAACACAGGCTACTGTATGAAGGGTTTATGCAGTTATAAATGTAAATTTCTGTGCAAAATTAAGATGGTAAGGTACCAAAAAGGTTTGTTCTAGGATTCAGGTGGTATTAAGTAAGCAAGGTACGCTATTTTTTTCTGATAACAGATATTACTATCAGAACACCTAATACAAATTTACACAATAAAAAGGAAAAACATCTAAAGCACAGCAATTTTAAATGATCTTACCTGGTTTAACAGTAACTGTGGTTCCTTTACCCCAGACATCGAGAGCCCAATCACAGTGCTACAAATTCCCAGACTGCTTCAACAAAAACATCAAGCATCACAGAAATCCTATCATAACTCACAAAATATTTTAATAATCTCTGTCTGTTATATATTCTGATCATCTTGATGTCCTCTGAGATATTCCAACTTTGTTTTGTTTTCAATTTACATCCTGCAAATTAAAATAGACACACATGGATATCTACCCTTTATGACTTTAAACAGCAGAATTACTAACTTTTAAATGTGAATTAAATTAATAAAACGATCATATGGACTTCCTACTTCATAGTCCAAGTGGTTTATGTTGGATTTAATGTTTGATATCTACATAATATGACTTTTCTCTAAGGTTTTTTACCTGAGGTTTTTGTATTGGTGTTTATCTGTGTGCCCCTGTAAACCCCGTCGCTATATAATATATCACAGTGACAAGCCCTGAAACAAAAACCTCGACCCCCTTTACAGGAAAAAATGAGCAAAACCACAAAAGTAGAAGCAAGGGTTTTGTTGGGGTCATTTCTTATTCAAAATTTCATTAAATATCAAATGTATGTTTCTCCAAAAATAGATATTTATTAGTTTTAAAAGATTAATACAATTTGAAATGCATTAATTTATGAAGACAAAGAAGTGGTTCCAACAAAATAAAATCATGATTTTCTTACATGGTTTTTTTGAAATAGAAATATATTGGTATTTTGATTGTCTATGATGTGGAGACTTCTAATGCAACAGAAAGAAAAATCATGTTATGTTCTTCATGTTATAAAATAACATAAAAATATCAAATTTTGAGTTGACCAATGAAATAATCAGAAATGGATAAATCCATTTAAATGAATTTTAAGGTTATTAATGTAGAATAACAAAGATTCATGAAGTTCATATTGCCAAATGTAATTAAATCAGATTCATTGCTCTAAAATTGTGACAAAAATAACATAATTCTCACCACACTGTAATTAATCTTTTACATGTGATTAACAAATTGAAGCAGTTTCAAATTATTTTGAGACTAGAAGCAAATGAAATGTTAAAATAGATCATTTCAATAATTTTTGTTGGGTTGATGAGATTAGTTGGACAAAAATTCTGAAGATAGAAGTTTTAAAGAATATGGATTAAAGAGTTATTTACAAGATAATAACAGGACACATCCTCTACTAGTCACCACAGAGCATTGTGAGGACACTCTCTCTTTTTGTCCTGTTATAAATGACTGGAGTTCTTGTTTTATAATCTAGTTGTAATAGAATTTTATTTTCCAACCTCAAAGTATGTATATATGTGATGATTTTTATGAGTGTTTGTGACTGAGGCTTTATGTTTTTTAACTGTTGTTGAATTTGGAAAACTTTGCGCTTTCATCTAATTCAGAAAAAGTCAGCAGAATTAATCTCTGATCAATTTATTTGAAGAGCTTGAGGCAAAGGACACAGACTCAAATAAGGATCAGTCCCAAGCAGGAAAGGCAGTGTATTTTTTTAACATTACAATTGATCCAATGGTGAGTTGGTCTAAAATAATTTCTTTCACTAAATAGATATATTTATGATGGTTTGCATACAATCTATACTATAGCATATTAGATCTGTGTCTTAAGAGATACTGTTTCGACACACTTAAAATTGTTTGGACTCCATTCTTAACAACATTCACTGGCTGAATGGATGACACCCACTGTGATCCATGAAAAACCAAGGTAAAATTATCACATTTTGTGAAAACAAAGACTACTTGAAATTCAGAGCTGAACAACAAAAATTTAGAAAAAGCAATGTTTTTATATGAACCATTTTTTGTTTTAGTTTACACAAATTTTACTTTCACTTAATACAAGTTTTTGAATTTGTTTTATTTATTTATTTTTTTCTCTCTTTCTTATGAAGAGAAAGAGAAAAAAGCTGACACATTTTTGTCTCAAAAATTTGATCATCAAATTTTTACATTTTCTAACACAGGTTCTCATCTGCTGCTGTTTTTTCTGTCTCTCTTCTCTTGTCACTGTGTCCTTCGAGCACAATAATAAACTGCAGAGTCTTCAGTCTTCAAGCTGCTCATCTGTAGATACACTTGATCCTTGTTGTTGTCTCTGGAGATGGTGAAGCGGTTCTGGACAGATGGGGAATAACGTTTAATGCTTCCACTGGGAGCAGAAATATGGGCAACCCATTCCAGTCCTTTTCCTTCAGCCTGTCTGATCCAGCTAATATCAGCAGAGCCATCTGATATTCCTGCATATGTACAGGTCAGAGTGTGGGATCCTCCAAGTCGTTTTGTTGCTGGTTCAGATTCAGTCAGAGTCTGACTGAAAACACCTGAAAGAAAAATCATGTGCTCAGAAAAGTCTGCAACAGAAATTTAGTAAAAAAGTAGAGCACATAAGTTTGATATTTACCAGAAACAGTTAACAGCAGGAGGAGAAAAATACACTCAGCTAAAGTCATGGTGAAAAGTTGTTGCACATCTGTTTGGTGGTTTGGCGTCTGATGACATAAATCAGAATTGATGAGGCTTTAATTTGCATTGGCTCCTCCTTAGATTATATATCCAGTGGATGAAATGGATGGAATACTTACTAAAGAACAACGACACTTGATGAGGTTGAAATACAAGACTTTCAACTGAGTAAATTGTGAAACACAGTTTTTCTGCAGAGTTGTCAGATTTAAACTGTTGTTTCCCAGTCATGGCTTATATAGCACAGTTTGGAAAACAATTAAGCAATTATGTGTGTGGGAGAGAAAAAGGATTTTAAATATAAATGTTAAAGAAGGTTTAACTGAAACACACAGATTCACTCATAGCATGGATTTAGTAAAGTAAATAATATTTTATATGACAGCCTCCTATGAAATAGCTTTAAAACACAACCTTTTTGCTAAAAACTAACTCTAACTGCCCTCTACAGTTTGAAAAATAGAACTGCAAGAGTCGCTGCCACTCCTAATTTGTATTATGGTATGTACATCTGCACTCAGTCTCAGTGTTTATTGAAACTTGATTTGTGGCTCAGTGATACATTTTTGTTTATTAAAATAAATAATAAAAATATCATAATTTATCTGCTCCATTGTTCTATACAGGTTTTTGAAAACTTAATAAGGTTGATCCTGTGTGTAAATTTGTGCAAATTTTTTAATATGAGATTATTTGTTTTATTTAATTTAAAGGGGAAATAAATACTTTTGGGTTAACGATAAATGATTTTATATTGAAAATTACAAAACGTATTTTTGAAGAATGGGTGCAAAATCATGTCCAACCATCATATTGGTTCATATTTCTTTGATATTCAATAGAAAGCTCATTTTCAAAGCCTGACAAACATTGCTGTCACTCACAGAGATCTTTATCAGTTTTTGTACAGCTTTGTTGAGTTTTGTGTCACTGTGTCTCTCTTGCACAGTAATAAACTGCAGAGTCTTCTGGTTTCAGACTCTTCACTGTCAGAGAAACCGTGTTTAGCGAAGTATCTTTAGTGATAGAAAATTGGCCTTGGAGATGTTGGGCAAATATCGTGCCGGTGCCACTGTCGATGCGTCCAATCCATTCTAGTGCTTCTAACGGTTTCTGACGAATCCAGTGGAGCCATGCAAGAGCCAGTCCTTGTACTTTACAGGACAGAATGGCTGATTGTCCTGCTTTGCTGATCACTGCCTCTGAGGAGGTGAGGGACTGACCCCGGGCAGCTGAAACAAAGAAATAGATTAGAAAACAGCAGATGCCAGATCTTTTCATTTCCTCTGCTGAGCAGCCACTCACCTGATATGAGAGCCAAGAGGAAGACACTTTTTATGACTGTCATCATGACAAGTCAGACTTTGAGTGCAAAAGCTGGTTTGATGCGAATATAATTCAAAACCAGAAGGGGTGGAGACTGTAGATTTACATAATTGGCTATGTGACTGATTGAAAAATAATCACTAGCTCTACTTACATGGGAGGACTAAGACATGTTTTGGTCACTACTTATAATCAGAAAACTGCATTTCAATTCAGAAATTGGACATCTAAACACAATAAGACATCTATTGTGTTGTTCTTTCTGTTTCACATAATGATATTTACTAACTATCCTCCAAAGTTTGTTTGCGACTGCTGAAAGTTAATGTTATTATCCAAGAAAATGCATTACTTCTCCTTGATGTGTGTCCTTCTGTTTAGGCATGGGAAGATATTTTAGAAACCTTTTTAATAACTGGGGCTCTTCAACACAATAAGAAATTATTCAAGCTATTTTGAAATCACGATACATTATTCCCCTCTTGTCTTTTCTGAAGGCCAACAGTGCTATTATCTGTATGTGTTCTGTGGAGTAGAGGTGAGTGATAAATGAGTTATGCAAAGACTCTGGGAATCATAATGGACTTTAAAGATCTGCAGATGACAGATTTTTTAAATAAATTGTGGAGGATAGCTACTGTGTATTTAAACCTGATGACCATCAATGCTTCTAAAGTATTTCTAATTCCCTTAACATACAGTCTTTATCTTATGCAGAGATAAAAGTATTAGTAAAATCATCCATGTTCTATTATAAAAATAATCAAAAACTCAAAACTTGTTTATATTAAAAACTTGGTGTTTCCATTTTATTCAAATCAACAACATAACAACACAAAAACTGACCAAGAAAGCAAAATGTCTGACCATACTCCCAATAAAAACAGATTATGCTGAAACATATTGCTGTACCTCTGGTCATAGTTTATTGAGAGGCATCACTGTATAAAATAAAGTCTTTATTTACTATTTACTTGGATATAATTTATTTGGCGTGGCAGATTTGTTATCTTCATGTAATAGAAAATTTTCAATTCATGAGCACAGATGCAGCAGATGGGGTTTTTAGATGAAAGTGAATTATTTCTGCAGGTTTTTGTACAGCTGCTGCAACAATTTCAGTCACTGTGCATCTCGAGCGCAATAATAAACAGCAGAATCTTCTGTCTTCAGGCTGTTCATCTGCAGATACACCTGCTGTTTGTTGTTGTCTCTGGAGATAGTAAACCGGCCTCGAACTGATTGAGAGTAAAATTTCCTATCACTGTCATATTCAATATTTGCAACCCACTCAGGTCCGTTTCCAGCAGCTTGTCTGATCCAGGCCATCCAGTAGCTGCTGAATGTGAATCCAGATCCTGTACAGGTCAGTCTGTGGGAGTCTCCAGGGGTTTTTAATACTGGTTCAGATTCGGTCAGAGTCTGACAATCAACAACTGAAAGGAGAACAAAAAAAAAAAAGAAAAATGTTAGATATTTAACTTGAAAAACACAAATGTACTTGTTTTCATTTCAAAATCTCTCAAAAAAAATTACCTGCAAAGCAAATAATTACTGCTAGTATCGTTCTTGTACCATCCATCCTGTGTGTTGAGTGTTCTCTCCTAGATGGTACCAGTTAAGAGGTTGAGGATATTTCATATTTTGAATATGCTCCTCCTCCTCAAAAGTACCACTGGTGTAACGGGAGTACTCTGTGACATCTTCCTGAAGTTTTAACTCACCAACTCCAGGTCCACTGATAAAAAGACATCATCATAAAAGTTGGAAACTGTTTCCAAGTTGATTTGTAAAAAGGTAGAGCATATTTTGAGTTTCCTGTTTGCCCATAGAGATAAATGACTTCACATCTTTCAGACTGAGTCAGAGTTTGAGCAGTAGCACCTATCTCATTAAAAAGTGTTTTTCTGTGCATTCATTTTCTATACCCATTTTCGTTTTTTTTCAAACTCTGGGTTACGGGAGGGTAAAGCCTACTTACATTAATAAATGGGTAAAAGAGAAAACAGCTTTGATAAGATGAGGATAACAATATAGCTGTCAGCATTTGATTTGCCTTGCAAGATTAGCAAAATTCCTCAATTTGTTTTTAATCCGTCTGTCTTCTTCTAATGGAGAGGGAAAGTTTTTGTTCTTTCATCTTGATGGGCTGGAGGAAATCAGGATATTTTATTTACAAATTTTACAATGTGTGATGAACATTACGTGTTGAAAATAACTGGGATGGTGAACTCAGTTTTCTTATACTGAATATTCAGAAATGTTTCCTCTTTAAAATATGTGATCGGAGGGCCCCTAGTGGTGACTTTCTGTGATACATGCTCAGGTTCTTAGGGGTTTTTGTTTAACTCCACAGCCAGTTTATATCCACTTTTCATCATAGAAAACATGGTTGGATGACTGGCAGGAATCACATCTCTCAACCTTTTACATCGTGCCGACATATGAGCAGGAAACCACGTAATTTATGTGGAGCTCAAGAAGGAGGTGATCATGAAATTAGATTTAAGTTGTTTGAGCCAAACCTTTGTTTAATTCAGAAACCCAAGCATAAAACTGGATTTTTTTTGTATATTTTATTATTGTTATTAAGGATGGATTCATAACTGTGTGAATCCAGCACAATGCATCAAATAAATAATACAAAAATTTTTACAGGAGTATCAGGAATTGTTTAATCTTGTGAATATTTAAATTATGTCCACAAGTATACAAAATAAAACAGAAAATGTAGCAGAAATAAAAATAATATTCAAAAGAAGTAAAATGTTAAGACATTTCTCATTTTGAGGGGTCACTCTTATTTTCAACCTTATGTTTATATGTGACATTCCATATTGTAAATTATATACACAGCCAATTAGTCCTATAAGTCATGGCTGATACCTTTACTCTTAATTTTTATAGAAGAAGTCAGAGTGCACTTTTTCCACTCACAGCTGAATCCATTCTCTCTAAGTCAACATGTGCCCAGTTATTAGAGCTCCTCCTGGGCTTTTATGCCTGGAGTTATCTTGAACTGTGCCAGCCAGGGCGACAGCATGTTGGAGATTGTTTCTATTTTTCAAACTTTATAAGTAAGATAGTCCTAAAGTCAAAATTAAGACTCCCTTAGAGTCTCTTATGGTTCTTACACTAACTTCATGTTTTAGTCTTTATTGCTTTTACAAATCAATAATGAACAAGAAAATATTTTTGGACAGAAATAATGACAACAAAACATAAAAGCTAACTTCAACATCGTCATAGTAACTAATCAACATTTTTAACATAACAAATTGTGATTTTGTGATGTTTGATCAATTGTCAGCAAAGAAGATAATTTAATTGAGAGTGCAGTATATTGAAAATATCTTCCTTTCTCTAGGTCAGCTTTTTTTTAATGTTTGACAAACAACTCTCCTGTCATGCTTGTTCAAGGTTATAATAAACACACATGTCATATAATGATGATCAGAAACATTTAATTCTTAATTTGTAGTTCAATTTGTTGTTGGTCTTTTTAGCATCTTATACCATATATTAAATTTGCAATTCTAGAATATTTTTCTATTTGTTTTGTTGAATGTTCATGTTTGTTGGAAGAGAACATATTCTTTATATTATTTAATTTAATAAGCTAAATTCCACACTTGCTCCTTCTTGCAGTCTCAGTTAACCAATAATAGTGTTTTACTGTAGTAGAGCTTTGTCATGCAATATTTTTTCCCAGTATATCATATACACAATTACAATATCAGTTATTATTCCAAAATTAATGGAAAACTATTCTGTTCACCATGATATTTTTTAATCCATGTGTCTTTGATTAATGTTATTTTGAAGAATTTTCGCCTAGAATATCAACACTAACAAGTTGAGCAGGAGGTTTGCAGAGGAAGTGGTAGATGGAGGAAGTTTTTGTATGAGCCTCCTGCTTCCCTGTGTCATTGTGCCTCTCTAGCACAGTAATACACAGCTGTGTCCTCAGCTTTCAGCTGGTTCATCTTCAGATAGATTTTACTATTGGAATCATCTCTGGAAATGATGAATCTTCCCTGGACTGACTGGGAGTAACTTATTGGAGAACTGTAGGTGCCTATATAGGCGATCCATTCCAGTCCTTTTCCAGGAGCCTGTCTGACCCAAGCCATGTAATAGCTGCTAAGTGTGAACCCAGAGGCTGTACATGTAAGGGTGTGGGATTCTCCAGGTCCTTTAGTCACTGGTTCAGATTCTGTCAGAGTTTGCCCACCAACACCTGCAAAAATGTTAACACAGTTATTATAGCCTGGGACTCAAAAAAGGTCTAATTCCAACTTTGATTAGCAGAAGATGTTCACCTGTCCAGCAGACAGCTAAGAGCAGCAGTGATGTCCTACAGTCCATCATGCTGAACTCAGTATGTTTTCTCTGCTGTCGTCGCTGCAGGATGTTTAAAATGTCATCAGTTTTTCATTTTTGCATGAACTCCTCCTTAAAGGGAGGAGTTGGAATCATGTGATGTTTTGTCCAAATGGAGATGTCAGCAATCATCAGTCACATACCTTGTCTGTAACTTCATCACAAAAATAAGCAAAAATGAACACAAAGGCATGAAGTATTACAACAAAAGAAAACCGTCTTGATTCATTTCAGCATAGCTTCAAATTAGGTCTGCTATCTTTATAATGAAATCTAAAGATGTTATTTTGAAGAAAGAGTTAATACATTTAATAAGATTGATAGTGTTACAGTCTTATATTTCATTGACTTTTTTCATTGCTACACTCTTTAATAATAAACCAGTTTTATTCAGCAGTCATGTTGCAGCTCCAGCTCAAGTTTTCTGAAACACAAAAAACTTGTTGAAAATTTCTGAGCATCAAGAGCAAAAAGATTTAAAAAACAGCTGCTTCAATTTGTTTTTACTGCTTGTTTCCATGTTTTTCTTTCTGATATAAAATGTTTTTATGGAAGGTCTAAAGATTCAAACTATAAAATGTAATACATAATTTATGTGACAATAAATATCACTTCAGAGTCTGAAACTTGAAGTCTAACAGATCAGTGTTTATTGTTGCTGGGGGTTTTTGTACAGCTGCTGAACCAACTTCAGTCACTGTGTGTCTCGCACAGTAATAAACAGCAGAATCTTCAGTCTTCAGGCTGCTCATCTGCAGATACACCTGCTGCTTGTCGTTGTTTCTGGAGATGTTGAATCGGCCTTGGACTGATGGAGAGTACCACTGCTTGTTACCAGTGGGCTGACTTACTAGTGCAACCCACTCCAGTCCTTTCCCAGGAGCCTGTCGGATCCAGTGCATCCCATAGTCACTGAATGTGAATCCTGAGGCTGTACAGGTCAGAGTGTGGGATTCTCCAGGTCTTTTAACCACTGATCCAGATTCTGTTAGAGTCTGAGAGTGGCTTCCTATGACACAAATTAAACTCATAATTCATAATTTTAATAACATGAAATCACATATTTTCAAAAAAATCTGAGTAAATCATCACCTGTCCAAAAGACAGTTAAAAACAGCAGCACTGCTCTGTAGCCCATCATGTTAACCTGAGTGTCCTCTGTTCTCTGTAGGAACCTGCATAAATACAGCTGAGTTTTACATTAACTCCTCCTCACAGGAAGAAACAAGCCATTTAATTTTTTTTTATTATGGGGGGAAAAATATTGACCTACAGTACGACTCCTGTAAACTGCTAAAAATAAAAATAAAAGAAGATAAAATGAAAACAGAAAATTCAAAATATGTATTCTGACAGACTTATGATCTTAATTGGTATAATTTATAATTCTTTTGTTAATTCTACCATAAACTGGTGTTTATTTCCAAAGTTTCCCAAATCAACAAAAAGCCAGATTAAAACATACATGTTGAAATAAATTACAGTAAGTACTAATGAAAATTATGAAATATTTAAATCTTGTTAATATCAGTTATCTGAGGACCCCTTGTGGTGACTTTCTGAAATCCTCACCACAAGATAATTTTCAACCCTTTTAGTGGTTTGTGCCGTTGTTACTATTAAGACAGTGTATTTAGGCTGCATTGTTATGTCGGCTAAGCCATTCTGTGGTCTGAGGAGTCGAATAGGAAAAAATGTGTGATATTACACAATCTGATTTGCTCTAAATATAGGACAACGAAACATATTATTTTTTAATCAGCAAGATGGGAGCGATTTCAATCTTCATTTTGTTGGATAGCAATAAACTTCAGGCCTGATGATTTTTAACATTATGGTTTGATTAGTATTGATTTAAACCAAAAGTGATTCATATAACACGTCACAATTATGAACAGGAAGTTACTTTTGTTCTAACATTTTAGTAATAATGGAAAATATTTGTTGACATAATTTCTCTTTCACACTTCACAAATAAACTAAGTGATTTTTCTTGACATTGTTAGTTATTCTTGACGATTGAACAGTCAGATATGATCAAACACATATCTAATAAGCTTATTCTTCTATTTGTCTCAGTGTCAGATTGTTTACTGTTTCTGTGATAGCATACATTTACACTCTTACACAGGAAGATATTGAAAAATTCAGTTCATGTAAGTTTGAAGACATTGAGGTTTTTGCACAGCTGCTGAACCGACTTCAGACACTGTGACTCTCGAGCGCAGAAATAAACAGCAGAATCTTCTGTTTTCAGGCTGTTCATCTGCAGATACAGCTGCTGCTTGTTGTTGTCTCTGGAGATGGTAAAGCGGCCTTGAACTGACTGAGAGTAGTATGTGTAGCCACCACCATCACTGATACGAGCAAGCCACTCCAGTCCTTTTCCAGGAGCCTGTCTGACCCAGTGCATGTAGTAGTTACTGAATGTGAATCCTGAAGCTGTGCATGTCAGCTTGTGGGATTCTCCTGGTCTTTTAACCACTGAATCAGATTCAGTCAGAGTCTGACCATCAACACCTGTGAATAAGACAGTCATATTGTCGAGTTGCTCTCAGAGAAAAGTTGCACAAAAATCTACTAAATGTTCCTTCAGCTTTTTCTCACCCATAAAGCAAATCATTAAAAGGATCAGTCCTGATCTGTAGTCCATCATGTTCAAATATGTTTCTTGTTCCCTGACAACCTAAACTCTGTCACATTAATAAAGCTGGAAGCTGCAGATGTTTTGCATTAACTCCCTCCTTAGGAGGAGGGAGAAATTAAAACTTCTTGATTTAAATTATTTTTCTAAGTTGAACCTTAAACTACTGAAATATGCAATAAGAATTACTCACCCCTTTGATGTTTTAGTTTTTATTAAGTTTACTTTTCCTGATTGGTTCTACAAATCAATCAGGAAAAAAACAACTATGGCTTTACTTGGCTTTACTGACAGAAAGAATGACAAAATAATATTCTCAAAGTGAAAGCTGATTTTAAAAATATAACAATGAAATACAAATTTTTAACATAGAAAATGTGATTTCAGTGATTTTTAATCAATTGCTAACAAAGCAAGAGATTTTCCATAACATTGACAGAGTGCAGCATATTTAAAACATTTGTGTAACACTTTATTTGAAGGGTTGTGAATAAGACTGTCATGACACCTATAATGAACATGTAATAACACCTGTCACGAATATGAGTAAATTATGAGTATTTATGACTGTTGTCATGAAGTGTCATTCAGGAAATCATCATACTTTCAATACAAAGTTAACATTATTCAAAATGTCTTTGTTATGACAATGTGACATTAACCAGTAAATCATGATCTCACATAAATTTGTTATAAAAGTATTACTGATTAAACTTTAGCTTTAATAACATAAAGCTACATAATTTTTAAAGTTTAATCACATTCATATTCATGAAAACTTACTCATGTTCATGAGTGTTATGTCATGTTTATGATGGTATCATACCAGTCTTATTCACAACCCATCAAATTCACATGGGATAAATAAACAACCATGTTTATTATCTTCAAGGATATTCTGCCTCTACTTAAGATCATAAACACTTTCCTTTCTCTATATCTGTTTATCTCTGATATGTTTGACTCAAACGACTCTTCGTCATGCAAGTTTAACACAAAGATTGTGTGAAGTTATAATACACACACTGATCAAAAACATTTCATTCGTAATTTGTAGTTCAGGTTGTTGGTCTTTTTAGCATCTTATGTATGTTGGCAATACATATTAATGTGTGAAGTGAGGCATGTTATTTTAAGATGTTGTTTCGCTGTATACAGGATTCACTAATAAAAGTGTAACATCTCCATCTTTTCTGAACATACAAATTAAATTTGCAATTCTAGAAAAACCTTTTTCTTTTTCTGAATGTCTGTGTTTGTCGGATCAAAACTTATTATTTATTATTTATTATGATAATTTAATCTAATCTCTATTCAAGATGTTATTTTTTAAAATCCATGTTTCTCTAATGAATGTAATTTCAAGGAATTTTGCCACTGAGTTATTTAACTAAAATATAAAATTAAACAAGTTGAGCAGGAGGTTTGCAGAGGAAGTGGTAGATGGAGGAAGTTTTTGTATGAGCCTCCTGCTTCCCTGTGTCACTGTGCCCGTCGAGCACAGTAATACACAGCTGTGTCCTCAGCTTTCAGCTGGTTCATCTTCAGATAGAGTTTACTATTTGAGTCATCTCTGGAAATGATGAATCTTCCCTGGACTGACTGGGAGTAATATGTTGGATAACCAAGGGTGCCTATATAGGCGATCCATTCCAGTCCTTTTCCAGGAGCCTGTCTGACCCAGCTCATTGCATAGCTGCTAAGTGTGAACCCAGAGGCTGTACAGGTCAGGGTGTGGGATTCTCCAGGTCTTTTAGTCACTGGTTCAGATTCTGTCAGAGTTTGCCCACTAACACCTGCAAAAATGTTAACACAATTATAGCCTGGGACTCAAAAAGGTTAGTAACTTAGGTTAGCAGAAGATGTTCACCTGTCCAGCAGACAGCTAAGAGCAGCAGTGATGTCCTACAGTCCACCATGTTGAACTGAGTCGTTTTTTCTTAGCTGGTATTACTGCTTGGTGCTTAAAACCTTATCAGTTTATCAGTTTTGCATGAACTCCTCCTTGAAGGGAGGAGTTGGAATCATGTGATGTTTTGTCCAAATGTCAGCAATCATTAGTCACATAACTTGTAATCATCTGTAACTTCACCAACAAAACAAGCAAAATGAAACACAAAGGCATGAAGTATTACAACAAAAGAAAACCATCTTGATTAATTTCAGCATAGCTGCTATCTGAAATTATAAAGATAGGTCTGCTATCTTATAATGAAATCTAAAGATGTTATTTTGAAGAAAGAGTTAATACATTTAATAATATTGCTAGAGTTACTGTCTTATATTTAATTGACTTTTTCATTGCCACACTCTTCAATAATAAACCAGTTTTATTCAGCAGTCGTGTTGCAGCTCCAGCTCAAGTATTTTGAAACACAAAAAACTTGTTGAAAAATTTCTGAGCATCAAGAGCAAAAAGATTAAAAAAACAGCTGCTTCAATTTGTTTTTACTGCTTGTTTCCATGTTTTCCTTTCTGATATAAAATGTTTTAATGGAAGGTCTCAAATTCAAACTAAAAAGTAATTTATGATTTATGTGACAACAAATATCACTTCAGAGTCTGAAGTGATAAAAATAAAAGAACTTGAAGTCTAACAGATCAGTGTTTATTGTTGCTGGGGTTTTTGTACAGCTGCTGAACCAACTTCAGTCACTGTGCGTCTCGCACAGTAATAAACAGCAGAATCTTCAGTCTTCAGATTGCTCATCTGCAGATACACCTGCTGCTTGTCGTTGTTTCTGGAGATGTTAAATCGGCCTTGGACTGATGGAGAGTACCACTGGCTACTACCAGTGGGCTGACTTACGCCAGCAACCCACTCCAGTCCTTTCCCAGGAGCCTGTCGGATCCAGTGCATCCCATAGTCACTGAATGTGAATCCTGAGGCTGTACAGGTCAGAGTGTGGGATTCTCCAGGTCTTTTAACCACTGATCCAGATTCTGTTAGAGTCTGAGAGTGGCTTCCTATTATAAAAAAAGAACACATAATTGATATTGTAAGTAATATAAAATGAAAAAAATTCAAATTAAAATCAGAGTAAATCATCACCTGTCCAAAAGACAGTTAAAAACAGCAGCACTGCTCTGAAGTCCATCATGTTAACCTGAGTGTCCTCTGTTCTCTGTAGAAACCTGCATAAATACAGCTGAGTTTTACATTAACTCCTCCTCACAGGAAGAAATCTAGAAAAAACTATTGATCTGGAGACAGCATTTGTATGATTCCTGCAGAATGATAGAAAAAACTGTCTTGCTCAGGTAAATACAGGAAATTGAAAATATTTATTAATTGTTCTTGACAGATTGAAGATTAGTTTGACTTTTATAATTTACAGTTTTTGTTAGGTTATACTTTATTTCCACATTTTTAAGAGATTATCATCAAGATAATCAAAAAGCAAGATTACAACAAGAACGTGTTGGATGCAATTACAGTGCGTATCCATCTATTAAAACTGTAGAGTCTTTAATGTTTAAATCTCGTTAACATCAGTGATCTGAGGACATCTTGTGGTGAATTCCTGCAATAGTTGGGGATTGTGATTATCTCTAAATCTTCTTTGTGCATCAACAGTATAAGGGTGGACAACTCCTTCAGCATTTTGTAATGGTTTTCTTTTTCTCTCTCTCTCTTTTAGTAAAATTAAAGAAGTTCTAGATAAAAGGTGAAATCAAAGTTCATAAAATACTGTCAATATTTTCAGGTTACTTTCAACAAGTTGGAAAGCTGTTTTTTTTCTGTTTTTATGTTCTTTTTATCCCTGCACCTACTGGATATTGTATGAGACAAATGCCTTTAGAGTTAGATATCTGTAAGTCATGATGATTAATTTTGTATTTATAATGTTCACTAGGTTGTGCTCAAAGAGAGAAGTCTTAAAACCTCTCATTTTGTAAAATATAATAAATAGAATAATAAATAGATTAATAATGTCACAGATGGACTCATACTTCTTCACATTAGATTGGATTTATGTTGTTAACGATAGGATAGAAATAGGATATTAAATGGAATAATATTGTCTTCATTCTTTACGTTGTCTCAGTGTTTCAGTGCATTCTTCATATCTCTATATAGTAACAATTTCTCACAGTTACATTGAAGACTTCCAGGCTTGAGGGAACTTGAGGTTTTTGTACAGCTGCTACATCAACTACAGTCATTGTGTGTCTCGAACGCAGAAATAAACAGCAGAATCTTCAGTCTTCAGGCTGTTCATCTGCAGATACAGCTGCTGTTTGTTGTTGTCTCTGGAGATGGTGAACCTGCCTTGGACTGATTGAAAGTAGTATGTGCTGTCACCATAATAACTAATGCCTGCAACCCACTCCAGTCCTTTCCCAGGAGACTGTCTGACCCAATGCATCCAGTGGTCACTGAATGTGAATCCTGAGGCTGTACAGGTCAGTTTGTGGGATTCTCCAGGTATTTTAACCACTGATTCAGATTCAATCAGAGTCTGGCCTTTAACACCTGTAAACAAAAGAAGCAAAATTGCAATTCTTAAAATAAGCTCATTCCTCAAAGACAGATGAATGCCCTAGCAATTTCTCACCTATAAAACAGAGGGCAAAAATAAACAGTCCTGATCTGAAATCCATCATGTTTCAGTGTGACTCTATGCTCTCCAATAGCCTTTTCTTGGTAATTTAACTAAAGCAGGAAGTTAAAGATTTGCATTGACTCCTCCTTCCAGGGACGGAGCGGAAATGAAACTTAGATCTTAGAACAGTCTAACAGTTTTACAAAAAGCCAGACAAATTAAAACTTTATAAAATGATTATCGACACATAAAAGAAAAACAACATAAAGTATTGCAAAACAATATGATGAATGGATGGAGAGATGGAGGGACAGATGGATGGATGAACATTTTACAGATTAATTAACCATTTCCATGAACAAAATATGTATGACTGTTATTGAGAAAGGTGAGGGGATAGCAGGTGCTTATTATTTTATCAACATTATCGTTTGGTTGTTTATTAATCCCACTTGATTGCATAAAAAACAAGTGAGATGGAAGCTTTTTCTATTTTCATTTTGTTGAATATCAATAAACCAGATCGAGGGTTTTTTAAATAACATTCTGGGTTGGTTTATATTGTTTAAAACGCAAAATGATTCAAATAAAACATCAAAATTATATTATGATGGAATACATTATTTATCTCTTCGATTCTTTACAATTTCAGTCTTACACTGGAAGATATTGGAAAAACTCTGTCCAGATAACTTTGAAGGCATTGAGGTTTTTGTACAGCTGCTGAACCGACTTCAGTCACTGTGACTCTCGAGCGCAAAAATAAACAGCAGAATCTTCTGTTTTCAGGCTGTTCATCTGCAGATACAGCTGCTGTTTGCCGTTGTCTCTGGAGATGGTAAAACGGCCTTGAACTGACTGAGAGTAGTATGTGCTGCCGCCGCCCGGATGAATTAATGCAAGCCACTCCAGTCCTTTTCCAGCAGCCTGTCTGACCCAGACCATCCAGCGGTCACTGAATGTGAATCCTGAGGCTGTGCAGGTCAGTTTGTGGGATTCTCCGGGTCTTTTTATTGCTGGTTCAGACTCTGTCAGAGTCTGACCATCAACTCCTATAAAACAACAAAAAAGAAGCACAGTTTTAGTTTGGTGATAATTTACTAAAGACAGATTAAGTTCTGTTAGCATTTCACACCCATCAGAGAGAAGACTGAAAGGAGCAGTGCTGATCTGAAGTTCATCATGATCCAGTGTCCTGCTTGTTCTCTGACAATCGTCATATATTCATGGCTGGAAGTGACTGAAGTTTTGCATTGACTCCTCCTGCAACGGAGGGAGGAACACAAACTTGGACAGGCCTGTTATTATAATAGCCTTTATTAATACCATTTCATTCAGTTTGAAAGTTTTCTATATTAACTGAATGAATCATTATCTTTCTGAAATCTAAGGACTGAAATCCTATTAATTATGCTGTTAACTACAACAAAAAAAAATTAGAAAATGATCTGGCCTTTCAAATTAAAGAAAGAATAATTACAAATAGACTGCATAACAAATGTTTTATATTTTATATACTTTAAAACTTGTAATTAAAATGATAGTTGTTGTATTCGGTTTATAAATTTACCTTTTAAAATTCCAACTTTCAACCAGCTTTTCCAGGATTATTTTGAAACTTTTATGTAAACTACTTATTCATTTGTGTTCATATCTGATCACCAATACCGTTACAATATATAAGCTTAACAAGCAGTCAATCGTAATGAAATTTGCATATTAAATAAACTCACATGCAATGTTAAGTTAAATTATAAAAAATATATATTTCAATTAACATAAAGATTCTACAGTCTAAGTTGTTGTAATGTTTAAATGATGTGTTTATCTATTGCAGTGTTATATCTGTCCATAAATATCTACAACAATGCATTAACTGGGCCACAAGCTTAAGCCAAACAAAATGTTTTCTTGTGCAACAGAATCATAAAACTGCGGTCTTTGCCTTTACTCAATTATTCCACAGATTTAAAGAAAGACAGCATCCATCTACATAGATCAAAAGACTGAGAGCACATGAGTTCATTGTCTTTAGTATGAGAACTTGAAGAGGACAAAGTCTCTAAAACTCACAATTTAATTCCCCAGCAGAAAGGTGGGTATACCAGCCCTCAGAACTGCTTAGACGCCTATTTGTTCCTCTAGAGTGAAAATATAAAAATGTATTTTTAATGGTGTTAAAAACATATTTTTTGTTTTGGTTATTCAACAGCTGTCATTATTCTTCTTTTCAAACTTTATGCAATTTTCAAAAATGTTTTATAGAATTTTTGGTAGAAAGAGAAATTATTAAACAATGTAAATGGAAATTATTGAGCTCATTTTAATGGCTCATGTGATTAACTGATTTTTTGCAACAGGCAATAAATCAATTACACTAAAGATGTGTTAGAAAAAGTACTCTGTAAAGTAAAGTTATTTCCAGTGAAATGAAAACAAAGATACAGAAATGTGTGTTCCTGGCATTATTAAGGTCTGAGGCCCCCTTGTGCTGATTTGCTGCAACATTTATTCTGATTCTCTGAGGTTTTTGTTCATCTCCTGCTGTAGTCTGTATCACTGTGGCTCTCTTTTGCACAGTAATACACAGCAGTGTCTTCTGGCTGCATATTCTGTCCATTCAAAGTCACTCTGCTGTTGGAAGAGTCTAAGTTGACACTAAACTTGTTTTGTAGCGAATCTTTGATAGTTGTGTCTCTACTGATCCACTCCAGTCCTTTTCCTGCAGGCTGTCTGATCCAGTGTGTGTAGTAGCTATCAATAGAATAAGAGACCTGGCAGGTGATGCTCACACTTCTCCCAGCCTGCACAGACATGGAGGGTGGCTGGTTGAGCTGTTCACCTTTCAAACCTGCAAAGATGGATTTACTGTGTGACATTTTTATCAGACTAAATTGATGGTTGTAAATAATCTAGAAAGACTTACTTGTTACAGAACCTAGAAGCAGCAGCAACAAAGTCAAGGAGGACATGATTGCTGTAGTTGCAGAGGGAACATCTGATCCTCTTTTAAGGTGTGTGAAGTAAATTCACCACGTCAAACAAGTCACATGATTTACATAAAAAGACAGAGGGAGGTGATAACTTAAGTTTATCTGAGACAAAGACAAATCTCTGATAGAACATTAGCATGAACTCCTAACATCTATTACATTAATAGGATACATTTTGAAGGGACTTCCCATTTCAAGGGAACATGGGATAATATGTTTGTTCTTTTTTTCTCCTTTTCTGATGAGATTACATTGATTCATTTCATGGTATTATTTTATGTTTTAATCCACAAATGCGGACAACAAACTGAACATCAAAAGATATTGATGACAAAAAGGGTTTATAAACAAAACTAGAAAAGTAAAAAAAATAATGTCTTGTTTTGTGAAAACAGTTTTGGTGGTTGTTAGGTTTTTATTTTTAAATGTATTTAATGTTTTCTGTTACAATTGGCAATAGTTTTTATTATTCAAATGTTGAATATTTTACGTTTTTTGGTCCATTATGACACATTTCAGTAAGTATTTCGATGCAATATTTTATATTAAAATTTTTTATTTTAAGTATGCAAAAAATTCTATAGTACTTTCATATACTTAACAAACATGTATTATTATTAATAGTAGCAGTAATAATTCACAGTAATAATTCACAGTAATTCACAGTCTTAATTAAATTAATTTCTCTGTTATGATGTTAAGTTCACAAAAATGTTCTCATGTCCTGGAAATTATATTTCCATTAAACTGATTAATAGAAAACATGTAAGACATTTTATTTATTAAATTCACATGGAAACACTTGTATGTTTTGTATTTTTATTTAAAATTACATTACTAAATAAATTCAAATACTTTCATGTACAAATGTGTGCATTGTGGGACGTATTTCTTATTCATTTTTTTTTGTTACAGATTTATATCAGGGGATTTTGTACAGCGACTGAACTGACTTCAGTCGCTGTGGTTGCCGAGCACAATAATAGACGGCAGAGTCTTCAGTCTTCAGGCTGTTCATCTGCAGATACACCTGCTGTTTGCTGTTGTCTCTGGAGATAGTGAACCGTCCTTGAACTGACTGAGAGTAGTATGTGCTTGTAATTTCAATAGTTGAAACCCACTCCAGTCCTTTCCCAGGAGCCTGTCTAACCCAAGCCATCCAGTAGCTGCTGAAAGTGAATCCAGATCCTGTACATGTCAGTTTGTGTGATTCTCCAGGTCGTTTCACAGCTGGTTCAGATTCTGTCAGAGACTGACTATAAACACCTGTCAGAAAAAGATAAAAGTTTGAAAAACTATCTGCATGTTCAAACTGAAAATTGATCTAAACTGAGGAAATGCGGGGGGCAAAAAACTTGAATATTTCACCTGCACCGCAGATAGTTAAAAGCAGCAGCCCTGTCCTGTAGTCCATTCTGCTAAACAGGTTTCTGTTGTTCTCAGTCAGCCCAATAAAGTCAAATATATAGCTGTGGATGACATCCTGCCCTCTAGGGCTCCTCCTGATTGGACAAGGACTAAGCAGCTTATTTGTTTAGTTTTGTTATTTTTGTGAGGTTTTACTTCAGGATCTAGTTCTATTAAAATTTCTAGTTTATTTGTATATAACTTATTAGCTATTCTTTTGATATTCTTTAAATAAAATCTGTGCAAAGCTTCTATTTATATTTCTGGAAACGGTGCATGTTATATTACGAGATTATTTTCTTAAGGCCAACAAATGAAAAGAATTAAACAGATGTGTGCACAGAAGTCAACCATCACCATTGGTATTAAAAACTAAACATAGAGAGGATCATGAATAGATTTATTTATTGATGTTAATTTTATGTTGTTTCACACATTAAACAAGAAATACCATTGCTTTCAAAAAGAAGCTGTTTCAAAACAGGGAATCAGTGTGAATGGCAATAAATAGTCAGCCTGAGTGAAAATCTGAGAAGATATACTATTGATTGATGAGCTCAACACAAATAGAGTATAGGATAAATACCAAAGAAAATCATAGTAAATGTATGCGCTGAGCTCATTTAGACACAGCTGGAACATAAAACAAATAAGAGAAAACATATTATATTTGCCAATAATATTCATCACTTCTTGAAAAGCAAATTGCTAATCATAATATTTTCTATTGCTGACAAGTGTATGTATAATAGACTACTCAGTCATTCTGCTGTCAGCACTGCCATCATCTGGTGACAGAGAAAACATTCTCTCTTGAGGATGCAGGGAGGGAGTTGCTCCTATGACAGTCATATTCAAAAATACAATTTCTATTTTTTACAATGTCGAGAAAATAAATTCATGCATAGTCAATCTCTTTTTCCCAATGTCAGTGAAAGAAGATGCTTTGTGTTCTTAATACTCAATCATAATTGTCAAAGCTCTCTGCTTAAATACGTTAAACAATGCATTCAGCTTTTTACATTTTTTGTGTGATTTTTGATTGAAGTCTTAGAGCATGGCTGTGTGCACAACAGTATAGTGGTTCTTAGCTGAAAAAGCCACTATGTTGCTGTTCATTTCCTCCAGCATTGTGGTGAGAAAATCTTTAAATATTTTGTGTGTTGTTTGAATTTCATTACATCTACTGCACAGTAACACAAACATGTTGAGTATGTTTAATAAGATAAATTGACTCTATCTGTTAATTCATGTCTGTGCAAAAGAGATTAAATTTAACACAGTTTTGTTTTCCATAAAAAATACAGCTGTTTATTATAAAAAACGGTTTTATGGAGAATATATATTTTATCAGGCTCACCATACTTTTTCAAGCACCAAAAATGTTCTTTAATAATTCCTTCTCTCTCGCTCTTTGTGTGTCAACCAGCATCTCAGATCCACATGTGTTTGTTAGATTACATTTATATCCCTTAAAATATTTTACATTGGATTTATTCCTTTCCTTAACTACATATAACTATTTCCATTCGTCTACTACAGCATTGTCAGTGTCTCATGGGGAAAGACAGAGCCACAAAGGGAAACTTCAGCCACAAAGCCAACTTCAGTGGCTGTAGCAGCTTTTTGTACAGCTGCTACAGCAACTTCAGTCACTGTGCCTCTCTAGCGCAGTAATAAACAGCAGAATCCTCTGTTCTCAGGCTGTTCATCTGCAGATGCACCTGCTGCTTGCCGTTGTCTCTCGAGATGGTAAACCGGCCTTCAACAGTTGGGGAATAGTATGTGCGACCACCATCACCCCTGATATCAGCGAGCCACTCCGGTACTTTCCCTGGACTCTGTCTTATCCAGGACATCCAGTGGCCACTAAATGTGAATCCTGAAGCCGTACAGGTCAGTTTGTGGGATTCTCCAGGTATTTTAACCACTGGATCTGATTCTATCAGAGTCTGGCCATCAACACCTGTTAAACAATGGAGACATAAAGTAAAGATCTTGTTGGAAAACAGTTTCTGAAACACAAAATGAAGCTCTGTATGTATTTTCTCACCCATAAAACAGAAGAGAAAGAGAAACATTCCTGATTTGTGGTCCATCCTGGTCTCTGTTTTCTGTTTGTGCTCTTTTGTCTCTAACAACCTTTTAACAGTCACACAAATATGGCTGGTTTAAAGTTTTGCATTGGCTCCTCCTGATAGGGAGGGAGAAGAAATTATACATAGATTTGTATGTAAAACTCATTGTTTGATAGGATTTGCTGTAACTCATACTCATACTGTCTTTCTTTTTATTTTTTCCCCTAATGTAGTCAATTGAGGTTTTTCTCCTGATGTTGTTTTCTCTCAACATTATGAGAGGAATCATTGAAAGATGTCAGATTTAATCAGCTGTCAGACCAACAATGTGAGAGATGCAAGACACTTAAAATAAAGTTTGTTATTTTTGGAAAACTTATCTCCAGACTAGATTTTTTCCTGTTTATGATGCTTGATTTCATACTTGTCTTTGATTAATGCCATATTCGTAATTATTTTTGAAAGATAATGTTTTCTTAGTTTAGATAGTTTAGTCTACTGAAGCGGCTGTCAGAATAATTAATGACCATGTCCCCAGTTGACATATGAAACAAAGGAATATTACATCTGCCTTTTTGTGTGTGTACAGTTTAATATTTATTTGCTGAGAAAATGTTGTTCCATTTAAAAATATTATTCTTAAAATAACCAATGCTTTAAGGTTTTTAAAAGCATTGGTTATCTTCAAAACATTTAATATAAATATATTTAAAATTATATTTAAAAAATGTTGTTATATTTGAAATATAATGTTAAAGATATTGCTTAAAGATAGTGACAGCTTAAAGATGTGGCTATTACTTATATATCAAGCTAAAAGTCAAGAAAAAATCTAATTAAAACTGCATTTGATGAATCTTCTTTGTAAGTTTTGTTCTGTCTGTAGTCAATATATGTCAAAATGAAATAAACATATAGATTAGTTAGTTATTCTAATATGACATTCCCCAAACTGGAAAGCTTCATGAGCTGAACAAAAATAGAAAAGAAATTCTCAAAAATCTGTAGTCCTCTTCTTGTTTAGTCTATACTGCCACCATCTGGTCATTGAGAAAATATTTTCAGTGAAGTTTTTGTTCTGCCTCTCTGCCTACTTTAATACTTTTCTTATTTGCCACAGTAATACACAGCAGAGTCCTAACCCAGACAGTCTCAGGTACATCATGCTGTTGCTGTCATCTCTGATTTGTACTTTATCTTGAAAATACTACAATAAATTGTTCCACTTCCATCTGTAAAAATGAATCCCACAGACTGTCTGTCCAGTTTATTTAACAGCATCCAAATGAGACGTCAGATTCTTTACTGATGATCACATTCTTACAGTACAAAGCTGTACTTCTTTGTACTGGAGTTTGTGAAATATATATTACAATTTTTTTGTGCTAAATATGTAAGAAACTTAAACAGATAAAGCAATGTATGATTTATACATGGTAAAATATTTTAAGTTTAGATACATTAATCAATTGTTAGAATTTAAGCATCATCTTAAACTTTACTTTTTATTTACTTATTTTACAAAAAGTTGACTAGAAAACTTTTATCTCCCCACTGAGTGTGCAAAAATCTATTCATTATGTCAAATGTTTTTCACTTTATACAAAAATCATAACTTTTGTATTGAAACTTTATTTTGAAATTCTTTATTTTAAATTTAAAAACATGAAATAAATAACTATGTCTCTGTTAGTTTTACAGGCAAGTCTCACAGAGAAAATAAAACAATCCACCAGATAACTCTGAGGGGGATTAAGGTTTTTGTGCAGCTGCTTAAACAGTTTCAGTCACTGTGCTTCCCGCGCGCAATAATAAACAGCAGAATCCTCTGTTCTCAGGCTGTTCATCTGCAGATACAGCTGATTTCTGCCGTTGTCTCTGGAGATGGTGAACCTGCTCTGGACTGACTGTGAGTAGTACTTGCTACTACCACTGCCACTACTGATATAAGCGATCCACTCCAGGCCTTTTCCAGGAGCCTGTCTGACCCAGCTCATATAGTAGCTGCTGAATGAGAAACCAGAGGCGGTACAGGTCAGTTTGTGGGATTCTCCTGGTCTCTTCACCACTGACTCAGATTCTGTCAGAGTCTGACAATAAATGCCTGTGAAGCAGAAACATAGTCATTGTAAGAAAATAGTTTCTCAAAAGCAGATTAAAGTTCTGTCTGCAATTTCTTACCTGAAAAGCAGATAATAGAAATTAGCAACCCAGATTTATAGTCCATCATGTTTTAGTGCGGTTCTTGTTCTCTGACAGCATTTCCACAGGCCCACTAATAAAGCTGGAAAACACAAAGTTTTGCATTGACTCCTCCTAGCAGGGAGGGTGGAGTTCAAACTCAGATTTGTGATATGCATTTCCAGACGTATGCATTGATCATGTTGATTATTATAGGTTTAATTGTACTTATAGATTTGCCATTTTCAGAAGATTTGGGTCACAAAAAAATAAGTTAATTTATGTAATGGGAAGACAGAAGTAGGTTTTGAACCTTAAATATTAGAGTATTAAATATTAAATACAGGTTGTATTTGTTACCTGTCATAAAAAATGTTAAATAACATGATTTGACTCTAATACAGTGAAGAGAATTTATCATAAAAAAATCACTAAAAATGTGATTTATTGTTGCTTGTGTGCAAACCTGTCATCACCTCATTATATAGTAACAGCCTTTAAAAGTGAAAGTGGTATGTGTTTAAAATGTGACCTTGAGTGGTACTCTGTTCTTGCATCATAGCTGCAGCTTACACATAAAATAATTATGCATAATTTTTATAGGTCGTGTTTAAGGAGATTCTTCCATACTTTAGGAAATGTGTACCTTCAATTGTTAGAAATACTTTTAGAGTAAACATTGCAGCAAGCTGAATGACAACATAATTTGAAAATCAATTTATTGTATAAAGGATGTAGTTTACAAAAAAAACTTTGTTGATATTTGTTTTGCAATTTCTTGGCATCAGATCCAATATTGATGTTGGTAGACTGGTGGAAAAGAAAACATTTAGTGTATGAATTTATTCCTCTCAAATCTTAGGATCACTGTTTACTGTTGTAGAAACTGAATCTTAGTTTTGCAGAGAGGCTTCATAGAGAAAAGAAAATATTCCATCAGATAACTCTGAGCAGATTGAGGTTTTTGTACAGCTGCAGAACCAACTTCAGTCACTGTGCCTCTCGAACGCAATAATAAACACCAGAATCTTCTGTTCTCAGGCTGTTCATGTGCAGATACAGCTGATTTCTGCCGTTGTCTCTGGAGACGGTGAACCTGCCCTGGACTGACTGTGAGTAGTCCTTGCTACCACCACCCTTACTAATATAAGCGATCCACTGTCTGACCCAGTTCATATAGTAGCTGCTGAATGTAAATCCAGACGCTGTGCAGGTCAGTTTGTGGGATTCTCCTGGTTTTTTAGCCACTGATTCAGATTCTATCAGAGTCTGACAATAAATGCCTGTAAAGCAACACAGTAAAATTAGTCTAGTTGTTGTTATAAAAGTTTCAAAAAGACAAAAAAATATTTTTGTTACCAATTTCTCACCTGTCAAGCAAATGACAAAAACCATCAGTTCATATCTGTAATCCATCATGTGATTTTGATTTTGGTTCTCTGACAGCCTCACCTGTGACCACAGTCATATAAATACAGCTGGACGTTATTTGTCTTGACTCCTCCTATCAGGGAGGGTGGACTTCAAACCCAAATTTAAGAGGTAAACACATTTTCTAAACATTTTCTCACATTTTTCTTGGTAGAACTTAGTTATCTCTCTGAAAATACACAAAGTTAATAATAGTAATGCATCTTTTGCAATGTCAGATTTACTTTATTTTTTCATTTTTTCTATTCAATCATGTCACTAAAACCGATGCTTGTCAACCTGACAGTTTGACAAAGTGAACTTTCAAAAACAATAAAATATTTACATAAACAAAACTGGCATGTCATAAATATTTATTATTGATGAAACATTTCTATTTCATAGTGAAACTCTTCTTATAACTGTTGATAAGCTTTTTGCATGTTTTCACTGATATTTTCACAATTTATCTTTGTGCAGGGTTTATTTCTTTTTCACACTATTATTTGAGGTTCATCAACAAAAGGTCTTCATAGAGGAGAAGCAACACAAATATATTTCTTAAAGTACACTTTCATGGAACTTCTACTAACAGGAAATCAAAACAACATCTGTTGAAGCTCAATGTTTTTGTATTTTCGTGTGCCAATTGTTTTCTTGTTAGGAGCTTCTGCCAAGCTTCTGTGCTAACATTAACTAATGTGCTCTCTGACACAGTTGAGTCATCAGATTTCATGATCATGGATGATCTAAAATACACCCTGTTGTTGCTGTTAACTCTATATCCATCAACACTGTTTTACTGGTGGTTCTGAAAAGGACAGTCAATCAATTTATACAAAGAAATTAAAATTTATCTCCTTTTTTTCCCTTTATGTACATCTGAGTGATGTTTTCTTAAATTATATACAAAATTCAAATTGGTTGGGCAGTGATAAAAAATGTTCCTCTCTTATTGTTCAGTCCTAGAGTCAGAGTTTAGTGTAACTGCTACTTTAGCCTTCTTAGTTTTACATCTGTGTCACACAAAGAAAAGAAAATAACCCACAAGACAACTCTGAGGGGACTTGAGGTTTTTGTACGGCAGCTGAACCGATTGCAGTCACTGTGTCTCTCGAGCGCAATAATAAACAGCAGAATCTTCTGTTCTCAGGCTGTTCATCTGCAGATACACCTGATTTCTGCCGTTGTCTCTGGAGATGGTGAACCTGTCTCGAACTGACTGAGAATAATATAAGCTGCGATCGTTATAATGAGCAGCAAGCCACTCCAGTCCTTTTCCAGGAGCCTGTCTGATCCAGGCCATCCAATAGCCACTGATTGAGAACCCAGAGGCTGTGCAGGTCAGTCTGTGGGATTCTCCTGGACTTTTAACCACTGAATCAGATTCTGTCAGAGTCTGACAACAAACACCTGTGAAGTAAAGCAGTCAAATAAGTATAGTTGTTAGATAACAGCTTCACAAAGGGAGATCAAAGTTCTGTTGACATTTTCTTACCTGTAAAGCAAATGACAAAGAACAGCAGACCAAATTTGTTCTCCATCTTGTTTCTGTTTGATTTTTGTTCTCCGACAGTTTTGCCACAGTCACATAAATAAATGGTTCAACTTTGCATTGACTCCTCCTACCAGGGAGGAGGGAGAAGAAACTGCAGATTTTTGAGGTAAACACAATTTATTTAAAAGAAAAACAAAACATAAAACACTGAATCTCCATATTCGGAAATGGGAACTTGTTGAAATAGCAGTAAAGTAAATGCACTGGTTAATTTGAGAGCTCTTTTTGGCATGGTTTTGTTTTATATCTTCAAATCTCCAATTAAAATATTGTCTAATTCAATCTAAGGAGCTGGGAGAATAAGACTGAGAGCAATCATAACAATGTGAGTTAATGTTTTCACTTTTCTGAAGTCACAAAATGTCTGACCTCAGTTCAGTTTTCAAACTAGGAAGGACTCATTAGGGATTGGATATAACAGTCACCATTTGATGCAAGAACAAATTAACATTTTTTTATTATTTTAATAAATAAAACTTGAAGGAAAAAACATTTTGAGTATCTGGGGAAGTTTTGCTTATAACTGGAGTTGATAAAGGACTCAGAGACAAGCAAGAAGAAGGCAGTTGCATGATGGAAAAAGACATTTATTGATTAATTCAGATTAGACAAGGGTCAACCCAGACATGAAGAGCAACCAAACCCTGTAAATAACCCAGGAACAGTTTACACAAAAATGAATAACTTCAGAATAGTGGGGAAGACTCCAGTTCAAAGAATGCATTGCAGATGTGTGAAAAAACCTGAGCAAGAAGGAGCAGAGGTGATAAATGAACACCATATAAATATAGAGGAAACTATAATAATGCAAAACATTATTAGTGATAGAAGCTGAAATTCCCATTGTTATACAGTATATATTACTTGTTGAGTTGCTTGAAAACTGGCTTTTAAGAGATCTCTTAGATTTACTAAACTGGATTTTTCATAAGATATTATGTAACCTGAATCTATTTTTATTAAATGCAAATTGTAAAATTCTGATGACAATATGTTTTTAGGGACATATTTTGCTTTTTAAGATAAGAGCTCTCATAGATCTCTTTTTCACACACAGATTTTATAAATTAATTCAGTCATGTTTCTTGATATTAAAGTGCATTTACATTACTGATGGTGGGACTGTAAGAGAAAATAAAATGTTCTCTTCACCAGAGTCATTTTAACTCAGTCTAATAAAGGAAGATATTCTCACAGTCAAAATTAAGACTCCCTTCAGATAACTTTGAAGGCATTGAGGTTTTTGTACAGCTGCTAAACCAACTTCAGTCACTGTGTCTCTTCGAGCACAATAATAAACAGCAGAATCTTCTGTTCTCAGGCTGTTCATCTGCAGATACACCTGATTTCTGCCGTTGTCTCTGGAGATGGTGAACCTGTCTCGAACTGACTGAGAATAATATAAGCTGCGATCGTTATAATGAGCAGCAAGCCACTCCGGTCCTTTTCCAGGAGCCTGTCTGATCCAGTTCATCCACCAGCCATTGATTAAGAATTCAGAGGCTGTGCAGGTCAGTTTGTGAGATTCTGCTTGTTTTTTAACAACTGAAACAGATTCAGTCAGAGTTTGCCCATCAACACCTTTGAGGGGAAAAAACAAGTGAAACAGTTTTAGCTTTGTCTTTTTGCCCTACTAAATGTAGACAAATCAGAAATGTGATTGAGGAAATTTGATAAAACTTCAGTATTTCACCTGCACAGCAGATGAATAAAAGCAGCAGTCCTGTCCTGTGGTCCATCTTGTTAAACTGTATCTGCTGGTTCATCCCTGTTAACTTAAATACACAGATGTAGGCAGATTCATTTTCCATTGGCTCCTCCTCCACAGCAAATTATGAATAATGATTATTTCACAAAACAAATCCATTTTCACAATATTCAGAAACACATTTGCCCTAGATAAAACTGGAGGTGTTTTTATTATAATAATCCTACTCTTAAACCTAACTCAACAAAAAAGCCCCACAGTTATATTCCCTTACACTAAACAAATATGGTTAAATAGGCTTATCTAAATGTCTATTTCCAAAGAAATATAATATGCATCTTTTCACATATTTTGCTGGTGCTGCTAAATTAGAGACACCCTATTTCCAGTTTTCTTTGAAAAACCATTCTGTTTATCTCCTCCACCTAATTTGAACACCATGAATTTTTTGTGCTGTTGCTTTCTCTGATGATTTTTATTTAATCCTGAAAACTGCTCAAGTAACATGTTTTACATTTTTTGGTTTAAATGTAGCTGTCAAGTTGTTAGTAGTGACTGTTTTTGCTGTACAACTGTATGATGTACATCATTATTATTCTACCTGTTTGCTTCTACTGCCACCTTCAGGTCAAAATATAGACATCTATAGGTGTTCATTTTAATGCACCTTTTTACAGTGGATTCACTGATAACAGAAAAAATTAAAACAATCTCAAGATTTTTTTTTCTTGCAAATTGTAGTTCCGAGGTCAGACTAAAAGTTCTGGCAGATTTTTGACCACTATGGCCAAATTAATTTATACTTTTACTTGAATGAAAGTCTGAGATAAATTAGCCTTAAAGAGTTACTTTCTCTATTGTGTTGGGCTTAGAAATGTGCCCACTGGCTTATTAAGAAATCCTCTGGAGGTATTTGTTTAAAACAAACACAAGTTTTGAATATCTTTATCAAATGAAATTATTTTTCCATGGTTCAAAACCACAATTCACGTAGTAGTTCTTTGGTGAAAAAAAAAATTATAATAATAATTCTGGGAATCAAATAGGTGTATTTATTTATGTAACCTTTCATTTCACTTTTAATGTTACCGATATTGAAGTTATTTTATTTTATTTTAAAAATAATCTACCGCACATGGTTCATTTTTGGTTTGAAGGCTTGAAGGTTTGGATGAAAAAGCCTTTTATTTTGAAAGGCAGACCAGACTTCCTCTAAGTGTAGCCACGCCTCCACCTCCACACAAACACAGGATCCCAGCTCGGCTTTTTTTCCCCCCTAGATTGTGTGTAAATATGTAAACTCTACCTCTTCGTTTCTCATAAAGAAATGTGAGGTCTCAGCGTTTTTACTATGATTGAGCCAGCTTGTCTGCAGACACCAGTTTCTTCCTGCTTCACGAGCAAAACAAGCTGGTAGGAGATGAATCAGAGGAGGCTAACTCTAGACACTACTGACCTTTTTGTTTATTTAGAAAGACACTGAAAATACTTCTCATAGCAGCCGGCACATTTATCAGGCACTGCAGCTTCACCAGCTTTTCCTGCAAGCATCTGCAAATAGAAACAGTAAGAGAAAACCCAACAAAAACGTTAGCATTAGCAATAACTGCATGCAATCAACACTATAATGCAGGCCTCGAAATGAATAATTTGGATGTTTTGAAGTGGCGTCTAGTGGTGAAGTTTTTAGCATTAAATATTTTAGGTAAAGTAAACATCTCAATAGAGGAGCAAATAATGTTCTCTGTCAATGCTAACGTCTAGCCATAGCAGAGCACATTGTTCTGATCTCAAACTTTTCCAAGGTATTGATTTGCATTAAGTCTAATGAACCTGTATCAGTCTTAAATAAGAATAGTAAATAGTAAACCACAATACAAATCGGTACATATATAATCACCTTTTCACTTTTGCATCAGATGTTTTTTTGTTAACAAATAGCAATGACTAAATCACATGTTCTGCTACACATTTCACTTCAAATCTCCTTTAATTTATGCTTTTGTAAAATACTTTCCACACTCGGATCTACTTTGATCTGCACCTTTTTTTAGTATGTATATATTTTTTATATATGTGTTTGAGTTTTTCATCCAAGGATCTGTAAAGTTAAGCCGATTCTTCAATATGCAGCCAAGAGTGATCTATCATACAAGTCACACAAATTAGAAATAAACTCAAGTATTGTTTTTGATTTTTTGTTTTGTGGGTTTTTCCATTGTTTGGACGAAAAGTGTGTTGTGGCTTTCTAATAAACATGCTTGTAAAATGGTGGAAGTCTAAAGCCTGCAGCAGCTTCATCTGCTCTCCAGGCTTTCCCAATATTCTCTGGATAACTTTACCTATAAATATTTCCATTCATAGACATTCTAAATATTCACATTTTTTCTTTGTCACTACTTTGCAATCTTGATAACTCTTTAGACCTGGTTCTCTGATTGTCCTTAAATTTGATGCCGTATCTTGATGAAGCATTTTTTGTGGACTCTGCAGCTTTTGTCAAAGCTTTCTTTATCTATTATCAACAAGGTGCTCTTGTTGATAACAGCCAAATAGATTATATACTCAAATTTTAACCTCAGCTGCCAGCTAACAGTAGTAAACATTAACTGCTCTATTGTAAGGTAATATTCAGAGGTTATTGTAGTCTGGATATTTGTGTTTCATTCACTTGTTCATTTAGTTTAATCTCTAATTTCATCAGCTTGTCAGTACATGATTGTACTATCTGTCACAGTTTCATTACCAGTCATCATAATAGGAAATCTACACAAACTGTTCAAAGAGTTTGAGACATAATATATCTAATAACACAGCTGACATTTTCCAGCTTCACAGAATGAGCACCGAGATCAACAGATGAACACCAAGCTGCATGTATTTCATCGGACATCAAGAGTAAAACTGTCAGCCGTTGGAAAATAAAGCTTTCACTGGGCTTGATGTCTGCTTTCAGAAGCATGAGGTACACACCTACATGTTTGTATGAAGAAGATGTGTGTGTAGTTTTTCTTAAATCCCACTGATAATAATTTTTCATGGGTTTTTTTCTCCCTCAGATCTTCTGCAGAATTACATCCGTCAATGTCTGCGGATTCTCGTGACCAGATTGTCTCACAACAAGAGAAGGAGTCCAACCATGAGGAACCAGAAACAGTTTGGCCAAATGAGACACAGGAGAAACCAAAGTCTGTTCAGATTAAAGAGGAAGACAAGGAACTGTACATTCATCCAGATGACCGGCAGCTAGAAATGAAGCAAGAGATTGAGACCTCTGTGGAAAATTCTTCAGACGAGGAAACGGACGACAGCGATCAAAGTGGGAATGAGCTCCTCTGTCAGAGTCCGGTTAAGGCTGAGAACCAGGATCCGGAAATCTGCGGTAAAAGTTTGGTGCACCGCTGTGACATCTGCGGGAAAGAGTTCAGGAAAAAAAATCATTTGACCGATCATAAGAGAACTCACACAGGTGAGAAACCCTTCCTGTGTGGGGTCTGCGGCAAACGCTTCGGCCGAAAATACGGACTGAACAGCCACATGAGAACTCACACGGGAGAGAAGTCGTATTCCTGCGACGCCTGCGGTAAAGCCTTCAGCGACAATGGTCAGCTCAACACTCACGTGAGAACTCACACAGGTGAAAGGCCGTACTCGTGCGAATTCTGCAGTAAAAGTTTCAGTCAGAACGGCCATCTGAAGGATCACATGAGAATCCACATCGGAAAGAAGCCGTTCCGGTGCAGGCTCTGCGGCAAAACCTTCATGAGAAAAAACTGTCTGAAGTGTCACATGGTAACGCACACTGGCGAGAAACCCCACAGATGCGAGCTGTGTGGCAAATCGTACGGGGTTCGCGCCAATTTGACGGCTCACATGAAGACGCACACGGGCAACAGGCCTTTCACGTGTCTAACCTGCAAGAGAAATTTCATTACAAAGTCTGCCTTGAATTGCCACATGAGCACCCACTCGGGTGAGAAGCCCTTTTCATGTCCGACCTGCGGGAAGAGTTTCAGAGAGAAAACCTTCATGACGGTCCACATGAAAACGCACACAGAGGAGAAGCCTTTCTTGTGTCCCATGTGTGGGAAAAGATTCAGTCAAAGAAGGTATTTGACCAAACACAAGCGGGGTCACACAGACGACAAGCCGTACACCTGCGAAGTTTGCGCCAAAGGCTTTTGCCAGAGCTGTGATTTGAGGTCTCACATGAGAACTCACACCGGGGAGAAGCCTTTTCCATGCCTCACCTGCGGAAAACGTTTTGGTAAAAAGAGTAATTTAAATATCCACATGAGAACCCACACAGGTGAGAGGCCCTTCCCGTGTCTGACATGTGGAAAATGTTTTCGAGAAAGAACGTCTTTGAACAGACACATGGAAACTCAACACCCCTGAGAAAGAGGTAGTTTGACTCCCTTGTGTCTGTTGAGTCTAGCTTGATATTATTACATTTCAAACCAGGTTTAAAAAGCTTTTTGTTGGTTGACAAACTCTGACTAAAGTGTCCCCAAATATGACTGTCACAAGATATGACTTCACCTTAGTCAAAAAATATCATCAAAATGTTATTGGGTTTTTTTTTTTTGTTCAGTAATTTAATTTAAAAAGGAACTGTATTAATTACATAGATTAACTCAGACAGATTGATCTATTTCAAGAGTTTTTATTGTGTTTTTGATTATCATGGCTGACAGGTAATACAAACCCAAGTTACCTCAGAATTAGAATATTACGTAAGACCAATAAAAAAGATCTTGGAGACAAATCTTGGTTTGCTAAACTGCATAGTGTAAATATTTGATTGTGGCTCCTTTAGCATGGATTATTGTCTGTCATGTTGTGTGGTATGGAGGCAATGATCTTGCGGTTCTGTTGAGGTGTAAATGAAGCCCAAGTTGCTTTAAAAGCTGCTCTCAGTTCAGTAGATGCCCATTACTTTCCTCCTGAAAATATTCTCTATGGCCTTTAGATCGGGCCTGTTCTCGCTAATCAAGCTTGTATTGGCGGTGAAGGCATGTTACCAAGTCCTGAAAAATTAAATCAGCATCTTCGTGAAGCTAGTCTGCTCCCTTTGCTCCTTTTTTTTTCTACTTAACTTAATTCCTGGATACATCATTATGTGACTAGCCAGCTTCTGTAGCATTTATCTTTTGTTTCGTAACCCATACTGTGAAGGCCTGCTGGAAATTTGTAAAGTAAGAAGTCTTTCCCTTTATTGTTTACGTCATAAAAATGTTTAAAAACTGCTTTTTCAATCGGTTTATGTAATATGCTAATGTAAGCCACAAGTGCATCGAAGAATCACAGAAAAGAAAGCTTGAAATATATTAATCTGAGTTTAATGTATCAAGTTTTACTCTTTGAGTTCTTTTACTGAAATAAAGTTCTTGATAATGTTCAAATTTGTTTCAAAATGTGTTGTATTATTTGTTCTCTGCATGCTCTTGCAATATTATGTTTTGCTTTCAAAAAAAGGAGCAGCATATTTTGCAAATACTTTGGATAAAGACAACAGATGGAAAACTTCACTTGTGTGCTGTTTTTTGGGGGGGTTCTTCCAAGCAACACGTGAAGCGAGAGGTCTTTTAAATGAAATTACCAATAATAGACTAAATGATCCCTGTCCTGTAAATCTCATTATATTTTGAGCTACATAAATTGTGCATTTAATGCAGCATTATCCTCAGATTGTGTTGTAATTTACATATTTAGAATCATTTATCATGCAAATTAAAAAAGTACCAACTCAAATAAAACCTAAATCTATTTTTAAAATAATAAAATAACTATAACAATAATAATCTGACACTAAACAGAGACACTAGGGTTTATGAAAAGTCTGAAAATATATATATTTTTTATTTCAGTGGCTAAACTCCATGTTAAATTAGTTTTGAAAGATTAACTATCCACTTTCTTAGTAGGAATAAAGACCTAACAAACAATTGTTCCATTTCTTTTTCCTTCAAAATGGAGAAAAAAATGGAACATCCTATTAAATAATCCTCACTTGAGACAGAGATGACACATGTGTTTATTTACAGGTTATTAAACAAGGCTCCATTATCTTTGTTCTCTTCATACATATATATAAATATATATGAAACACATTATTTCAAGAAAATTATGTTTTATGTCAAAATAACCTTGACTATTACATTATAAATGAAACAGTTTCGATTTTCAGAATCAGCTTCATTCACCAACTCTACATACAAATGAGTAATTTGACTATTATTTATTAAACAAAAGAACAGGAGAAAAAAACTATATTTTTGTCGAAAGTATCTTTTTCTACAAAGTTTTTACAAAAGAGCAAAATAAGGTTGACAAAGTTTCCAAAGATTAAAAATGGACGAAAAGCTCCTCCTTCGGTGCTTTGATATTATCTGCTCATGTTCTGATGGGTTTTTGTTCAGCTCTGCAGCTGGTTTGTGTCACTGTGTCTCGTCTGGCACAGTAATACACAGCAGAGTCTCCAGGCTGCATATTCTGTCCATTCAGAGTCACTGTTTTACTGGAGCCATCCAAACTGATGCTGAACTTGTTCCGAAGTGAATCTTTGTAGTATTTGGTATATCCAATTCGTTCCATTCCAATCCACTCCAGTCCTTTCCCAGCAGCCTGTCTGATCCAGGCTGTGTAGTAGCTGCTCAGATAATAAGAGACCTGACAGGTGATGGTCAGACGTTGACCTGGCTGCACATTCTGAGAGGTTGGCTGGGTCAGCTGTTCACACTTTATACCTGTAGAGAAACACATTAAAAATGTATCATTACAAACAATAAATTCAATTTACTGTCATCATCAAGCTGTAAATGATTCTGTCTCAGTGAGACTCACAGGATGCAGCAGCCAGCAGCAGCAGCAGAGCTACTGAGAACATGTTGGTGCTGAAGATGATCTGATGGGAGTTTCTCCTCCTCTGCAGCTAACAGCATCAGATCAAGACTTTAAAACATGATTATTTTTCATTTGCATAATACCAACCCAGCCCCACCAGAATCACATGATAAAAGGACTTTTTATGTGCTGTGGACCAGCATTAAGAAATGCTGGTCAATTTCTCAATGCTGTTATATGTTTCTAATTGTAATGTCCTTAAATTAGTTTTTACATTGACTAACGTGGAATCGAGAATTTGTGTGTAAAGTTTAAATATGTAAACATTCTGACAAAATTGAGCCATTAAATTACGTATTTTAATATTATGGTTGATTATTTCTTTTGTCAGACTAAAACAATTTGCTGATAAATTCAAAGATTTATTCAGTCATTCAATAATACGTCCCTGAGAAGAATACCTCAATTAAACACTTCTGCCATAATTGCAAAGATTTAAAGCTTTATTTGTTACTTGTTAGAATCAGATAAATCCTTTTACTACTTTCCCTCTATGCTGTCTGACCAGGATTACACAAAAGTAAGTGAACATAATCACAGATTTTTTTGGATAGAAAATATGAGAGCTGTACCCACGTTTTATAGCACATAACTTGAAAGAATAACTTTATGCTCTTATCTGTAGCATCTAATTACAACATAGATAAAGCTACCAGAGAGGTGAGTGTGACAGTCATATCAGAAAAGTGGTGTTAGGGCTCCCCCTGTGGTGGCTTCTTGTTAAAACTATTCATGATTACAGGAGTTTTTGTTCAGTGTTTCTGCTTTTGGTGTCACTGTGACTCCCGAGCGCAATAATAAACAGCAGAATCTGCAGCTGCCAGGCTGTTCATCTGCAGATACACCTGACTTCTGCTGTTCTCTCTGGAGATGGTGAACCGGCCTTTTACTGAGTCAGAGTAGTAGATATAGCTGCTGCCACTGCTGATATAAGTGATCCATTCTAGTCCTTTTCCAGTTGCCTGTCTTATCCAAGCTATGTGAGGATCGCTACTAAACCCAGAATATGTGCAGGTCAGTCTGTGAGAATCTCCAGGCCTTTTAACCACTGACTCAGACTCAGTCAGTGTTTGACCATCAGTATCTGCAGAAAAACAGACAAATTAACATTGTCATGCCACCATCTCATTACATCAGTCATGAATTTAGTTAAAAATATACGTTTTTTTCTTACCACTCCAGTTTAAGGACAAAATAATAAAGGCAAGAGCAACCTTAAATCTAATCATTGTTGAAGCCATGTGTCTCTGTTCATGCTGTGTTTGCCCCTAATTCACTGCTACTCTTAAACTGAGTAACATGTAAAATAGGAGCAGTCAGTATTTGCATTGACTCCTCCTCCTGGCAAAGAAACACAAATAATTTATCAATAAAAGAAAAGATGGACGATTGCTTTAGATTATTTTCAGACATTTTGATATTTGAATTCATTTTCAAATAATTCAGTATAGATATCTGTTTTACCAAAACATATAAAGCTTCACATCAGTTTTCACTAGTTTTACACAAACTGTCATTTCAAGTTATTTTGAAATCATAAATCAACAATGAAATGTTGAAGGAAATACATTGAATATAATATTTATTCATTTGGAACCTTTCTCTGGATGTTTCTCTCTTGCATTGATATATGATGTTCTGTGCAGAACCTTTTCTTTTCTTCTCTTTTTGTAATGTTTCTGTGCTTTTATGAAACACATTTTTTGCTTGTCCCTTATGTTACACATTAGGTGTGATAGAGTTTGAATTCAATTTACTGTCATCATCAAGCTGTAAATGATTCTGTCTCAGTGAGACTCACAGGATGCAGCAGCCAGCAGCAGCAGCAGAGCTACAGAGAACATGTTGGTGCTGAAGATGATCTGATGGGAGTTTCTCCTCCTCTGCAGCTGACAGCATCAGATCAAGACTTTATAACATGATTATTTTCATTTGCATAAAACCAAACCAGCCCAACCAGAATCACATGATAAAAGGACTTTTTATGTACTTTGGATCAGCATCAAGAAACAGCATGATAGAAATTGTCTATCCTTAAACTAATTCTGTTATTTACTCAATTGAAATTGAGAAATTGTGTGTAAAGTTTAAATATATAAAATTTCTGGGTAAATTAAGTTTGTTAGAAATGTAGTTTAACAATATATTTGATTCATTCTTTTGTCATAGTGGAACGATTATATAAAATTCACCTCATAATTTTTTGAATAAGGACTTTTGTGTATGTTTGAATTCATTATATTTTGTATTGTTTTTAATTCTTATCTAAACATTGTCAAAATTCTGCAAACAGACTCAAACATTTACATTCACTGTTAGCAGTCATTCAGTAATAGTTTCTTAAGAAGTACACCTCAATAAAACACTTCCAGCGTAATTTCAAAGATTAAAATCCTTATTTGTTACAAGCAAATAAACCATTTAGTCCTTTTCTCTCATGTTGTCTGACCTGGTTTACAAAACAGTAACTAACAAAGACAAAGATATTTTTCCAGAATTTATGAGCTGCATCCAACTTTTACATTAAATGTGTTACAAAATGACTCCATATTCTTAACTGTAGCATCTAGTCTTAACATAAGTAAAGCTAACAGAGAGGTGAGAGTGACAGTCAACTATGAAAAGTGGTGTTAAGGCTCCCCCTGTGGGGACTTCATGTTGAAAAACGTTCATGATTAGATGAGTTTTTGTTCAGTCTTTCTGCTTTTTGTGTCCTGTGGCCTTCGAGCGCAATAATAAACAGCAGAATCTCAGCTGTCAGGCTGTTCATCTGCAGATACACCTGACTTCTGCTGTTCTCTCTGGAGATGGTGAACTGGCCTTTTACTGAGGATAGTACGTGCCGCTTCTTCACCCCAGATGAAAGCAATCCACTCGAGTCCTTTTCCAACTGCCTGTCTGATCCACACTGTAGCATAATGACCACTAAACCCAGAATATGTGCAGGTCAGTCTGTGTGATTCTCCAGGCCTTTTAACCACTGACTCAGACTCAGTCAGTGTTTGACCATCACTTCCTGCAGAAAACAGATAATTATTGATTGTCTCACCACCATCTATTTTCATCAGTCATAATTCAAATTGTCTTGCCACCATATTTTTATATCATGAATTTGGTAAAAAAAACTTTTTTTCTTACCACTCCAGTTTAAGGACAAGATGATAACAGCAAGGAAACCTCCATTTTAATCATTGTAGAAGCCATGTGTCTCTGTTCATATTGTGTCACCACTAATTCACTGCTGCTCTTAAACTAAACACACATGTAAAAGTGGAGCTGTCAGCATTTGCATTGACTCCTCCTGAAACAGAAACATAAATCATGTGATCAATAAAAGGAGGATTAGTTCAGATTATGTTCAAACACTTTTATATTTGAATTCATTTTTAAATAATTTGATGGATTTCTGTTTCTCCAAAACATATAAACATATGCTTCACAGCTGGTTTCCTTTGTTTCTACAAAAAGATGTCATGTTAAGTTAGTTTTGAAATAAACAAATCAACAATGAAACTTGAATACAAGTTTTTATAAGAAATTACATTTATAGTGATCTTTATGGGTTTGGAACCTTTTTGTGGATTTGTTTCGCTCTTGTATTGTCACATTATGTTCTGTGTAGAACCCTGCATTTTATTAAACACACTTATGCTTATTAAACATTTGTCTCTTTTTTTCTTGTGTTAAACATGAATCAGGTGAGTTAGAGTTGGAGATTAAATAAATGATGGATTCCACATAGATCAGTAAAGGTATTGGTATAAGTTATGAAGAACTATTTTAACAACATTGAGGGTTTTTAAAGTTTAGAAAAAAGGTGCATGTATCCTGTGTATATTTTATGTCATTAGACCTGATTTTGTTGATTAAACCAAATAGGAAGAATATAATATTTGTATTATATCATTGTTGATGCCAAAAAACAAAGATTTTTTTTAGCAAACTGAATGTTTCTGATAAAACTCTTACAGGAAAGTGGAACACATTATTTTTGTAAAATAATATCACCTTGAACTTTACATTATAAATAACAGTTTCATTTTTCTGAATCTGAATCAGCTTCATTCACCAACTCTGTGCAAACAAATAAGGAATTTGACTTTTGTCCAACATATAAAAAGAGGAGACAAAAACCATATTTTTGTCAAAAGTATCTATTTCTACAAAGTTTTTACAAATGAGCAAAATAAAGCTGACAAAGTTTCCAAAGATTAAAAATGAACTAAAAGCTCCTCCTTTGGTTTGATAGAATCTGCTCATTTTCTGAGGGGTTTTTGTTCAGCTCTGCAGCTGGTTTGTGTCACTGTGGCTCTCTGGCACAGTAATACACAGCAGAGTCTCCAGGCTGCATATTCTGTCCATTCAGAGTCACTGTTTTACTGGAAGTGTCTAAATCTATACTGAATTTGTTCCGAAGTGAATCTTTGTAGTCTGAGCCTCCAGTATATTTCCGTCCAATCCACTCCAGTCCTTTCCCTGCAGGTTGTCTGATCCAGTGTGTTGCATAGCCCAGAGAATAAGAGACCTGACAGCTGATGGTCAGACGTTGACCTGGCTGCACTGTCTGAGAGGCTGGTTGTGTCAACTGTTCACACTTTATACCTGTAGAGAAACAAATTAAAAATGTATCATTATCAACAATGAATTCAATTTAATGCCGTCATCAAGCTGTAAATGATTCTGTCTCAGTGAGACTCACAGGATGCAGCAGCCAGCAGCAGCAGAGCTACAGAGAACATGTTGGTGCTGAAGATGATCTGATGGGAGTTTCTCCTCCTCTGCAGCTGACAGCATCAGATCAAGACTTTATAACATGATTCTTTTTCATTTGCATAATACCAACCCAGCCCCACCAGAATCAAATGATAAAAGGACATTTTATGTGCTGTGGATCAGCATTAATAAACAGCATGTTTCTAATTATATTGTCCATAAATTAATTCTGTAATTTACTTATCCATTCTTTTCTCAGAGTGGAACGATCATACAAAAAACACTGATTACTTTTGAAGTAATTACTTGTTCATGTTTGAATTCATTATGTTTTTTTTTTTATTTGCATATCGTCAAAATTCTGCTAACAAACTCAAACATTTATTCAGTTATTCAGAAATAGTTCCCTGAGAAGAATACTTCAATTAAACATTCTGCCATTATTTCAGAGATTAAATGCTTTGGTATCTATTAGAATCAGATAAACCCATTTAGTCCTTTTACCTCATGTTATCTGACCTGATTCACAAAACAGTAAGTAAACAAGGATACAGATTTGTTGCAAGGAAATATAAGAACTGCATCCACGTTTTAGAGCTAATGACTGGAAAAAATGACTCCATGCTCTTATATGTAGCATCTAATTATAGCATAAGTAAAGCTAACAGAGAGGTGAGGGTGAGAGACAACTGTGAAAAGTGGTGTGAAGGCTCCTCCTGTGGTGGCTTCTTGTTAAAACTATTCATGATTACAGGAGTTTTTGTTCAGTGTTTCTGCTTTTGGCCTGTGGCCTTCGAGCGCAATAATAAACAGCAGAATCTGCAGCTGTCAGGCTGTTCATCTGCAGATACACCTGACTTCTGCTGTTCTCTCTGGAGATGGTGAACCGGCCTTTTACTGAGTCAGAATAGTAGATGCTGTTGCCACTGCTGATATAAGCGATCCACTCAAGTCCTTTTCCAGCTGCCTGTCTGATCCAAACTATGGAAGGAGTGATACCAAACCCAGAATATGTGCAGGTCAGTCTGTGAGATTCTCCAGGCCTTTTAACCACTGACTCAGACTCAGTTAGTGTTTGACCATCAGTACCTGCAGAAAAAAAAACAGATAATTATTGATTGTCTCACCACCATCTCTTTTCCTCAATCATGAACCATTTTTTTCTTACCGGTCCAGTTTAAGGACAAAACACAAAAAGCAAACACAACCTCAAATCTAATCATTGTAGAAGCCATGTTACTCTGTTCATACTGTGTTCACCTATAATTCACTGCTGCTATTAAACTAACAGACATGTAAAAGTGGAGCCGTCAGTATTTGCATTGACTCCTCCTCCTAGAATAGAAACACAAATCATCTAATCTATAAAAAAAAATTGTTGTGATTATTTCAAATTATTTCCAAACATTTTAATATTGAAAATAATTTTCAAATAATTTAGCATCAACTTAATTCCACTTTTGTCAAAATATTATAAAGCTTTTAAGCAGGTTTTACTTATTAACATTTTATTATAGGAACAAATGAATCAATAAAATTGGAACAGAAATTGTTATAAATGTTTTATAGCTGCCTTTTTTACAGATTTTTGTAGCGACAATAATTTTTCAGTTTAACCACATGCTGATGGAAATCCTACAACAACAGAAAATTATGAACCATAACATGAGCTGTTTAAATAACTGTGTCACTCCTGTACTGTCATCTACTCTTTTGCACTTTTTTGCAAACTCTCCCTTCGATACAAAAACATATTTATATTTTTTTACTTTGTTTTAAATATTAACAAGGTGAGTTAAAGTTAGAAATCAAGCTAAGAATGGGCACATGACAAGAATTTGGTTAACAGAAAAACATCCATTGTACCTTTCCTCCATATTTATTTAATTTCAATTGGCTTAATTATAATAAGCTTTTAAGTTCAAGGTCTGTTTGTTATATCCTGCTTTTTCAGATAGTGAGAAGACAACTAGCTAATATTAAAATGTTTATTATTCTTTCAACAAACTTTCTTTATTTGTGGAAAAGTTCAGAGACTGAAGGGAATTTATAGTGTTAGGACTTTATTAGTGATATGTTATGTTGTATTTTGTATTGAAACCTCCGTTAATATTGTTTAAAACCAGCTTAATGAAACATTCATTAATGAGATTGATGTAAAAGTTTAATAGACTTTTACATCATCCATAAATGGAAACATCTCAAACCTTTGAATAAATTTCAAATCATTGTTGACTGTGAATTCAGTTCATGTATAGCTCTGTTTTAGTTCAGCTAAGTAAACAAAATAGAATACAAATCACAGAAAAGTCCCCCTGGTGGCTTGAAGTAACTTGTTCAGGAGTTTTTGTTCAGCTCTGCAGCTGGTTTGTGTCACTGTGTCTCGTCTGGCACAGTAATACACAGCAGAGTCTTCAGGCTGCATATTCTGTCCATTCAGAGTCACTGTTTTACTGGAATCCTGTAATGTAATGCTGAACTTGTTTGTCATCATATTATTGTAGTCTGTGGTGTATCCAGTCCGTGCAGCACCGATCCACTCCAGTGTTTTCCCAGCAGCCTGTCGTATCCAAAATGTAGGATAGCTGCCGAGGGAATAGGAGACCTGACAGTTGATGGTCAGACGTTGACCTGGCTGCACAGTCTGAACAGCTGGTTGTGTCAACTGTTCACACTTTACACCTGCAGGAAAAATCGTTGCACATAATTTTGAAAAGAAGATAGCATTCATGTGTTTTCATCATTTCTCCCTCAGTGATACTCACAGGATGCAGCCGCCAGCAGCAGAAAAACCACAAAAAACATTTTGATGTTGAAGATGATATCATGGGAGTTTTTCTTCTTCTGCTTCAGCTGCTGTTTTGAACTGTTTTTATATTTGATGCCTGCAGGTTTACTTTGCAAACAGGGAGGACCATAAATAAACCACCCAATCAGACGTGCAGCTTCAGCTTATGCTGTTAGCATCTATTATTATAGATACAGCCCAACGACTCTAAACGTTAGATAAGATGTGCCAACACTAAAAGCAGAATATTAATTACTGATTCAGGTAGGTAATTTCCAGAAGTAATATTTAATTGCTGTTTTAATCCATATTATCATATTGAAGTAAAAATTTGTTTATCATTAGATACTGAGATAATTAGTCTGTTGATTTGCAGCCTGAACTCTGTGCTCTCAGACTGAATCTTAAAAATATAGACTTACAAAAGAACCTGGAGTGGTCAGGAGTTGCATTTTAGTGCTGACCTCAGATGTTTGTCTTGATAAATGCAGATTTATCATCTGCATTCATTTATGGTGATGTTGTTATTTACCAGATCAGATTGCCAAAAAAATAATAATAATAATAATTAGTTAGGTATCAGGAAAATGTAAATATTCTTCCAAAACTTCAAAAATACATTTTTATGGGTATAATGACATGTTTATTTATTCATTAAACCAAACTGAATTCTAATGCACTAAGTACATTTTTGATAATAAGAAATATATACAATTATTTTTAGTACAATGTCACATTGACAAACTTTCATTTTAAAAACAACTTTGACTTCAGTTCGATTAAATACAAATACAGCAAAAACAAAAATTAAAAGTGTAAATATTATGTAGTGTTTTAATTTAAAAAAAAACAACATAAAAATGGTCTTAGAGCTCCCCCTCTGGTGGTTTGATACAATCTGTTTGATTGGGAGTTTTTGTAGAGCGCTGGAGCCTGTTTGTGTCACTGTGGTCGTATCTGGCACAGTAATACACAGCAGAGTCTCCAGGCTGCATATTCTGTCCATTTAGAGTCACTGTTTTACTGGAAGTGTCTAAATCTATACTGAATTTGCTACTCAGGGAGTCTTTGTAGTATGACTGTCCAGTATATTTCATCCCAATCCACTCCAGTCCTTTCCCAGCAGGCTGTCTGATCCAGGCTGTGTAGTAGCTGCCCAGAGAATAAGAGACCTGACAGCTGATGGTGAGACGTTGACCTGGCTGTACAGTCATAGAGGCTGGCTGGGTCAGCTGCTCACACTTCACACCTGTGGAGAAAAATATTGAATTCAGAATTAGTGCAAAAATATTTAATAACTTAAATTTATTAAAATATTTAACAGTTTAGTGTAATCAAGCTGTAAATGTTTTAGTGAAACTCACAGGATGCTGCAGCCAGCAGTAACAACAGAACTACAGAGAACATGTTGGTGCTGGAAGTGATGGGAGTTTCTCTTCTACTGCTGACAGAATCAGATCAAGTTTATAAAGCAGAGCAGTTCATTTGCATAATGATAAACAGCCACTTAGTGCTTTTTCTTCTTTCTATTCTTTCACCCAGGGTTGAGGGATGCTTGAATTAGCAATACTGACATTAAATTATTTTCACTATTTCAGGACAAACCTAAACAATAGCCTATCCATAACTCTTTGTGAAAACTAATAATTCTGCTCCTGTTCTTCCACTATTTTGAGGAAAATAACAAAGATATATTTCCATCTTTATCTTAAAAGAAATACACATTCAGATTTTGTTTTTTACAGATATGGTAACGAATTGGTATTTAAATGCAGTAATCAGAGGATACAGATTAACTGATCAATTGATCAAGTTATTATTTTGAAATATGGAACAGTCCAAATTGGTAAAACAAATATAAAATCTATCTGACTGGAATGATGTATTACTTATATTATTAATAGAGTTTTCATTTTTCATGTATGATGTATTGGCAGGAAGATTGAAACGCAGAAAGATGATGCTTTAAAATACATATGTAAATATATTTATTGTCTATAATACGTATGGAAGAATGTTTTTTTATTTATTCTCCTTTTTCAGAAGTAGCATGGTTCTGTTCATTTTTAGGTTGTCCAAACAGTCTTTTCAGGAAACTGAACTCAGTTTCATATTATAAATGCCATACAAGGATTAATTTAAACATTAAAAAAACATCCTTTTTACTTCACTTATTAAGATGTTTTTTTCTACTGCAATCCCGTTGTTGAGAGAACAAGGTTTATGTCCAGTGTTGTCATCATTACAAAATATGAAGTCAAAACTTTAAATGAACATATTCAACTACTGCTTGGTTTGTTGCTGAAATAAAGGTAGGATTAAATCTGAATCCATTTTAGGAACATAAACCTATCAAGCAGCAAATATTATAATCTATGTAGAGATTCTGGTAAAAAAAAAAAAAAAATACAACAATTGTTGTGTATTTCTTTTTGACATCATAAAACTTTTAATGTTGTTGATACTTCTTTTAGTTAAATGACAGTTAAAATAAAAAGCTTTATACTATTTATCTTAATAACACATTGAGTTTTAATGTTACAATGTAAAGAAAAGAAATCTTTCACGTAGTTAATTTTTTACCTAAGAAGTTTGGGAAGGGAAAACAGCCAAAGTCAGTGAATTTCTTTTCTGATACAGGCCTAAATAATTCAGTGGTCTGATGGTTCCCCTTCTGGCGAGTTTATATAATGCAACTAAGGAGTTTTTGTTCAGTGATTCTGCTTCCTGTGTCACTGTGACTGTCGAGCGCAGTAATATACAGCAGAATCCTCAGCAGCCAAATGGTTCATCTGCAGATACACCTGATATTTGCTGTTCTCTCTGGAGATGGTGAAGCGGTTGTTCATTGACTGAGAGTGGTAGATGATTTTACTATCCCAGCTAATAGTAGCAACCCACTCCAGTCCTTTTCCAGCTGCCTGTCTGACCCAAGCGTTCCAGTAATGCTGATCAAACCCAGAATATGTGCAGGTCAGTCTGTGTGATTCTCCAGGCCTTTTAACCACTGATTCAGATTCGGTCAGTGTTTGACCATCACTACCTGCAGACAGACTCATAATTAACCACTGCAAACAAAGGATATTGTAATTGTGTTAAAATATCAAAGAAGCTATTTAAAGCAATCCTTTGTTCTTACCTGTCCAGTTATCTGACAGAATGAGAAAAGCAATCATAACTTCAAGTCTGATCATTTTTGTGGCTGTTTCTGCTCAGTCTACTGAGTGTTTATCACTGGTTTACTGCACTTCTTAAACTCTTCAACATGACATGTTGCAACCGCTTTGCATAAACTCCTCCCTCTGTAAGTATTGAAAAAAAATTTAGTTTGATGTCTGAAAACAATTTCAAATATAATTGATGCATGCATTGATAAAATAAATTAATTCAGACTGTAATCTATACAGATTTTAAAACAGGTGAAAATAACAAAATGCTCATGAAATAGTATTTATGTATCACTAAATCACCAACATTTCTTTCAGCTTTGTCCTCCATCAGAGGATGTAGCGGAGAGCTGCAGAAATCAAGAGTGCAAAGGTGCTTTATCAAACTGATAAGCTTATTAATAGTGATCTTAAAACAATGATTACATGATTACTTCACTGAAATTAAGAAAATATTTTTCAGCCTTGCTTTATTTAAAAATATATTATATTCACCAGATGATAAAAAAATATATATATATTTTATTTTATTATTGGTTCCATATATCACTCACTATTGTGCACTTATTCAACATTTTAAAAAACAACACAAGTTTGACAAAAGTGATGAACACCAAGTATAGAACACAAGAAAAACAACAGTAAAAATAAACATCCATATTTAGAGCCATACATAAGTATGAAATTAAAAGTCGCACAAATATTGGTCTTTGACCTCCTCCTCTGGTGACTGACAGTATGAAGCATCTGTTCAGGCACTTTGGGGTTTTTGTTCAGCTCTGCAGCTGGTTTGTGTCACCGTGTCTAGTCTGGCACAGTAATACACAGCAGAGTCTCCAGGCTGCATATTCTGTCCGTTCAGAGTCACTGTTTTACTGGAAGAGTCTAAGTCTATACTGAATTTGTTCTGCAGTGAATCTTTGTAATATGAGCCTCCAGTATATTTCATCCCAATCCACTCCAGTCCTTTCCCAGCAGGCTGTCTGATCCAGGCTGTGTAGTAGCTGCCCAGGTCATAAGAGACCTGACAGCTGATGGTGAGACGCTGACCTGGCTGCAGAGTCACAGAGCCTGGCTGTGTCAACTGTTCACACTTCACACCTGAAGAGGGAAATATTAAAAACAAAATTGTAATATAAATTGTAATCAGCCAGTTTAGATTGATCCTGCTGTAGATGATTCTCTCAGTGAGACTCACAGGATGCAGCAGCCAGCAGCAGCAGCAGAGCTACAGAGAACATGTTGGTGCTGAAGATGATCTGATGGGAGTTTCTCTTCTTCTGCAGCTGACAGTATGAGGTCTTTAATAGTCAAGGGTTAATTTGCATAATGTGACCAGCTACCAGTCTGCTTGTTTTGACCGAACATTGCTGAAATTTTACGTAATTCAAGCAACATTAGAAATATTACTGTATTTCATTTAGTTACAAAATAATTTGAAAATATTCTTCTTGGAAGAATAAGTTATCTCAGTGATTGCATACCCTGAAACTCAGATTAACATGAATCAAATTGACTTTTCGGACTTGAAAATGTTTTTTATTATGTTTCAGCATCGTAATTTGGCACCATGCTTCCAAAATTAGGAAAACAAGAATCCATATTTGGCAGCAAAATGTCTAATGTGTTGATGTTATCTGTCTAAAACTGAAGACCAAAATGGCAAGCTGTTCCTTTATGAAGTGGTTTGAATTCAGTTGTGGTCTCTAAACGTCTCCTACGGTTGTTTATTAATAATGCATGTAATGCATATGTTGAGGTTCTGAGGGGGTTTTGTACAGGCCTGCTGCTTATCCATGACACTGTGTTTGTATCACTATCAAGTACTGTTTTGTTTTGTTTTCTTTGTTTTGTTTTTTTAGGGTTATGAGTTTATGATGTTTCATAGCAATATAAAATGTCACAAATCACAGACATCACTGAGCATCTTGTATTTCATAATATTGAATGTTACACAGCTTCTGTACTTGTAAAGACTTTTAACAGTGTTTTTCTCTGGCACAATTATACACTACAGGACCTCCTGATTTTTGTTAGGTTGTCACAAATAAACCAATAAAGTGATTGTTTTAAAGAGGATTAATTCTGCCACGTCACACCAGCCAATACTGACCCGTTTCAGTGCTTTTCCCTCAGATTGTCTGATCCAGAACAACCAACAACCAGAGAGACCAGATGGTCTGACTGAGGGTCTCTAAGAAAGGATGGTGAGAGATATTCCTGGAAACTCAGAAAAACAGCAACCAGAAATAAGAGTGACTGTGTTCATTATTCTCAGTCTGATTTTCACCATTTTACAACTAACTTCAAAAGCTGGAGATACTATGAAGTAATAATCCATTTCCTGGTGTCTTGCTAAGGAGATGGGATGATTCCCAACTCATTCTGAGCATGGAGGGTAACAAGGTTTCTCAAATGGCCTCTCTATCCCAGGCTGAACCTGCCATTGGTCAGAATGTATTTGTGTGTTTTTAACCCAATGAAGAAAACTTATCAGTGCTGCCACGATTATGACAACATTTCACAGACATTTTAGAGAAACTTTTCTAATTTTTCTTTCTTTCTTTCTTGAACATTTTCTTATGACAAAACAGTTACATCAAATGGCTCCTCCTGCGATGATTTCATGTCAAAACTGTCCATGGACTCAGGAGTCTCTGGACCTTTCGTTTATTTTGAGACACATCTTTGGGCTGTTTGTTGGAGGGAGGAAATGGACAATTAATCTGTTGAGCCACATGTTGAGGGATTCCAAAAAAACAGGAAATCTCAAACCACAACAATTGTTGAGTAATTGTTTTTACATCTATATCTGTGTCACACAGTCGGAGAAGGAAAGCCAAATAGGTTATTTTCTCAGTAAGAATGAAAATGATAAATTCTACTTTTACTCTTATACATATTTTTTTACAAGCATTGTTGTTTTTGTCAACTTATGTGTAAAACATTTGATATAGAACACAAAGAAGCAGAAAAAAATACAGAGCACAGAGAGAACAGAAAAATAAGACTGCAGTGGTCATTGTTTTAATGCTGGAGATCAAAATTGCAAACTAGTTAGCAGGGCAGAAATACACAGTACTTATGAAGAATTAAGTACTCTATGTACTGAGAATGTGTTCAATTTAAAAAAAAAATAATTTCACTAACCATGTTTAATATTTTAATTAATTTATTTATTTTACTTTTTATAAAATTTTGATTTTAAAAAAAGGTGGAAAAAAAGGATGGCTGATCTATATTTTTGTACAATGGCAAGAAAATCTGGCAGGTATACAAGCTGTGTTCTAATGCTTGAGAAACCATAAAATATGCTTGTATTATGATTGTCTTTCTATGTTTGTATTTGTTCTGTTTAATGGACTGGATAATGCACTGGTAAGTGTTGCCTGAATTTAAAATAAGACATGAAAGATACCTGCTAATTTGCATGACATTCTTTAGAGAAAATATGATTAGTCCTGACTTGTTTTGGTTGGTATAACCTAAAAAAAAATTTATGTAACCTATTCAACTCCAAAAAACTAACTGACTTCCAAATGGTGTTATTTTATTTTAGACCATATTTAGGCAACGATATGCTTTCAGTAGTAGGGAATCAAAAGCCAATTTGAACAATTGTATCAATATAAATATAAAAATAAAAGCAAATTCTTATTAAATGTGGTGTAGTGTTAACGTTTTCTATGTTAAACTTATAAAATTTAGATAATTATCTAAATTCATTAGTGGGCACAAGGCGCCCCCTCTGGTTGTTTACTAGTAAAGCATCAGTTCAGGCTAATAGGGGTTTTTGTTCAGCTCTGCTGCTGGTTTGTGTCACTGTGAGGCATCTGGCACAGTAATACACAGCAGAGTCTTCAGGCTGCATATTCTGTCCATTTAGAGTCACTGTGTTGCTGCTGGTGTCTACATCGATACTGAACTTGCTTCTCAGCGAGTCTTTAAAGCGTAAATTTCCACCGCTATCATTCATCCCAATCCACTCCAGTCCTTTCCCAGCAGCCTGTCTGATAAAAGCTGTCCAGTAGCTCAGGTCATAAGAGACCTGACATCTGATGGTCAGACGTTGACCTGGCTGCACCGTCATAGTGGCTGGTTGTGTCAGCTGTTCACATTTAACATCTAAAAAGATTAAAAGATATATCAATTTAACATAGAGCAAATAGTCTAAATAATTCGAACTCTGTTATTCAGTGAGACTCACAGGATGCAGCAGCCAGCAGCAGCAGCAGAGTTACAGAGAACATGTTGATGATGACGGTGATCTGATTGAAGTTTCTCTTCTTCTGAGTTGAAAGCGACAAATCAAGCCTTTAAACCAGAAAGGCCCTGTTTGCATAATAACAGTCCCGCCTCTCAGTATTTTTGACCACATATCGCAAGAAGTTTTAGAACAGTTTTTTCAATCAGCATGCAGAAACAATATTTCTGAATTTACAGAGTTGATGTTAAGTTGTTATTTACTATCTGTTGAACTGGCTCTGATCACACTGCCATGTCTATTATAAGAGATTTTAAAAGACTCCACTTGATTTGAGGCTGTACAGCCACAATAAATGGAATAAATTAAGGCAAAGCAAAAAATTTGAACTATGAGATACAAACCAGCATTATTCTGTTGAATTGAGTGTATTAGGAAATCAAATTTTTTATCGCTCTCTTCTGAATACATAATCTGCTGCTTGAAATAATCCTGCTTTTGAATCTGAGAAAACAAAATGATTGCAGTGAAATACAAACATTTCAGAACATGAATATTTTGCCAGATCGACAATTAGAGAAGAGAATATGAAAATATTTACAAAGTTCTGAATTCCTTTATATTCCTACAAGTTTTGTATAACTTTTTAAATTAAATCTTTAATTGACACTTTAATATATTAACAATTTGAGATGTTTCTCTATCTCAGTTTAAAATTGTAAGTGGTGTATGGGCACCTCCTGTGGCTTTGATAATTACTGCATACTTATTCTCAGACTGTGATGTTTTTGTACAGTTTTGCTGCTTGCTTGTGTCACTGTGGTCTTTCTGGCACAGTAATACACAGCAGAGTCTTCAGGCTGCATATTCTGCCCATTTAATGTCACTGTTTTACTGGAGCCATCTAAGCTGATGCTGAACTTGTTATTTAGTGAATCTTTGAACACTGTGATATGTCCAATGCCAGATCCACCAATCCACTCCAATCCCTTCCCAATGGGCTGTCTGACCCACACTGTCCAGTAGGTGCTGATAGAATAAGAGACTTGACAGCTGATGGTCAGATGTTGACCTGGCTGCACAGTCACAGAGGCTGGTTGTGTCAGCTGTTCACACTTCACACCTGTGGAAAACAGAAAAACATGTTAGAAATCAGAATCGGAACAGAAAATATTGTACTGTTCTGAACACTGATCAATATGCATTTGGTTGCATTGTCTGAGGTTCTGCATCAGTGAGACTCACAGGATGCAGCAGCCAGCAGCAGCAGCAGAGCTACAGAGAACATGGTGGTGTTGATGATGATCTGATGGGAGTTTCTCTTCTTCTACTACTGACAGCATCAGATCTCCTCCTTAAAACTGAACGTTCTCATTTGCATAATTAACAAAAGAGCAAAATAGGCCATTATAATCTTTCAGCCAGCATTAAGGATTTATAAATTAATCAGTTAAAAAAAAAAGTCATATACAATATACAATACAATACAATATACATAAAAATATACAATATATTATGTTTCATAGTGGTGAACATTATCTTATGTACTTGGAATTATTTTAATCAGTTCTTCTCTGTCATATAATTTACAAAAATGTTCTCTAGATTTAATTTACTGTGTCAAAATACAGTTTTATGTTACTGATCTGAGAGCTGTTCATTACTGCAACATTGTCTTCACAGGTCTCACTAAAAGTCAGACAGCTGCAGATGATCAAAAATGCTTGTTTTTTCTCTAACACTAAGAAGATGTAGCCCATATATGGCACAATGTGCACAATGTGCCAATGTCCTGGCATGTTGGATATTTTTAAAGTCCTTACATTAGTTCCCTGTACCTCAGAGAACAGACCTTTAAATGCTTTTGTATTTTAGTTAAACTTGTATGATATGAATCTACCAGACAACTGTCTTGGAGCGCCTCCTCTGATGGTATCATATTATATACATTCAAGGTCTAAGAGTTATAGAGTAATAGGCAACATATTGGTGCTGAAGGTGATCTAATGAGAGTTTATCTTCCACTGACAGCCTCTATGCTTATTCTATGCTTATTGAGACTGCTGTCTCAATAAGCATAGAAACATTTCAAAATTTGTATTTCAAACTGTGTTTTTTCCCCCATTACAATATTATTTCTGGTTCCCTAAGGTGGTGTGTGAATTCCTCAAGTTATTTTGATAGTCAGGTATCCACTGATGGTTTATGGCAATGTTACTCTCTGTCTGACAGAATCAATTTCAGTCTGTTCAGTCAGAGTCACTTTTTTACTGGAAGGTATTGATTCAATGCTGATCTTGTTCTCTAGTGAATATTTATAACCTAATGTGTAAACACATGTGTGATCCTGGCACATTGGATTTTCATTGCATATTTTATGTCGAATTCTGATTTTGCATGATTGTAATTTATGTAAGGTTGGAACAGATTTTATCCTGTGACAAAAAGCTCAGTACCTTGTGGTATAAAATTGAATGATTTTTGAAAGTATTACTGTTGTTGCTACATAGTTTCATCTATAATGTTTGTATTGTTGACTCTCTTCTGCCCCCTTCAGGAAAGTCATAAAATTTTATGTAGTTTTTGTACAGCCTCTGTGCTAACTTTAACCACTGTGGTTCTGCAGCACAGTAATACACAGCAGAGTCCTCTGGCTTCAGGTTGGATAGTGTCAGATGGGTCATGCTGTTACTGCTGTCCTTTCTGACTTCAATACGTCCGCTAAGACCACTGGCATATCTGTTATTGCTGGGATTGTTCGACCCTCTTCCTATCCATTCCAGGCCTTTTCCTGCAGGTTGTCTAATCCAATGCATATAACGGTCGCTAAATGTGAAGCCAGACCCTCTGCAGGACAAACTGAGAGTCTCTCCAGGCTTTTTCTCCACTGAACTGGAAGGAATGGACTCCATCTTCTGACCTGTACAATCTGGTTATATGGAAAGAGAACAATTGCTGAGAATTACAAAGGAAGTGACATTTAGTCAGTAATATGATGTGAAACATAAGAAAGCAGGACCACTTACAGCACAGAGAGAGAACAAGAAGGAGGTTAGTGAGAGTGTTCATCATCTTGAGGCTGCAGACACAAATGACAAACCAGTTAACAGGGCTGAAATACTCAGCAGAGATCAGTGATTTGCGTAAGTATAGAGAAGGAGGGACTTTTGGCCCCTTTCTACCTTTGCTTGACTCAGCTTTACTCAGTTACATGGGATTTTCACCAGTAATGGTTAGCAGGTAACAGTCTTCATTTTAGATCCCACTTTATTGGGTTTTCAAGCAGGCCAAATTGGGTTTAAAGCAACGTCACAAAACTGTTGGTCACAAATTGGCTAGGGGGCGAGTCACTGGTTGTGTCCCACAATCTCCTGTACTTCTGTAGCGTTTTGTTTCGCTGCCTAAAGCCTTTTCTATCTTTCTGCTTTGTTGAGTCAGATAAAAAGCCACCGACTGACCAGAATGCTCAACATAGTTTCTATTTCCAAATTATTTGTTGCATTTTTCCCATGGTACAGATCACACAGACCACTTGATTTGTTACACAGCAACTGTTTGTGAACACCTGCTTGAGTATTTAATATGTTTGCTTGATTTCATGGCAATGTCTGTGCTTTGCTGTGTTGCACTAAATTACATCAAACTCATCAAACTGTATTTTTGTTCTAAATTCACAAAATTGAACCACATTGGAACAGAGGAGAAAATCATATTGGGTTAGGTTTCATGGGTTTCAGCTTTTTCTGTCATTGAGACTTGCAGGATCCAGCAGCCAGAACCAGAGGCAGTGGTACAGAGAACCTGTTGGTGTAGAAAGTCATCTATTTGGAGAGCATCAGATCAACTCCTTAAATCTGGATGTTTTGATTTTCACAAATAAATCAAAGTCTCAGTTTGAACTGGCAGTTTGTGTTACTTGCCATCAGATCTAAGCTAACCGAGTAAGTTTTATAGCAAACTCTCACTTTGCATAAATCTATTTATTGAACAACTGGAAGATAGTTTTTCTTGCAACAAAAACAGCAGTTTTGAAATATTTTGTGATTTTAAATGTAATGATGTTTAAAAGTACTAATTTTAAATACAGTATAGTTTCATCTGCATTTGTCTGTGTATGTTTTTGTCACTGATCCTCTTCTGCCCCCTTCAGGTTGTCATAAAAATGTGTTTCATGTAGTTTTTGTACAGAACCTTTGCTCACTTTAACCACTGTGGTTGTGCAGCACAGTAATACACAGCAGAGTCCTCTGGCTTCAGGTTTGATAATCTCAGATGAGTCATGCTGTTACTGTCTTCTCTGCTGATTTCAATACGACCTCTCACACTGCTGGCATAGGTGTTTCTGCTTTGTGTGGAGTATCCTGATCCTATCCATTCCAGGCCTTTTCCTGCAGGTTGTCTGATCCAGGCCATAGCATAGCGAGTAAATGTGAAGCCAGATCCTCTGCAGGACAAACTGAGACCCTCTCCAGGGTTTTTAACCACTGAACTGGGAGGAATGGACTCCATTCTCTGACCTGTACAACCTGGTTTTATGGAAATAGAAGAACCATTGATGAGAATTACAAAGGTACTGACATTTAGTCAGTAATATGATATGAAACATTTGAAAGCAAAATAACTTACAGCACAGAGAGAGAACAAGAAGAAGGGCAGTGAATGTGTTCATCATCTTGAGGCTGCAGATACAAATGACAAACCAGTTAACAGGACTGAAATACTCTGCAGAGATCAGTGATTTGCGTAAGTATAGAGAAGGAGGGACTTTTGACCCTTTTCTACCTCTCCTTGACTCAGCTCTGCTCAGTTATACGGGATTTTCACCAGTAATGGTTAGCAGGTAACAGTCTTTATTTTAGATCCCACTTTACTGGGTTTTCAAGCAGGCCAAATTGGGTTTAAAGCAACGTCAAAAAACTGTTGGTCACAAATTGGCTAGGGGAGTGAGTCACTGGTCGCGTCCCACAATCTCCTGTACTTCTGCAGCGTTTTGTTTCACCGCTCACAGCACTTTTTTATGTCTCTTCTTCAGTCAGACAAAAATTCAATGACTGACCAGAATGTTCAACATTATTTCTTTTTCCACACTAGTTTTTGTATTTTTGTCATATTAGCAATCACACTATGTTATTTTCTCAGAATCTCGAGTCATCCAACTTTATGACAACCATAACCCCTGGAACTGTTTCTTGATTTTAATGGAAAATCCTTGATCTGACAGCATCAGATCAAATGTATAAAGGTGTATCTCAGATTGTTGAGACAGCACCTTTAAAATCATCTTTAAAATGTTTACATGTAAGTCAATGTGTTCATGAGGACACCAACATCATCATGACAGTTAAGATTTCAGTGTTATGTTGTAATTTTCATAGCATTAAGTATAAAAAATAAAAAATAAATTTCTAATGGAATAATTTCTGTGATATGAGAAATTTTCAAAAATAAGCTTGGTCAGATGTTGACCTGCACAGTAACGGACATCTGCTGTGTCAGCTGTTCACACTTCACACCTGTAGAGTGAAAAACATTGAAACTGAACTGGTAATAAAATTAAACAGTCAGTGTGGTGTGATCATATCTGTTGTTTCTCCCTCAGAGAGACTCACAGGATCCAGCAGCCAGCAGCAGCAGCAGAGCTACAGAGAGCATGTTGGTGTTGAAGATGATCTGATGGGAGTTTCTCTTCTGACAGCATCAGATCAAGTCTTTAAACCAGAGTGCTCGATTTGCATAATGACATCCAGCCACATAGTGCTTTGTCTGCTTACTGTTTAAAATGTCTGTCACTCAGCTATAAGGGATGTCCATCCAATCATTATATCACTTAATCCCTAGTGGGGTCACAAGGGGTTCTGGTGCCTGTCTCCACCAGTCAACAGGCTCGAGGCGGGTTACACCCCAGACAGGTACAAGATGGGACAGTGTGTCTGATGCTACATTGATTCTTAATGCTAGAGTACAATAAAATTTATTTTTCAAGCAGTTCAATATAGAAATTGTCCTGAGAACATCCCAATTTTTAACATGTTCTAAGAACATTTTGACTGTAAGCATCCAAATTATAGAAAATGTCTTCACTGTTACAGAACAAAATGATTTATTGGTCTGATGATGCCACCTGTGGGGGTTTTGTGTCATGCAACTGAGAAGTTTTTGTTCAACGTTTCTGCCTCCTGTGTCACTGTGACACCCGAGCGCAGTAATAAACAGCAGAATCTGCAGCTGTCAGGCTGTTCATCTGCAGATACACCTGACTTCTGCTGTTCTCTCTGGAGATGGTGAATCTTCCTCTCACTGACTGAGAGTAGTAGGTGCTGCCACCATCATTACTGATAGTAGATACCCACTCCAGTCCTTATCCAGCAGCCTGTCTGATCCAAGCATTCCAGTAATTACCACCAAACCCAGAATATGTGCAGGTCAGTCTGTGTGATTCTCCAGGCCTTTTAATCACTGATTCAGACTCAGTCAGTGTTTGACCATCAGTACCTGCAGGCAGGTTCATTATAAACCATGTTAACAAAAGAGCATTGTCATATCATAATGTAATATGTATTCAGCAGGGAGCTATTTAAAGCTACCCTTTGTTCTTACCTGTCCAGTTAACTGATAGGATGAAAAAAAACACCACAACCTGAGGTAAAATCATTCTTCAGGATGTCTGCTTCTGCTCAGTCTACTGACTGTTTCTCCAGGGTTTACCACTGCGACACTCTGTAAAAATATATGGAAGCAGATAGTTTGCATTAACTCCTCCCACTGGAAGTAAGTTGAACTCATGTTGGAATAAATGTTACTTTTATGAATCAATCATTCAACTCATTGTTTTAATGTTCAATGTATTTCTACTACTTTTAAATCATATTGAGAAGCAAAATGCAGAAAAATTGTACCTATCACCTTATGACAACAGGACTGCAGACAAAAAAAATACATTGTAGAAATTCATTCATTTTTCATTTTTTGGGATTTTGAAAATGTTGCATTGTTTTCATCTGTTCTGATCAAAGAAAAATAACAATAATTGATATTAATGAAATTAATACCTGCTCTTTAAGAACTCATATCCTAACATAAAACACAATTTCTTATTGTAATATTGATTTATTTTCTATTTTGTTAGGTTAAACATTGTTTCCTAAGATCAAAACCCTATTAACACTTTTCAGTGGCTGTATTTATGCTGTAACTCTGTCACCTCATAGCCAGTTGCTTGTGAAATTAATCTCACATAAAAAGAAAAATGTATTTGAATTTATTTACAGATTGCAATGTCTCAAATTGCGTAATGTATGTTTTTCTAAAAACATTGTCTGCTGAGTGTAAGAATAACACTTTGTAAGTGTAGTGAAACAAATAAAATTGCACAAAATCGCAAAGAAGCAGTTTAAATATATTTCCTTTAAACTGTTTGAAACAAACATATTTAAATATTTTCAGAATTTTAGTATTATAAATAGTTGAAATTTATAATAGTAAAATTTTGAGTAATATTAGGTGACTTTAGTAAAATGTAAAAAGCTATTATTGACTAAAATTATTTTCATTGTTATGGTTGTTTCTCTCAGCAGGTTTCAAATCTTCAATGGTCAAAGAACTTCTCCTGGCGTGTTTTTCATGTTGAGGCTCTGAAGAGTTTATGTAAAGCTCTGCTGTGTGTTTGTATCACTGTGTGCTGCCGTCCACTCTGGCACAGTAATACACAGCAGAGTCTTCAGGCTGCATATTCTGTCCATTCAGAGTTGCTGTTTTACTGGAAGAGTCTAAGACAATGCTGATCTTGTTCTTCAGTGACTCTTGGTAGAATGTGTTATAAATACTTTTCACACCAATCCACTCCAGTCCTTTCCCGGCAGGCTGTCTGATCCAAGCTGCATAGTATCTGTAGAAAGAATAAGAGACCTGACATGTGATGGTCAAAGGCTGGCCTGATTGCACAGTCAAAGAGACCTGCTGTGTCAGCTGTTTACACTTCACTGTTTACACTTGGATAAAAGACAACTTTAAGCATTTTATGAGAATGTCTTTCCTACCATATGGTGGTTAATCAGGAAGCTGGTTCCTTTTAAATATATTAAGTTAATTGTCTGAAAGCATCTCGTCTGATCAATAGTCGTAGAACAGGTGTTGAGATAGTGAGGGGTTTTTTACAGCTCTGCTGCTTGTTTGTGTCACTGTGGCTGTCTGGCACAGTAATACACAGCAGAATCATCAGGCTGCATATTCTGTCCGTTCAGAGTCACTGAAATGGAGCCATCAAAACTGATGCTGAACTTGTTCCTCAGTGAATCTTTGTAGTATTTGGTACATCCAATGCATTCCATTCCAATCCACTCCAGTCCTTTCCCAGCAGGCTGTCTGATCCAGGCTGTGTAGTAGCTGCCCCGAGAATAAGAGACCTGACAGGTGATGGTCAGACGTTGACCTGGCTGTACAGTCATAGAGGCTGGTTTGTGTCAACTGTTCACACTTCACACCTGTGAAAGGAAACAATTTAAAAGTGTTACCATAAGGGAATCATTGTGGTGTGATTATTGTATCACTCTTTGTAAGACTCACAGGATGCAGCAGCCAGCAGCAGCAGGAGAGTTACAGAGGACATGTTGCTGTTGAAGGTGATCTGATGGGAGTTTCTCTTCTGCAGGATCAGATGAAGCCTTTAAACCAGGGCACCTCATTTACATAAACACCCTGCCAGTACTTTTAGAGAACATCATAAGATCTGTTCATCTTTTTTTCCAAGTATGCAGTAAGATGCATTCATTTGCAAAGTTAACACTCCATTATTTTATGTTTATAAAACCAGCATATTGTGTTTGTTGTTTCTTATCTCTTGATCAACTTTTTTTTAGTTCAGAAGTCATTTTCACAGCTACGACCATTGTTTTTATCATAAAACATTTTGTGAACTATTTTAAACTCTAGTTCCTGTGTGGCTCTTTTCATTGTAAAATATTGATACATTTTATTACCAATGTTATGTTTCTATTATTGATATTTCTATTTTACAGAAACAGTGAAAATTAGTTTATCTTCTGTCAGTTTTGTTGCAATCCAGAAAATATTCTTCACCTTTCATTTTCTACCCATTTTGTGGGATTAAAGGCTTATTCTATGGCTTTTAATCTGAAAAAAAGTTTAGGAGAAAAAAATAGATAATGTAAAGCTTTTTGAGTGGTAAAAATGGCAGAAAACTGCTTCATAAGTCAATCTATTTCCATATCTCTAAATCAATTTGTAGTCTTCTAGTGCCTCTTCTGGTCATTTATGAGTACTGCATGTCTCTAAGCTATGGGTGGTGGGGTTTTTTCTTTCTTTCTTTCAGTTCAGCTCTGAGGCTTGTTCACATTACTCCGGTACTCTGGTTCACTATCACACAGCTGTGATCTCTGCATTCATGTGTGGGAGGCATCACCGCAACTGATACTGAGACTCATCCATTCTCTCTTCAACTCTTTTCCCCTGCACTGTCCAGCAGGTGTTCAGATCATAAGTGTGACTTGACACACGGTGACAGAGGCTGACTCTTGTTACACCTGAAACAATAACTTGTCATGACAGTTTAACATCAAGTCAGCAGCAAAGCTACTGATCTGCATGTAGAAGTAGAGTTTCTTTTTTTCTGCAGCTGAACAAATGGCATCAAGTTTGTAAATCTTGTGTCTTTAATTTGCACAATGGCAAACAAGCCGATAAGTATTTTTGACTTATTCTATTCATTCAGGCAAGCAAAGCCGGCCATGTTTGATCAATATCACTAATTTTAAATCTGTGAGAAGCACAGATTTACATACTAAAGCCTTTTTCTTGACTTTCGTGAATTTGAGTCATTTAGGTTGTTTTTCTCTATACAACATTTAGAGTGTAAAAACCAGGAAGAATCATGTATAAAAGGTGTTTGTTTACTTATTTTGTTTCTCTCTTGTCTGTTTGTATTTTGCCTGCCTCACTTTATACACACATTACCAAACAAGAATAAATCATTGCTTCTAGTTTTAACATATATTAAGATTTTTTATTTAATTTTTTTACTTTTATAATACCTGACAAGAAAAGGCATCATTCTCAGTGTTCAACCCAGCGTTAGCTGTCATCCAGCACCTCCTAAAGGTTTTATTAAAAATAACATGTTTTTGCACTGTCTCTCTCTAATATGTTTTTGATGCCTGTGACTGATTTTAGTTTTGTCTTAATTTCAGAGACTTTTTTTTTTAATTCAGTCCTTATAAACTCTGAAATCTCCTTTTAACTATTTTCTAGGAACAGAAGAAACTTTAACTCTTTGATGGTGTACAAAAAATGTGACAGAAGAAAAACGTATGAAGATAAAACCCAGTCTTTTTCATTAATCTTGTTTCCCACTGGCAAAAATAAAATAAAACTATTAAAATCTGTTTCTAGTTTAAGCAGTAATATAGTATTTTAGCCTGATTCTTGCTGTGTGTGGGTGGTGTGACTACAGGATGTGTTGAGGAGTTATCTGAGCTCAAATGAGGGGTGAAGACAAATACCTAAAAGTTTGATATCTCATATTTTTAATGTTTCATCAAAAAGAAAGTCACAAAATATGAGGTGCTTCCTTCTCTGATTATTTTACGTCAAGATGAAAGTCAGGAAGCAACTTGAACTGAGAGCTACAGCTGACATTCAAATGAAAGGAGTCAAATGAGTATCTGCCGTCTGAAAGGTTTATTTATATTTCTGGTGGTTTTCACACAGTTTCACAGCTGCAGGTGTTTTCTCAGAGGAACACAAAGAAAAAGAGGAATCGGCTCTCTGAAGGGAAACTGAAAACCTACAAGACTTAACTGATAACGGCCGGTCACGCTATAATGGCTTCAAGGGTCGGTATCCTAAAAAACTGATGTCTTCTCTGATCTGGTGAAAAGAAAACCTCAAAAGTTTATGTTTGTATTTACATATTTAATGTTTTCAACATACATAAAAATAAAAAAACTACAAAAGATGCCATAACAGTGATTCTTGCTGTACATTGTCACCTCTAGCTCTAAATAAGGAAAGCATTGTTTAACCGTATATGGAAACTAATGTGACAGATTGTTAAAAGATCATCAATATGCTGTATTTGAATGTAAGCAACATTACAGCACTTTAAGAATGGCAACACTTATAGCTACTGTACAAACATAAAATTACTAATGTGCATTTTTAAGAAAGCAGATAACTGTTAGGTTTTTGAAGAATATATGTTAAAAAGCATAAACAAATATGGAAATGCACAGCTTTGTGATGGTTCATCCATTCAAATGGAAAAGAAAAGATTACTGTGTTTGTTGCACATTCCTCTGCTCTTGTTGCATCTAAAAAAAAGAAAAGAAAAAGCTAATAAAAATGTATGCATCTTGAAAAAAATTTTCTGCAGTTCTGCAACATTAAGAGACATTAAGTTATTTAACATAAACATATATGTATTCTTTTTGTTGCGTCAGCAAACAACAAAAGCCAACAAATTTACCTTGTGCAGGGTGAGCAATAAGCTGTATGACAGACTGAATATGAAGAGGAGTAGGAAAGACGAGACCGTGAACCAAAGGCTGATGTATTCATCTTCATCACCACCTTTTTCTTTGCCACACAGAGCAAATGTCAGACTGGGGAAATCTGATAAAAACACAACAGGAGCCGATTAAATAAATTATAGCTGTAGAATTTTATGTACTAGTTCTGACAGTGATGTCTGAAGGTAAGATTTTGCGGCAGATTTAGCGTTAGGGTATCAAAGTGAAGGAGGCTGACACATATGTAGATTTTTCAGAAGTAAAAAAAATTAAAAATGTGTCATTGTTGGTTGTGTCTATTATTATGCGTCTCTTTTCTATCACATCAGTTATTTGATATTTTCAATTTGAATTGATAAGGAAAATATTTTTTTTAAAACACACTGAAACTTATGACTGTAATATGACAAAATAAACGTTTACAGGGTTTGAACATTTTTCCAAGGCACTAATGTATGCAATAAAAAAAGATATTTCTGAGTGCAAAAAAACATGTATAGTTTGGCACTGCTGTCTGGCAACAAGAAGGCCATGAACTGGGATATTTCTGTATGGAGTCTGCATGTTCATCCTGTGCATGTGCTGTTCTCTCCATATACTCTGACTTCCTCCCAAAAACCAAAAACATGTCTGGAAGTTTAAGTGATTTCTGTGAGTGCATGGTCTTTTGCTTTTGCTTGCACAGGAGTGACTTGAACCTCATTTCTTTTTCATTAGATCCAAATGAAGAAAAAACAAACTGACAATAGGTTGGCTGAAAGTTTTCTAAGCTAGTTTTCATTGTAAAAAAAAATATTGATTTTATAAACTTTCCCAATATTTTAAAACAAAGGAGAAAATATGATTTATTTGAATAATAAATATTATTTATTTTCTCCTTTGTTATTTATTCACAAGCATACAACAAAGAATTTCCATGCAACATTTATTTAAAACATTTGACAGCTGGACACTTTGACAGAGACAAGTCATTGTTGAAAACTGAACAGAATGACAAAAAAAACAAACAAACAAAATGACTTGAGAATATTCACAAAAGACATACTCTCACAAGGACAGAACAACATATTTGCAAAAAACAAAATGTCACGTTTAAAAGCTGAATCTAATCATCACACTCAGTAGCGTTACCCATGGCCTGAGACACTCCACTGGGTTTCATGCGACTCCCACGGCCGGCAGGCCACACGTTGCAGTAGAAGACGTGGCCTCCGCTCCACTTCTCCTTGGTGGTGGTGTAAACACTTACAACTGAGTAGCCATTTTGGGTCTTTCTTGGTGGAAAGTCGATGCCGTCATAATACACTGAGCTACTTTGTCCGACATCTTCAGTCCAGGCAATGTAGTAATCCTGAAGCACATCACTGGAAACCAAACACACCAGAGTGACCTGAGCTGATGCTTCTTGGCCAATATCCTGATCTGAAAGCATGTGGACCGTTACTTTTGGCTCTGTGCCATCTGGAAGAAATAAAAACAATTGTTTACTGATCAAATTCAAAGCATAAATCCTTTTATTAAGACAGAAGACAACCCCTTGAAAAATTAAAAAAATTTCTTTATGTTAACTCATACCATAAACACAAGCCTCAGTGAAATTTACTGGTATTTTATTTGAGAGCCCAACAGAAAGTTCAGCATGACTTTAAAGTGAATGCAAAGAGAAAACATGACTTTCAATATTTTTCACCAATATAAATCTAAGAAGTGTGCCGTGTGCATGTATTCAAAAGCCCATGGTAACTCTGGAGGAGCTTCACAGTGAGGCTCTATGAAACTATGAGATGAACCCCAAAATGTCAAAAAAAATGAAGAGGCAGAGATATTTCTACAATGCATGACATATGCAGGACATCTAAACTCTATATCCCCTCTGTTATTGGCTCTATTTATAAATAACATACCTCCATTGTTGACAGTCAGGTCCTGAAAAACTGGTCCCTCGTCTTCTGCTGCAGCAGAACATCTCACTTTGCTCACTGTCCTCCAGTCGGAGGAATTAAAAGTGATGATGCTGTGTTTGCTGTACTGACTGCCTTCAAACATTGTTGCTTCCTTATTCTTACTTCTCATATGTTCTCCATTAATCTCCCAGGTGATTTCAGTCCCTGACACAATGTCATTGTCCTGTCCGGAGACGACACACTCTAGCTCTGCCTGGTTGTTACTGAATATTGTTTTAGGACTCACAGAGTTCAGTGTTACTGTGATAGGAGCTGCAAAACAGAAATAAATGATTTAAATACAAATCCCATCAAAGATTTGATCTGCTCACAAGATTAAAAACTGTCCATATCTGAGACACACTTTACCTTTTGAAGCTTTCTTTGTGTACGTTTTTCCAAGGTGAGTCACTTCACATGTGTAAACAGCTTCACTGTCCCAGTCAGAGCTTTTCAACTTTAGGACGCTGGCAGCTGAACACGAGTCTCCGAATTTTTTGGGAAGCCATTCATTGTGTCCAGACACCTCATTGCCATTCTTTTTCCATTTGACTGACAGATTTTCAGAAGACAAATCCTCAATGACGCACACTAGTGTCTGACCGTCTCCAGTTGTCACCGAGAGCAAAGTCAGTTTTGGAGAACAGGAGGCCCCTGAGTGAGCGAGAAAAATTGTCAGTGTGACTTCGATCTGTTTATATGGCATAAAATATATTATCAAGAAAAAGACAGGGAAAAATCAAGATCCAATCGAATTTAAAATACTAAAACTAATTACAAACTACTTACTTTTTGCATTCACAGTCTCGGTGCCACCAGGATGAGTCACTGTACATTGATAAGACTTTAGATTTGCTTCAGATCTGGACATTTGAACCAAACTGACTTCTGTAAATCTGTTGTTTGTTTCTACTGCAAGATAACGTACAGAATCCACTGGTGCTCCACTCGCATCGCTCCACTCAAAAGAAAGACTCTGTGGGTAGAATTGAAGAGCCTGGCAGCTGAGCATGACTTTATCTGCAGATGCAGGACTGAACCAAACCATTGGAACCAGAACCGGAGGTACAGGTGGTTCTGTAAAGAAAAAAGGTTTTTTTTTGTTTTTTGTTTTTTTTTTAAATTAGGAAAGACCTAACGCAATTAATTGAACGATAATCATTAAGAAATGTTTACTCTTTGATTCCCCGAGCCAAATTCTAATATTAACAACTAATAAATATTTAAAATTGTCCTTAAATTGTCCTTTGATAAATTCATTGGATAACAAAGTAAAACAAGAACATACTCTAAAATCTACTTACATGAAAATGCAGCTTACCTGAAGTCACTGTGACCTTTGTCCCTTCACCCCAGTAATCTAAGGCATCACAGTGCTGCCTTCTCATTCACTGTCTGAACAAAAACATCAAGCACATTAAAGCATGTTACATGTTAAAATGCGGGTAAAGAAAATACAAAGCAGATATATTCTAACATCAGCACAATATCCTGATGTAAGTCTCTGAATTTGTGTAATTCAATTAAACTTCAACGCTTTTAATTATGTGCAGGAGCGACAGAGAGAGAAACTTTTACATCTACACGCAAACACACTTTTAATAATTTTATGAGCTAAAAATATGTTGTTTTCTTTTTTCCTTCAACACATATACTAAGCAGCAACAAGTTAATCTTTAATTTTATTTTTGGAAACAAATATGATTTCTTACTTTGACTTCTTTCTTTTGGTAGCTTTTTGTATTGCTATATTTCTTAGTGGCATAGCCTCCTGCCCACCACAGTGATAAACCACCATACAAAAACCACCGGGTCAGATCTACATTAAACTATGCAGAATCTTGTTCGAGAATGATAGAGATTTTTATGCTTTTGTGGAGAGAGAAAACTAGCAGTTTTGAGGTATGTCCCACAGGAAATATTAACACAGCTGCATGAATATTTTCCTGCCAGAAGAACCACTACTCTCAGTCTATTGTCAAATTAAATTATTTTTTTAATGTATTTATTTCTAGGTAGTGAAATCTAACCCATGTCTGGAGTAAGTAAAAACTTTATTCAGTTCAATATTTTTATTAGAATAATCCAAGGAAGGAAACTAAGGATTAGGGTTGGGTACAGTGCTGTGTAGAAATGAAAAAGGAAATTATCAAGTCATCCATCTGGTGATGCACCTGTTGCACTCTGTCATCCCTGAAAGTCAGAAAACAACTCCAGATGTGCAAAGAGAAAGAGATTAAGTTCATTGTGGATTCTGACAATATAACACAGATGCCAAAATTTTAACTGTGAAGGGAATGTAACTAAATTATGATCACTAGTTGTTTTTTTTATATGACAGTCACATTTGTTTTTCAGACATTTTCACTCATTCACAAACAATATTAATTAGATCTTTGTCTTTATGTTGAGCTGATTCTTTTTATACACTACAGTAAATATGAATGAGAATATGCCATAGCTATGATTTCACCACTCATTTTTTTCTGGGAGGTTTTTACACTGGTGGTGTGGCGTTTTGAGTCACTGTGCTGTATGAGCACAGAAGTACAGGGCAGAGTCGTCCTCTGTCAGACTCCTGATGCTGAGGTGTGCAGAGCTGCTGGACGCATCATATGAGAGAGTAAAGCGACTTTCAAAGGATGAAGAATATTCTTGCCATGACAGTGACTTTCTTCCGATCCACTCAAGAGTTCTCCCTGTCTTTTGTCGTGTCCAGTGAACAAACTCGTTAGCTATGTTAAATCCATTCACAGAGCAGGATATCTTCGCTGCTTCTCCGGGCTTTTTTACCAAAAAGGGCAACTGCTTCAGTTTGATCTGACCCAAGACTCCTGAAAGTAAGGAGAAGATGTTGGACAAAAGACTAAAATTACAGAAATACACAATTACCAAAGAGTATCGAGCACATAAAAGGCCTGTGCTTCTCACCATGAATGGCGACTGCAACTAACAGAGCCCTGATTTCTAGATTTGTCATTCTGAGTTAATGCAAGCCCACTTGTTTCTGGTTAGCTCCAGTCAAAAATAAACCAGCTTCTTATTGTTTTGCCACAGCAGCTTGCTGGTTTAAAAGCCCTTCCCCTACTGCTTTAAATAAGGGAAGTGCTTCTAAACTATTTACATTCACATACAGTTTACAAAAGGAAGAACATAAATGGTATTTTTGAAAAGCAGCTTCACACAAACAAGGGTTCATTTTTTTTATTTTTCATGTTAAATAATTTTCCTCCATTGATGATTAATTGTCCTTTTTACTAACCACCTTGACTTAAAAATAAAATAAAATCTTGGTATTTTGTTTTAAAAAATAAAATATTCATATCTGCTTTATAAAGACAATAAGAAGTTGACTTTATAGCTATTGATATACAAAAACTAGTCCTCCAGCTCTTGACAGGACCAAAATACATGAATGTAAACTTCATTAGATAAAGTTCTTAACTCCCTTGAGAGTTTTTCTGCTTTGTAGGCATAAAGTTTTTTGGAAACAAGCATGCTGAAGGAGTGTGAAAACTGTGCAGAAAGAGAGTCGAGAGGTGAGGATGTATGAGATTTATGAATGAATATTGGGAGATTTCTGTCCCAGTTCTTTCTGTTGTACAATATTTAATTAAATCAGGATTACTTTGGAGTCAAATAACAATACTAAAGCAACTGAGAAAATAATTGACAGTAGTAATATGTTGAATCTCTCTGCCACATTTGACACTTTTCATCCCAACGTTTAGACTGGTAAGCTTTGCTCCATTTGTTTAATCATCTGTCTTCTTGCAATTATTGTGCATTTCAGACCATTTATTTGTCTGTTTTATTTCTCTACTACACCTACGATTAAATTATTCACCTGTAAGAAATTAGACATTTAAATCACTCTACAGATGCTTTTCACTAAAATAAAGTCACTAATTTGGTAGATATTTTTTTTTCTTTTTTGTGATGGCTGGATTAAAAAAAACTGCAATGTTAGTTTTTATCAAAGTTCTGCACAGATAATTAAATGAATGTGATTGTCTTTGTTGTGTATTAGTTCTGCTATGTCTTATTTCTTCATAGTCTGGCTTTCTCGCACCGTCCAAAAGCATGACTGAATTGCCCTTGTGCATGGCTGGCAATTTAAAGAAGCCAGTTCTTCCTGTCCAATGACTGCTGCAGAGAAACACCAGCCTCCAACCACTCACCACTGACCATGTGAAGCTATGGTCCCCATTAAGCCTATACTGTCTCTCCGGACAAAAGCTGAAAAGATAATCCACACGAGACGTCACCGCACATCGCTGCAGCGTTCACCACTGCTGGATTCATACACAGAGAGATCCTCGTCCTCAAGAAAAGCACCCAAAGATATAGATTGGTGGAATGTAAGGCAGGAAATTTTGTTTCCTTTATTTTTCTAGTGAGCTGCAGCCATCAGAAGAGGATTTAGACTCAGCATCTCATCATGAGCATTAAGCAGCCCTGCATCTTTCTCAGAGGAGGAGCAAAGAGGAGACAAGTAAGTCAGGAGAGTTTGATGATTTAACAGTAAAGGGTGCAGCATATGCGTTTTGGTTTAGTATCTTGACCAGTCCAAATGATTTCAGCAAATTCAAATTCAATCCATGGCTAATCTTTGTGTTCGCATCTTTGTTATTGTAGCCAGCCTTTTTTTTGTGATCTTTGATTTACTGTACAAAGGTCAAATAACTGTAATGCAGTTTGAGAAGAGCAAACTTTCTGCAAGTTATGAGGAGTTATGAGTACTCAACTTCTTTCTGCTCAAACACTGAATTCACTTAAAATCATGTCATTGGATTTTGTAGTTTTATTGCAGTCGTCACTCATGTCCAGATTTTGACCAAAGTTAAGAATATTGAAGAAAGTCTGAGCTGAAGAAATACAAAATCCTGATTAAATTTATTACATAAATAAAGGATAAGAGATCATTTTATACAATGATTTAACAACCAACAAAATTCCAGATATTTCATGTGTAATTTTGTACATTTTTTATGAAACTACCAAAAGATAACTATAAAATTTTAGTTTTATTGACAGATTGTTATTTTCTTGTTAGCATATATTTCTGATTATGTATACATTTCCAATAATATGTTTCATAAATGAAGCTTATGTATTTTGCAAACGGACACAATGTGCAGCATTGAACAAAATATAATTTTATTGTGTAACTGTGTGTATCACTTAATCTGAGGTAAATGTTTGTCTTTGAAACAAAGTTTTTGTTGCTTCACAGACAAGAAATCTCACTCGGGACGAGCTGGAAGGTAATGTCAAGACGGCTGTGTTTAACCACTGAGTTGACGAAGCTTTTAAGTTTTGACAATTCTCTGTTTTCTGTGTTTGTGTGATCTTTAGAGCTACGTGAAGCTTTTATAGAGTTTGACAAAGATAAGGATGGTTTCATCACCTGCAAAGACTTGGGGAACCTGATGAGAACCATGGGCTACATGCCAACTGAGATGGAGCTGATTGAACTGAGTCAAAACATTAACATGAACTGTGAGTAAGCTGTGTATTAAAGTCATTAAAACAACATAGGTTAATCCCAGAGCAAATATAAGAAGTGACGTTACTTTCTCTTATCTGTAGATAATTAAAGATAATGTATGCAAAAGCCATTTTTCTAAAAGGAATGCCACAATCAGTCAGTGCATCTTTTTTAAGTTTTCCTGAAATACTCAAGAAAAACTAAGTAATTCACCTTTTTTTAATAATTTAAATGCAAAACTCTGTTGACAGCATTTGCACTGGGCTGTTTTCTAAACCTATCAAGTATAAATGATAACTCACTGTGAAGCAAAATAAACCGAATGTTTTTGTCATTTTACTGTCTTGTTGGCTTAGTGGGGGGACGAGTAGACTTTCAAGATTTTGTGGAACTGATGACTCCCAAGCTTCTTGATGAAACGGCCGGGATGATCGGGTTGAAAGAACTCAGGGATGCTTTCAGGGAGGTGAGCTCAACATTTAGAACATTTTATTTATATCTATGTGCAATATGATATTAAATGTACTTATTAAAAATGTAGAAAAATTGGTTCTTTTTGTGTAGTTTGACATAGATGGGGACGGATCCATCACCTCCGAAGAGCTGAAATTCGCTATGATAAAGCTGTTAGGCGAGCAGACGAGTGAGAAGGAAATAGGAGAGGTGGTCAAAGAAGTCGACGACAATGGAGATGGAAAAGTTGACTTTGAGGGTAAGAAAGAAGAAGACATAATCACAGTGAAATATCAGCATTATGTAACCATCTGTACTCAGATGTGAAGTCAGAGGATTGCGTTTTGAAATTGCATAATTAATGTGGTTCAGAATGCGGCAATGTTATATAAAAGAGGATTATAATTAATTTCTTTCTAATAATACATTGTAATCTGCCGGCTTCCTGCTGGTAGAAAACTTTTATTTCCCCCAAACTGGTCTCTGGTCATTTCTGATTTTCTTAATCTGACTCCAGTTTATTGAAAAAGGGCTTGGATTTATTAGTTGGAGTAATTATGGTGCAAAATAACTTGACTTTTGTTTTAATGAAGGAAATCTATATTAATCTAACTGAATTGATTTAAGGTCTGTGAAGATGAATTAATTTAACTTAAGTTGACTAGATTTTTTTAATGTGATTTGATCTGATTGGATTTGAGTTTTAATTAACTTTAGGGGAAGTGAAGTGACTTGAACTCAAGTTTAGTTGAGTTGAATTGAGTTGTCTTGACTTGACCTTTTTGATTTGATGAGTTGACATGAATTGTGTTAAATAAACTTTGACTGACCTTTAAATTTCTTGTTAGCTTTTGCTGTGGGAAACTTTATTGGATTGAATGAAATAAATTTTAATTTCATTATTTGAGTTAAATTGAAATGAGATGGTTTTCCTTCAGTTTACTGATTTAAACTGACTTGAGCTGAGTTTACTAGACTTGACTTGACTTGATTTGATTTGATTTTAATTAATTTGATTTGATTTGATTTGAGTTCAGATGTCTTGATTAAGGCGAACTGAGTTCAGTAAATTTTTTCAATTTTATTTTTGTTGAGATTTTCTGTCCACTTTGAAGACCGACAGTCTGACTAATTAGCTTCCTTGTTGCTGGTGGTATATTTGTTGTATTACAGTATAAATTATAATCTGAATCATTCCTAATTCCCGTTTTTCTCATTAAAGAAGTTGTTGTGGGGCACCACAACAACAACAGTTATTCATTTATGTTTTCTGTTTCGATGAATTAGCTGAACAATCTGCTGTTTATTTTCCCTCCAGAGTTTGTGAAAATGATGTCAAAGAAGTGAGGGCAACAAAATGAAGACAGAAGAGGATGAAAGTTGTTTTAATCTTCATCTGACAAACTCTTATTTTTGTAAATAATCTACATTTCTAGTTACATTAATAGTATCTTCATTTAATTTATTACAAAAGAAGTTGTTGAAAAATGATGGCCAAACTTTTCAGCAGTAGTTCTTAATTTAAAAAAGAAATAAACATTTTTGATGTATCATGTCACTGTTTTCTGTTACATTTGTTATATTTTTACCTTTTCTTATCCAGAACATTTTCATTGAGTTACCAGTTCGTGTCATTTGTTAAAAAAAATGTTCAACTATCTAAGAAAAAAATAAAGGACTTTGAATTGAACCCTGTGCTGTAAAAGTAAAATAAAGCAAGTTGCTTGAGTCTTAAATAATTACATAAAAGGGGGATTAAGCTAATGCACAAGCACTTTACTAACTTGAAAAATTTTTGACAAGATGTGATAGGAAAATATTTTCATATGAAAACCCTTTTACATTCAGTTTTTCAACAATTAATATGTTGCTGGTGATTCATGTGGATGGCGAGATGTATCTTTTTTTTTTTTTTGACATTTTTCTTCCACTTTCTTTTAGAGATAAAGCTCATGTGAATGACCCAATATTTACATAATTATATTATGTATTGAAAACAGAATGATTATTATATTTGCTTCTAACAGTTTTAGTAGTGAGACAATCCAAGAGGTTGATTAAATGATTATGATATCAAGCATATATTTTCTCATACTTGTTGAACAGAACAACTGTGCGGCGCTGTCAGTGTGTCTGTCTTATGCAGTGGCAGCTGGAAACGATTGTGGTCGACGGAAGTACTTCTGTCATGATGGTCTGCAGCTTCTTTCGCTTCATTGATTATATCCGCGGGGAACTGCAGCTGGTTTAATGGGAAGGAGCCTCCCAAAGACAAAAGCTATCTCTGCCTCCTCTGCATGAACCTTGCATTAGCTCTGCAGTTCTTTGTCTCAGTGGTGACACCTGGAGGACAATCTGAGCAGCAAACTGCCTCCTGTCTGCTTTTTACCCCCAAACTTTAACTTTCAAGGATTTTCATGGTATTTCAGGCGAGGAAATCCAAATAGGCACCTTCTAGTTATTCATTTATGAAATATTTTACTTTCAGCTTTTACAGTATTGCCACTGATGGAAGTAAATGTCTGTAAGTTTAATTTTAAAATTGCTGAAATTATTGATTTTTTTTTTGTGTGCTTTACAAAGATTTTTTTTTAATCATTCTTCTTTATTTTATATAGATGTTGAAATAGTGGCCTTTTCACTATCTTGTAATTGTCAAAATTTTTTAAATTAGAAATAAAGTGGATTCCTTCCCCCCTCATAACTGTCTACAAATTCTGTTTTGCAGATAAAGTTTTACTGTTGTGGTACTGAAGGCCTTTTTCAGTCTTTCAATCCACTCAACACTTCGTCTTCAAACCATTTTCATATAAAAACATGTCTAGGTGCATGAATCACAATCAAAACAAGCACATAAAATACAAAGACATTCCAAAAATGGTGTAACACTGCAAATAAAAAGCTTTTGCATGTCTATATATTTTTGTTTGGAAATCTGATTGTCATATTTAGATATTCACAGACATGCAACTGATTACTGAGTCCTTTGTATCCTCTAATACTTACATGTACATTTGCTGTTAAGCATTAAAATAAATAAAACACAAGCTTACACCCACCACATTAATCCAATCTGAACAAGTATGACTGGCCTGATATTATGCTTAAATATTATGCTTAAATATCAGACTGATAGTGAGTACAGTGGCTGTTTTTTCTTCCCAACCACTTTACTCATTCTGCAGATTTTAACCAATGCAACTGCATAACAGAGGAACTATTTAACAGTGGGAATCAGATCTGTTTGTTAAATAAATAACAGATAGTTAGATTTAAAGATACATGAATGCAGCCAGTGGCCTTTAAACATCTCTTCATAAAATCTGTCAGAAAAGGTGATATTTTCTGTCCTACAATCTCCATTTAACTGTCAGTGAGTCACTCATTATATATTTTTTTAATTCATTTTTCCAAACTTTACATAGTACATCTCTTATCCTGCATAGAACAGAAACATATGAGTTATAGATCATGAAGCAACATACATACGACCACATGTCAACAATCTCGGGACTAATCTGTCTCTCTGGGGTGGGATTATTTCCAGATCTGTAATCCTCAACATGGGACCCTCAGAGGAACAGATGGCAGATAAGATAAAAACCACCACACTAATTCTCATTTACTGTCTACAAAAAGAGAACGAAGGAAAGAATGACTGATGCATTGAGGAGGTAGGAATGTTCAATGTGCTGTTTGCAATTAAAATATATATTTTACATGGCTGTGTAGATTTAGCTGATTTATCACCGGCATGATACAATTGAGATTTTATTTTAAACATTAAAAAAACTGCAATTAAATACATAAAAAAGTCTTGTGCAGTTTGTCTATGTATTAAGCTATTATTACCAATTCCTTTGGTTTGTCAAAGAGTTAATCTTATTTCTATTTTTTAATCCATCCATGTCCTAATCCTGTCTAGGGTCATGGGTCATGGGGCGCTCACTCCTATCCACTGATCAGTGGACAAGACAGACCTTGGACAGGTCAGCAGGCAGTCACTCGGCCAACATAAAGAGACACAAGACAGACATGCACACCCACACACACACACACACACACTTCTCACAGTAACTTCAGCATTATCAATTCAGTTGGATTTTGAGCAACGTCTTCTTCCTCTCTGAATCAGCCCATGCTTGTTTAAGCATGGATTGTAGCGCTGTTGCCCGCTTCAAGAAGCCTCTTTACAAAGAGTTTCACCTTTGTTCTGAAGTTGGTACCACCATTATACATAAATATGTATTTTTGTTTACCTCAAAATACATTTGAGGGAAACAAATGTGTGTAACAAGTAACAAGTAACAAAACAGTAACAAGCGTGTTTGAGTTTTTGGCTTTTTTTGACATCTACAAATGTGTCTCCATTAAAGTTTTCCATGTTGTTTCAAGGCTCAATAATCTTAGTATATGTAAACTTCAGCCTTCATTTGTAATTATTTTGGCATTTAGAAAATAGAAAGTGAAATAAGTATCCTAGCTGACATGAAATATGTAACCTCATTTAAAGTGAGAGTAAACATGAGATTTCAGTTGCATTTTCTAAACATTTTCATCACATTTAAATTCAGAGAAAATTCAGATTTACTCTAACTCAAGCAAAAGACACAATTGACAATAACTCTCAGTAATACTCTTTTTTTTCTCTTTTACTGTACATAAAATATGTAACAACAAACAAACTCGCAAATCAAAAATATAATAACTTTGTGACCAGAAACATTCCAGCATACAAACAGCTTTGGAAAGAAAAAACACAGTATATTTGGTTACATTTTGATTGGAAATATCTTAGGAGAGAAAATACATTTAAATTTAAATTTCTGTCATTTTTACTGAAGTATTCACAGTTTTTTTGGTTGAATCACCGGTAGACACACCATTTCAAGAAAGTTTCTAAAAATCCATGCACATGCAACAACAGCTCAGATAAGGCCAGTAACAATAACAATTCTGAGGCTTTGCATGCATGCATTAGCATAGTAAACAGATTTAAGATGTTAAAATTTACATCAGTTAACCCCTCCGTTGCTGTTTGTGCTTCGAAGTGCTGTCTGCTTGTATTTCTATATCAGAATGCCATGCAGGTAGCATAACGGTGAAATTGTTTGAATGATTACAAATGAGGGCCAAACATCCAACACTGCTTGAATGTTTGGCTAATGGCTTGTCTAATTCTTAAGGGAAGATTCACACAGTGATTCTCTGACTGGAATGAGACACGTGAACCGTGGGCTAAGTTAAGGCATCTCTGCACAGTGCTCACGGTGAAGTGCAGGAGCAAAACTCAGAGGTCAGGGGTGAACATGTAGTCCAAAGCTTGTCTCTCTGCTGCAGCCACATTTGGATGCCACAGGTCTACACTCAAAATGACCCTGGGTCCAGATTCTGGAGGACCTTTAAAGAAGACACAAAAAGCCCAGCTTTTAGATGGAGATATGTTTTTAAACTACACAAGTTTTGCTTTTGCTGCGTGTGGATTTCCCACCCTTGTGAGAGATGGTGTGAAGGAACGAATCATCAAGAAGAAGGCAGTGCCCCTCTGACCAACACTGAGGCTCCCCTCCCACCACCAGCTCACACGAAGGGGGGGTCTGCAAACCTGTGAAAGTGAGTTTTGCTCAGCTTCCGATATGACAATACACAGAAATGTCCCATCTGGTTTTAAAACTGAGAGGATTATTGTCAGATGGGCCAAAGTACAAGATGCACAACACAGAAATTAACCTCAACCTCTTGCTAATGCATTTCTAACCATTTACATAACTTTGAGTACAGTCCTCTCACATTGTTATGCTTACATGAGATGATTGGTTTTGTAACAAAGTGCATGTGAAGTTCATGCAATTATCAGACTCAGAATTAGACTTGAAGGAGTAACTCCATCGAGAAAGCCAGAACAATAAAACAGCAGTGCAAGGAAGTAAATCCTAACATTATGGAAGGAAAAAAACAAAATCATTTCATGACTGCTGAATTATTGTTTTTACTTAAAAAGTAGATATCGTTCACATACCTAGGTGACAGCGAAGGCGTGTGTTTGTCGGTCCATAGGAGCTCCCCAGTATTGCCCCCGGGCCCAGCAGCCAAAATCCTGCAGAGCCCAACGAGTTGCTGTTTATGAAAGTACGCAGAGAAAGAAGTGTGCGATATGTGGAGGGACAGGATCGGCAGTTCTCTGCCACACAGACCCCGGCGCTGTACAAGGGAAACACGGCCTGGCTCTGAAAAAGAAAACATATTCCATGTTTAAGTCTCAGACATGGCTTAACCCGACACACTTCTCCTAAATATTTTTCACACATTAAATCTGAACTGTGTGTGAAGTATTCATGTGTTCACTTCCATTGAGTGCATAATTTATAAAGGCATTCTTTCTTGGTGTTCACAGCTGCAAGTGGTATGGAGAATTGAAGAATAGGTAGAGCTGACTCAGATTGAATGGAGAGAAAAACTGAAAATTGATGTCCAAGTGTTAGCACAAATTTTTAATTAGACTTTGGTTTTGCGTTTGATTGACTCACTTTAATACATGACTGCAACGTTAATTTAAATCTGGCTGCTTGTTCAGAGAAACTCCAATAATTTCTTATGTCTCTCCTTGTTTCAAAATAAAGGGTTCCAAAGAACATTGTTTACATGTATATTAAATGTAAATGTAAAGACTATTTTTAAACCATGCTCCTTTCACTTCATAATCATTCAGTGTTTTATGTTTGCCTATCTCATAATGTGCCTAATAATCCAGGTATATTACTATACTTACAACTCACGGTATGTCTAATTATTTAATTTTTGTACCTATTTATTCCAGTCATCTTTTTAGTGTGAACTTTTACATAAATAAAACAATATCCCTCGTTTGTGAACATTTTCAGTAAGTATTTTTCTCAGACTGTTGCATTCTGTGCTTCTGTTTCTTGTCTTTGTTGTGTACCTTTGGCCCCAGACAGGTCCAGCCTGATTTGGAGTCTGTGCCTCTCTGGTAAACAGCCTGGAATTCAGCCAAGATGGCAGGATAATTAGCTTCCAACACCTCGATGTCATGTCGGTGAGCATCACGCGGGAAGAAAGGAACACTTGGGACATCCGGCAGGAAGAAGAGATGTGGCTTTTGTATGGTGGAGAGATCGTTCAGTCTGACCTGAATTTGAAGAAATGGCAAAGTTGCCAGGTTTTTTTGTTGTTGTTGTTGTTTGCGGTTTTTTTTTTTTTTTTTTTTTTTTTTTTTTGCCATGTTTCTTTAATTCTTTAAGCCATATCAATAACATTTCAAGTAAAATGTTGTGAATGACTCCTAACTCTCAATGGTAAGCTCTGAGTCTTTTACCTGCTCACGAAGGCCTTTGTGAATGCGGCCCATGCCCACCCAGCTGTAACGCTTGGCATACTCTTGCAGTGCTGCGTACAGCTTCTTGGCTTCTGCAGATGCCTGGGCAGGGAACAAGGCATGACTCAGCACTGGCGTGAGATACCCCTGTCCCTGCTCCTCATCCTTCGCTGTTTCCATGGAAATGAAAGGCGCAATTTGATCGCTCCTGGACAACTTAGACCTGGCGCTGCACTTTGTCCCCATGCACACACCGCTCCGAGAAATCATGGACCGCCTTGAGCTCGACTTTAACTTTCCAGCATGGCCTGGGATTGGCAGGTCAGAGCCAATTCGATAGCAGTGCCACAGGAATAGGAACAGCAGAGTCCACAGAAGGCCACTCAGTGAATGGACACCAAGCTCAACATATTCAGGCAAAGGCAGCGTGTTTATCGACCAGTCCATCCTTTAGACGAGGGTGACACAGGACAACTGTAAGCAAAACAGATGAAGAAATTTTAACTTTAGATTTAATTGTTCTTATAATTTATTGCAAACAAACATTTTCAGATTCTACACCTACAAACTTCACTGCAGAACAATTTTTTGGCCGTTTTTCTTGCGATTGCTCAGTGCTCTGGAGGAAGATCAGGGCTTGGTGGGTTAGATGAAAAGATAAATCTGCTGTAAACTTACACACAAAATTATACCTCTTATGGTTATATTTGCTACTTTTGTTACAGTCCATTCATTAAGAAGAATAACTAATAATGAAACACAAATTTTTCATTTATGCTTAATAAATATTCAATGTACAAATGCAACAAAGATAACAATTGTTTATTTCTTTTACTCTAATCAAAATGAATCTGACACGGACCTTATTTAGTGTTTGAGTTTCCTTCCTTTGAGGTGCATCTAAAATAATTAACTTGACATGGTTGACATGCTAAAATCCAGTAATTATTAGTAACTTAAACCACTCTGACAATTGAAGAAAAATTATTATTTTTAATTAAATCACTGCCAAAAAGAATTTAAAAAGAAAGTTTTTCATAAAAATCACAACTGACAAAATTATCATTATCTCTGCTAACTTACACCTGTACTCCCAAAAAGTCAGATTGTATGTGTTGTTATTGCAAGTTTGTTTTTGAACTAGTTAAAAATCACAATAGATTTTTTTGTGACATTAGTTTTTTCGAACATGATATATTTGTTGTCTTGTAGCTACTTATTATTTGATGCTATTGGCCAAAACATCAAAAGGTTTGAACACTCCGACTTTGTGATGTAAATTATCAAATGATTATTAGGTGTAACAACATTTGTGCCAGATGTTCTTTTTGTAAAAAGAAACATAATAAAAAATAAATAATTCTTTTTGAATAATGCATCAATTACAAGTTGGATTTTCAAAAACTTTCAATGTTTTTGAACACTGAACTTTGATTGTGATACAACTAACAGTTTGGAAATAATGATTTTTTCATAAGTCTTCGCTGACGGTCTGAAGCCATTTTAACTAAAACAGCATAGTTGTGAACAGCCAAGCCTGTTTTATTATTATTATTATCATTGGTTCAGTATAATTCGACATAGATGTAAGTTTCTGAAAGGCAAACAAATTTGAGCAAGTTTTCAGTCATTTGAGTAACTATATGTGATAAAATGATAAAGAGGCAAGGGGGAATACCTACATTGTTTGTAATGTACTCTTACACTGATGCAGAAAATAAAAGTGCATTTGAACGTGTGCACGTGGGAGTTTTGTGTCATCGCAGACTTGTAGTTGCATCAACCCCGATGATGCTCTCCACTAGCAGGCGTTGGATGCCTCACAAAATGATGCTTCTCGCAGTGGCGTGAGCATTCATTTTGTCTCTTTGCTCTGCAGCAGCTCAGCTGGCTCGTGTTTACTCCCCACATCGGCATAAACATCCCCCATTCAAGGGAATTCCTGGCGCAAAATGTTTTCCGTGCATTATTAAGCAGCGCATGCAAGCGAAACATCTCTTTCTAGCGCCGGATCAAACATCTCTGTCAGATTACCTTGATGCACCGTGGAGCTCCGTGTCTGACGGCTTCAGCACCGTGTTGGTTGGACAGCTCCAGCTCTCCAGCAGACGAGAGATGCAAACTTTCGCAGTTTCACCGGTCGGCCGCTAGGGGCGCACTTGCCGCTCCAGCGCAAATGCCCTCACATCTTAGCCGAATGCGTCAAGCACACGGTAACCAGCTAGAGGCAATCTCACCAGTACAAACACAGCAGTGTTTACGGCCTTAAGCAACGCAAAACCAACTGAGATAGGAGAGTTTTTTTAAAAAGAGGAAGAAAAAAAAGAAAAGCAAGAGAAAAAAGGGCAGTGGAAGCATCCTGGAAGACAGGTAAGCAGTTGTCACCTTTTTATTGTTGCTGCGGAAACAACAGCGGTGATGACTGATGTTAAAAAAAAAAAAATCGTCCTCCGCACAAAGAGGCCCGGGTGATTCTCCCTCGAATAAGCCCTATCATTTGTGTCACACACCCGGCTGGTATCTCTGACAGAGGAAACGCCTCTAAGAGCAGCGGAGGAGCATTTTTAATACAACTAACAGGTTGGAAACAATGAAATTCAAGGGGAACCTTCGGAGACGATACGGGGCTCGCGAGCCGGATTTTGGAATAGCGCATTTTTCGGCAGATTTAGATGGAAAATTGCAAAGGAGAGAAAGCCCGAATATTACACCTAAGAACCGAGTGTGTTCCTGTGTAATAATTTCACGACGTCTGTGGCAATGCTTTGCATACCGACTTCTAACGTCACGTTTCATTCTACGCATCAGTTGCATTAGGAGAGCCTTTTACAGCGTCCTGTCGACATGATCTGATTTCAGTCAATTATGATCTGTTTTATGTAAACATTACAGTCAGATTTGCGGTGACTAATACATTGTTGGCCTATTCATTACCACTGTGTGATTTCCTTTGCGTCTTGCTGCTATTATGAGCTATTAATAGGCAGAGAAATGTGCAAAATCACAAAACGCTTTCTTTGGATTCTGCTTCCTTTAACCTTCTCAGGTCATTCAGAAACATGGGGTTCGCACGCCTCGCTGTGATGTTCTCTGTCACCATGATGCACATGGTTTCAGGTAATTTTGTTTGTGTTCTCAGGTGCATGCACGTTTGTTTGTTTGTTTTTTTGTTCGTTTTTTTTTTTTTTTTTTTTTTTTTTTCTGCATTAGCCTGATGCTTGTTGTTTTTCCCCCCTATTTAAAATCTAAAGGTAACGACTCAACTCTTTTAGACTTTGACTTATTTTAGATTGTAGTTATTCTGCTGAGGTGAAATTCATGTCACCACAGCATGCGCTAAATAATAAAATGCAAGCAAATGACACATCATGTGAATAATTGAATACATATACACAATTTTGGAAGGCACTGTGTTTTATTTGCATAGCAAATAACAAATGCAGTAACCAGTGTCGATTGTTTCAGGTATGACCTTTATGACTCCGGAGTCTGATACTTCACCGACATCAGCTCCAGACTCCTATCCACCAGGTGAGCTGATACACGCTGCTCTGCAAAGTAAAGAGTACCTGGGACAGGTTTCCGGAGGATCAGGTATACAGAAAACAGAAAACGCTTTGCTGTCAGTTCCGCATGTACTTTATTCCACAAAGAGCCCTCGCATGAGAAATTGCATTGAATTGAAGCCGTTAACTTTGCAGGTACCACCACCAATCCAACACAGGCGGTGCCTGGACTTGGGATGGCTGAGTCTACAGCAACAGCCATATCACCAGGGCTCCTCACCACTGCTTTGGGCTCCTCTTCTGCCGCGGGCAAAACCGGATCGAGGAGTCCTATGTCTTCGTTCCCCTTGGAAGAAGAGACCACCACCACGCTGATTACCACCACCACCATAACCACAATGCACATGCCAGGTACAAGTTTACCCTCACTTGTTGTCACCTTGAAAGGGATGATGTCTTTTTTAACAATAGCTTTCTGTTTTATTTTGATGAGATATCAAATAGAATTGAACTGCATTGCCTTTTACTCTTTAACATCTGTTTCTCGAGCACCCTCATATTGCTTGTCCTATAGTAGCTGCCCTTTATCTACTAACACTCATATTCATTCTCACTCAAACTCTGATGAACATCTGAGGGACCCAGGGGAAAGCACAGTGCCTTGTCCAGAAGAAATTCACGCAGTGCAGGATTTGAATTAAAAAACCACTGTGCTATCTGGTCTTACTTTACATGCAAAGTTACATAATTATTGGAAATCATTCAAAGTTTATGTAAATATTACGATCAAAATATCAGTTGGGATAAATTAACATTTTCCTCATACATCTAATCACCAACGCTCATTGAAATGATTCAAACTTTCTCTGTGACCTTTAGCATCTTTGCCATTTCTTCTGCATCAGGTGTTTGTGTTTTTACAGTTTAAAGCGCATATTTGCATTCTCTGTATAAAAGGTACTTGGCTGTTTTCCTCACCATCTGAAATTAAAGCCAATACCACTTTTCCCATTTAAGGTTAGAACCAATTATTTAACTGATCATAAATGCTAAACTTCAGAATAGGAAAAACCTTTTTTTTTTTTTTTTCATCGATGTCAGAGGTTTGCAACTGTATCCTCATTTGGTAGGGGGCCCTTTTAAAGTGCTTGACTTGGCTAAAACAAAGTGGGTTTTCTTCCAAAAGAGTCTTCCGGTAGCCTGGTGGAAATTTTGCTTATTGCTGCTGACAGAAGTGGTGCAACTGAGTAAAGTTTGCACAGACCTTTTCAGCTGTGGACACAAATCTTCTCTGTGATTGAGATTTAGCTTTTAAAATTTTCATTTCAATCAGTATGACTAGAAAAGCAAAATCAATCTGTTTAGCTTTTACCACTGCATTTCAAATCATTCAATGTATTATTACTGAACCTCTTTATAATTAATTTGTTGATATACTTAATGTGTGGCTGATGTCTTAAGATGTTGTTTCACTATTTCTACACAATCTTCTGTCCTGATGTTGTCATCTTTATTGTGAAGTGCACCAGTCCCTCCTGCAGTAAAATATCTTACACTTGATACTGTCAGTCCCATACATAACAGTATTTGTTCTTGGGGTTGCAAGCTACCTGGTGGTCATTAGTGCCAGGTTTTCTCAGAACACATAACATGTTTCTAAGAAACAAGGTCCTTTCCCTTCACTGCTTTTCCAAACTGCTACAAGGTTTTTTTGTTTACTCGGTGGCATTGCAGTGCCAGAACATTTAGTTTTTTATGTCCACATTGGTATTTTCTAATCAAACTAAACCAACTGCATACTCTGTTTAGAGCCAAGTATAAGTTTGCTTTTTTTTTCTTCTGAAGAATAGGCTTGGGTTATGTTCTTTAAAACTATTGCAGTAGCATATTACTTTAATAGCTATCAGTCAGGACAACGTTTTTTTTTTCTTTTCTTTTTTTTCTTGAAAGCAAAAATAATAATTCAGTCACACACATTTTTTTTTTTATGTTTGAGCTCTAAAACTAAGCACTAATAATTTTTCAATCGCCTACCAAACTATGCATAGCATAAACTCAAATTAATATTTTGAGATTTTAAGGTATGGACCAATCAAATTAGTGGATATATGTGAGAAATATTTTCACTTTTTTTTTTAAATAGAAATTTGAAAAGTTCTGCGTCCATTTGCGTTCAACCCCCTTCACTCTTACAGCATTGAAAAAATAACGGTATTCAATCCAACATATGGTTTTTCTTCCACTCCATAATTAGGATTTACTTTGTGTTTGTGAATCACAGAAATGTGACAAAATGTGAAAAAATTCAAGGAGTATTAATTTTTTTTTCACTTTTTGAGTATGAAGTTGCTTTCCAGCTTTGAAATTTGATGCAACCCAGAGCAAGAATAGAAACTGATAATGAGTTTGATATGTTATATTTATTCCATCATTTTTACCCTGACGCATAGGGTAAAGACATGGAGCATATAACATTATTATTTGATGAACATATAAATATTAATAGTAGGACTATCCTTGCCTGCCTGTGGTCTGTCAGTCAATACTATGCCTTCTGACCAGCATGAGGTGTGGAGACGATCCAGTGCTAATGAGTGTCAGAGAAACAATTTGAGACACACCAGTGCAGTATTTCTTTAGGCTTTCGGTGCCAGTGCAGCTCTTATAGATTGTGATTGAGAGCTGGGGAGAGAAATGTCATGTGAGACAGATGATCTCTGAGGTGTGAGCGTGCTTGAGATAAAAAGACAGAGGGAGCATTACCTGGGTCCCTCAAGTGTTTCATTTTGCCATCAGTGGTCATTGTGGTTTGCTGATCTCATGTTGTTTGCAGGAAATATCTCAAGCATGTTTGTTCACCAGCAAGAGATGTGCCTTAAAGTAACGCTTCAGCTGTCTTGAAAATGTTCTTGCCGTGGCTCGATTGTGCCGTGGGGCATACTAAATTTGAGTCTGCAACAAAGCGTTGATTGATTTGCAGTCACCACGCATGAATCTGCAAACAGTGAAGAACAACTAAAACCAATATAGACAAGTAGGGATAAAGCGAAAGCTAACCTAACAATGAGAGTATTGCTTGAAAGAGACATGTTAGACTAAGTTTTATGATATTTAAACATTTTTAGAGCTCTTGATAGACAAAATCTGCCTGTTTTTACCATATCCTAGAAATTAGTACAAAGAGCCAGTTTTTAGTAAAGCTTGCCAAGTTATGTTATTATTATTATTATTATTATTATTATTATTATTATTATTATTATTATTATTATTATTATTATTATTATTATTATTATTATTATTATTATTATTATTATTATACATGTTTTGACTCATTTCTAATTCCTTTTCTGTTATCCCTCTGTTTCTACAGTGCAGTGCAATGCTACGTTGTCAGCAATGGAGGATTTTGTTGAGTCTCCTGATCCTGGATCATCATCCTCATTTTCTACTCTGGAATGCACCTACAGCATTACTGTGTATCCAGGCTACGGTGTGGAAATTCAGGTTGTGTGAACAGAAAAAGCCTATGGCCCTCCAAATTTATGGATGTTTTTCTGCTTTAGATGTTTTATTGATTTGTTTTTTGGTAACTTCTAACA